TAAACTGAAGATTATACAAAAACCTATCCGAAATTTTAAAACGGATAAAAAAAATACCAATCTATAAAGACAAAACTGCCAGTCCTGTTTTTGGAAATAAATTACGGAATTTGCAAGCTGGTTTCTGCGTAAGCTGACATTTTCATTAAAAAAATCTCGGTTTCGGCCGATTTTCAGGTCTAATCACACTACTTACGATATCCGAAAGGTAGTCCACCGCAAATATGCGTATACGCCGATTTGTTGGTAAAACAAGATTTAATATCACCAGACTCAATTGAGAAATTAGAACACCAATCTATCTTAATCGCCAAATACTCTACCTTTCCTCTGAGGAATACTTTGATATACGAGACATACCGAACCCGATTTGCCTCTTTTCCGACATCTTGCCCCAATAAACGATAACTGAACAACACATGGCATGTAATAGTTTGATTTATGGTTCATTAATAATCCGCACACTGCCTCAAGAAATCTGTGGCGGAAACGTGTTTCATTTTACCGCTTGCTTGCTTAGAATATACAAATAGAGAGAGAGGGAGAGAGAGAAAAATTCCCATAACAACCGGACGTGTACTGAGAGACAGTTCTTAACAAGCTTGGAGTGTAACCCGCTTGTTTTATGAGTGCTCGCCGCGGGTGCAGAGATATTTATCCTAAATCGTGACTAGACATAAGTAAGTTCTATAAGCTGTTCTTCATAAATGTTTTACCGACACTTAAAATTAAAGTATCGCATTAAAATACTGGCGATCATTCTTCAAAGATCATTCTTCTCAAAGATAAAGCAAGGCTAAATATTGTTCAGAAAGTGTCCCGTTGCGAGTGCCCGGTGACGATTTTTGAGCTGAACGAAGGGCCAAGGGACTGTCAAAATCTGTACGCTATAACGAGGTTTCGTTTTATCGAGGTTCTTTTTCATATATTTTACTATTACTGGGGCAAAAAATTTCGTTCCTTATACCGAGAACTTCGTTACATAGAGGTTCTTTAAATCGAGGTTTCACTGTATATCTAGTGTACGTCGATGCATGGGTTTAACTAATTGTTTATTGCGGTTTGGCGGAAAGTCCTCAAGCACACTCTCTTTGAATAAGAACGTCGAAGTTTTTTAGCAGAGGCTTATCCAAGGCTTCTTTTAAGGCAATTCGAGCTTCAAAACACCTTTTTATGATGCTCTTAAATTTCATGCGGAAATATGTTTCATAGAATATCTTAGAGTGCTGTGAATAAAAACTGCATTGCTCTTTAGTCTGCTTTTCATTCGCTGTACATGGGCTTCAGTTGTACTCTGATATACTGTTCAGACCAAACAATTACTGTCTATATGATAATTCTACTTTACCACTCGTAAATGTCCTTGGCTCCAGTTATACGAGGAAAAAAGATGTTAAAGAACTAAATATGGAAGTTAGACAAAAAGTTTTAATTGTTTAGGCGCAAATTCGGGATAAAGGAAGTATTTTTTTCTGGTTATTCACGGTGTTTGGGTTCTGCATGCCGTTTTCTTTGACATCAATATTTTCAGTTTTTTTTATTTTTGTTTAATAATATATTTTAACTAAAGTACCTTATTTATTATGCACACGAACGACATCCATTTGCTTAAACTTAGCCCTACAATTGATACATTCATGTTCACTGTCTTTCTGTTGCGTCACATTTAGAAGGCATGATCTACACATAACATGTCCACAAGGCAGGTGAAATATAGACTCCTCGGACAAATCCCTACCACATGACGTACATAATACAACTGACTTTTTCTTGATGGCATGCATCAAAGTTTCCGATGCTTGTGGTGCCGTCCTTTTCCGATCTGATGAGAGAGAAAAAATAAAATAAATAAAAAAAATGGTGCCAATTTGCTTCTGTCGCAGCCAAACGTTAAATCGAGGAAGAGCCAGAGAGGTGAGATCGGACGCCATGTAGCACGTACGGCGCACTAACGTAGCCGCTTCAGTCTACGTTTGATATCTCACCTCCCCCACAAGACGTCAGATAGAACATGACACCGAGGCCTACGTCCCTACTCTTTCGAACAATGACACAGTGTGTTTTTACTTCCCCTTCCAACTGATGTACAAGTATGAAGGAGATAAGGCCTACCGCTTTATTCCAACGTCACCGCCCAATGACGCATACTGAACTGAGCTGAGAAAGGGCATGATCCCAACATTTTTTTGAGACCAGTTGGTGATGGTCCGACCGTGGTTTGAACTCACGGTTTCCCGCTCAGCAGACCGGCACTCCCCCAACTGAGCTAACTGGGTTGTGGAAAATACTTCATACTTAGTATACAGAGTATATGCAACGAAAGGGGATAAAGGCCAATAATGCAGTGCAGCCGACATCGGCGAGCACTTTGCACCCAAGCTTCCGAAGCACTTTGTGTGTTGGAGTCACTTACTTACTTTTTGCCTAAGTGGTAATGGATTTAGCATGAAGTACCTATCGATGAGACTGTTAAATTGACTACCTGTGTGTTGTAAAGATTGCTAGGAGGGTAAAAACGGAGGCCATTCACGTATAAAACTTAGCAGTACGGAGTTTGTTTTTTAAATAAAACGTTTGTCACTTGGGCTTCTGAAGTGTGAATAATAAGTCACATTGGGTTTTTTTTTGCCAGGTACCCTTCTTTCATTTGTTAGGATCTTGGAATTTTTGTGAATTTTATGCATCAGCCACTATTTGGAAAAAAAGAACTAAAAGGGTTTTAATACTATCAATTACTAGAGACCTTTAGATTCTAAGACGAGTACGACTACGAGTACTTGATTTTTCTCAATACTAAGTAGCACTCGCGTGTGAAACAGCGTCATTTTGGCGGGAAAACTTGGTAACCGTCGTCACTCTACTACGAGTTTTCAATAGCGAGGGCGGAAACGAGTTATCAGATGTCAGAAGTTTTATCTTTTTGCGATCGCGAGAGGGCTTAACCTCCTTCAATATAGATAACGGTGCTATCTTTTCTAATAAAAAAAAAAGACAATGAAGATTTCCGGGGTGTCTATTTTTTGAGAATACGCGAAAAAAATTTAAGTCAAATCTCGTACTCGTAGTCGTTCTCGTCCTTGAAATCTAAAGGTCTCATAAGTTGTTTTTGCCCAAGTATATACTGTTCATAGCAACAGGATTCCAAAAAAAAAAAAAACAGTGTCCATACAGTAAGGCTATTATTCACAATATACCGGATACCTGTTCGCAGGGGCACCCAACGAGGATATAGTTCAAAACCACTTAACATAGCATTGTTGAACGTATTTTAGTATTCAAACGGTAGATATAGGCATATTTTTATCCCCTAAAAACTTTTCATCTGTTCGGATTTCCTAGCTGAAAGTCTAGTGATCCGAAAATTATAGGGATCAAAACTTACCTTTTCGAAAATTTCAGCCAGGAAAAGGCTCCCGAAAATTCTAGGTGGCCTTTTTTAGGGTAAATATCTGTTTAAAATGGGTAATTATACCATTTTTTAGATGTTCGAAAATCCTAGGAGAGGCAGGCAAGCAAGAAATTTTACAACAAATGTTCCGAAAATTCTAGTTCTCAAATCGTCTTCCGAACAGATATTTTTCCGAAAATTGCCGTTGGGAGCCCCTGTGTTCGTGCCGACACGAGAAGCTTTCCGCTATAATATAGTCAACTCCCTTTGTAGTTGACACAGTATCAGAGCCCTTGAGTTAGAATCCGTATTAGCGAGAGTTCGTTATGGCAGGAGTTTATTTCAGTGAAACAACTATAAACTATTTTTGACTGGGATTTGGCTGCAATCCGTATTATCGCAGTGTCCGTTATAGCTGAGTGTTCGGGAGGAGAGAGTTAACTGTAGTATGAGCAACAAGGGTACAGAAATGGAACGAGTGGTTCACACACTTCGAAGATCGTGTCGGAGCAGTTGGACGAGAGGGTTTGGTGAACTACATCCCAGTCCTCACCCCTGAATATTTACTTCTGTCTCAGTGGATTCCAGTCCTCGTTCCTATTTATACACTTCTGCTATCATCAAAATACCTGTTGTAATGTACACAGGAAAAAATAACGGATTCCCATTTCTGGATATTTTAGGGTATTTAAAGAATACCCATAAAAATCCCAAATTTGGCAAAGTGAGACAAGTCCCAACCAGGGAATTCCCAACTAAGTCCCCAGATTGGGACTTGTCTCACTCTTCCAAATTTGGGATTTTTATGGGTATTCTTTAAATACCCTAAAATATCCAAAAATGGGAATCCGTTATTTTTTCCTGTGGTACTTAAGTGTGGCACTTAGAAATTATCCAATATACGACGCTCCACCTTAGAGATAAGAACAGCGCATCTTCGCTCCTTTACAGAAATAGCACAGAAATCACCGTTCTTATCTGCGAACAGCAGCCCTGTCTGGTAGGGTTTTCATGCCGGTGCAAAAGCTACTATCCGGTATACTGAGAATACAGCCCAAATGTAATGACTGTTTGTGTCAGGCCTTCAATATTGACATGAGTGGTCACAGTTCACAGAAACACACTTATTATTTGAATGCACTGTAAAGTACAACCACAGGCATCATTGCATAATTAAACAGCTCAAAAACCAGCTGGTATGTTAAAGCTAAAGTTCAGGTATTCCGTGGTCATTGTTTACAATCCAATATCACAAACAGTCTTGGATCAATTTAGGTTTCTGGGAATCTGCCCACCTACCCCTCCCCTAACCCAACATTTTGCCCTATGTGAGAAGTAAGTGTTAATGTTGACTTAAGGCAGGGGTAGGTGGACAGTTTCCCAAAAACCTAAATTGATCCACGGTCTTAACCCTTTAAGTCACCATATTCCCATACAATTTCCCCTACATTTCCCTAAAAAGATACAAATATAAAAGCATTTTCCTTTGGCTGATTATTTTACTTATTCTCATAACCTGTTCTCTTGATTATCTATGGATATTGTTAGGAGAAAATTGATGTTGGTCACTACTGCGACTTAAAGGATTAAGATACAAAAAATGATCTAATCACTAACCAGTACTTGGTTGTGTGATGGAGGCTTGTGTGAGCGCCGGTTTATCATGATCATCTTTCTTTTTCCTGGTGAACACTTGCAATCCTTGGAGCATCTGATGAACTGCTGAATCGAGACTCCTAGACACTGCTTCTTCATGGCCAAGTTCAACAAGTGCCTCTAAAAAAGGTCAAACCTGACATTATTTTGGCCCTAACATTTGTGCTGGTCTTGCCACAAGCAAATGCTTCTTGCTGGCTGGTACCAGAGAGCCAGTGAGCCTGTTTGAGCTTCATTCAAAGAAGCACAAACAAAGTAAACAGCATAAGTGTTTGTTGTTTCAAAATATAACCCAGCTATTTAATGAGAATGCCACAAGGCAGTAGTTTCAATAAAACCTGGCTGACTACCTGTGTCTACCACCGCCTACATGTATATGGCATCTTACTGCCGTACGTTAAAATTTTAGAAAATGGATGCCTTAGACCTTATTTCTGGTCACTGCTGCCCATTCTACCATTTGCAGCCACTTATGAAAACTTTGTTTAAAAACCTGACCAAAAAGGTCATTAACGGAACTACCAACATCCATACAACTGTTGCTATAGTGCAAAGTTACTGAGGAAGCAAATGTAACACACAAGTGAGGAGCAAGTGGAAAAGCTGAAATATGCGAGAAACAAGGGAGTGAGCCCAATGAAGAATCCAATTTTGGCCAAATGGTTTTGCCAATGCGCCAACTGTGTGAATAAGAACTCCACGGATCTTACTGCATAGGCGGACTACAATACAAACTGCGCAACCTGAATTTTGTTCAATTGCCCCTCACATGTACCTCATTAACAACACCCATTAGTTCCTGAAAACTAAAGTCATACTGCCTGCCTGTCAGCCACAAAGGACGGTACAGACTTATTGACATGTATTACTGCATATACATACCTTCATTTTCTAATGTATGTAGACCACAAATTAAGTTGTTCTTAGGAAACTTTTCTGTGCGTAGTTCTTGTCCATTTTTAACCTCCTTTCCTTCAATGAGATCAACATTCTTATATGGTTCTGCTGGTGATCTGTCTTTGCCTGTCACTTTCAAGAAGGGGCTACGGTTTGGATTACTCTCTTTTGATAAACTGACACATGTATCTCTTCCGACAGTTCTCCCATAACCAGGTGTATGTAAACTGGATGTCAACAAAAATTTGTCAATTCTAACTTTAAGTGCACTGTTAGGAACTGGTTTACATGCTTCTGAGAACACTTTTCCAGTAAATGGATCAGATGGTAATCTTCCCCAGGTCCTTTCCACAGTGACATGCTTTTCAAGAGTTTCTGCATCGATATTGTGGCCAGATGGCAACAACAATGGTACTATCATAATTTCACATGTGATTGGATCAATGAATTCTTCTGGGATTGAATCACTGTGATGCTCTAACACAGACTTAAGTTTACCTCCCTCCCCAGTTTTGTCTTGTTTCTCACTGAAACAACCAGCCTTTATATTGACTCCAGAATAGGTTTTTTCCTGAATACTTAAAGCATATTCCAAAATTTCTGGCTTGCAATGAGCTGATGGTTGCCCCCATATTTCGACTCTTCCAATCGCAGGCACAGAAGACCCACAGAGTCTTGCAATCTTTACTGCCACATGAGTAACATTATGCAGACAGTAAAGCCGTTGAAACTCCTTCTGCTCAACATCCCACATCCCTGCATGTTGCAATCCCTGGATTGGACTTCTCTCCTGGAACATTGTGTTATAAAGATGGAAAGTTTTGCCTTTGCCATCACTCAGCCAAGCAACTTGAGTAAACAAGTGTGAGTGGTCATTTTTCACTGTACTGGGTGTCACCTCAATCTCATAACTGTGGTTAAAAATGGATGCATCTGTTCTCGAACAGCTGGATGCAGTTGATGTTTGGTTCTTAGCTTCTGCCTGAAAGGAAATAATAAAAGACAAATTTCTGATGTTCAGTTGAAAATAGTACAAAGAATTGTTCCCTCCAATGCCCAACCCCAGGGCAAAGGTGCTGTTTATTAACCCAGGGCTGGTGAGTGAAGCAAGTTCCTGGGTTAACAATTTTTATTACAAGTTAAGTGCCCAAGGAGCAAGCAACATTACCCAAAAAAAAGTAAATGTTAGTCAAAAGTTTAAGCAGATGTTTACGTGATCATCCCTCTCAATTTAACACCAGAGTACCCCCCACCCCTCCCCCCACCACCACCACCCGGGAGGCCAGCTCTGTGACTGCATTGGGCCAATGAACTTCGCCAAGCGCTTCCCCTAAGGGCAAGCATTTTTTGTCATCTCACCCTGAGCCCCAAACCAAACAGGGCTTAACAAAAATGCTGTCTGGCAGCCGAGTACTGGTTGTGCAAACAATAATTAATCACGCTAATATGTTTGTATCATCTCCTTTTAGAGTTGGCTTAGTAAATTAGAACTACACCAGTGCTGCCCAAATTCTGTTGTACTCTTTCATACTCCATTTAATACAGTCAAACCCTTGTGCAATGGTCGCTCTTGGGAAATAGCAAGGTGACTGTTATATACAGGTCAACTTTGCAGAAAATATGAAGCAACTGAAAATTTTGGGAAGTTGTCCGGTGACCGTAATATACAGTGTGACCACTATATACAGGGCCGTTATATACAGGATTGACTGCATTTAATCTCCTCCCCACCCACCCCCTCACCAGCTCTTTCATTGATGTGATTTTCTGAGAGGGCTGCAAAAGTCAGTTCTGAGAGTGTCAGTAAATAATTTGATTTTTTGTAAACAGTGTAAAAAAGTATTGCATCTGCAAGAAAGACTTCGTCGTTTTTTGCTGATGGGATAACTTCTTCCTTAGGATCTCATCAGCATAGGGGGTGTGGGTGAAACAAGTTTATATTCTGCCAGGAGCCCACTGGCTCCTGATTCTACCTTGTTAGAGTCAGCCAGAAGGATGCCAGGGTTTTTGCTTTTCTTCTTACTGAGAGACGAGGGCGCTGTTCTCTGGTCTCTTTTTCTTGTAGAGGAATGTTTATTTGCAATTCCTGCCACCAGAATGGCTATGCCTGATGAAATCTGTGAGCCCACTTTGGGTTTAATCACCATGGACTCCACGTGAACTGGAAAAGGAAGTTGGAAGAGTAAGATTGCTGGAGGCTTGATGAAATGAGCGGCTAAAAACCCTCGAGAACGTTCTCTGAAATCCAGACTAATAAGATTGCTGGCACAGTATCCGTCAGAGGTAACTACGTCGCAATCCACCCTTGATTCAAAGTAAGGATGGAGAAAATTTACATGCATCTTCTCACTTCAGAACTCACAAGGCAATATTTTACTACGTGACCTGGCCTCAAGGCTGTGCAACCGGGCCAACTTAATTTCAAGATGGCGGACAAGGAGGCCTTTTGGGAGATACCTGAAATAGTGGAGGTTATTCTTCGATTTCTTCCAGGAAGATTCATAGCCGTAGCTGCAAGAGTTTGTCGTCTATGGCGGGACACAGTGGAAAGGATTCGAAGATCAAGAAGGGACTGCGTGGTTTATTTATCTCCAAGTGAATCAAACTTTGCTGAATTTTCGGAAGACGTGCTTGACTTCTTGACACGACAGCTTATTGAACCTAGAGCTTTACTGCTCTTCTCAGGCGCATTTCCATCGTCTAGCACAGCGTTTATTCAAAGATTTTTGCTGTCGATACAGAACTGCCTTCCAGTGAACTGTCCGTTCATTGGCTGTACTGGTCTTGGAGTGGTCGGTTCTGAAACTCATCCTCCTGCAAATTCCGAAGGTTTATCACTTATGATGTTTCCTCGCTGTGATGGACTTGAAGTCCGAGATTTTTATATCCCTCTTCGCAACAAGTATAAGAAGATAAGTGGCGTTAAATCATTTCTTCCCGACATGAGCCTCCCCGTAAAGTTAGTGATTGTTCTGGCCCACCCACTGTCACTTGGGAAGCTTACAAATTTGACCGTGGCTTTAAGATCAAAATATGGCGAAGAGGTAAGTTTCATTGAATTGGTTACTTAAATTGAGGGTCCCTTGTACGGTTCTTCAATCCCGTTATCCCGACCCAAATTTTCGCGCAATCCAGTAATTCCGATGGTTATTTCTGACATCCAACCTAGCGTGTATACTTTCAATCCCGAATTTCTTCCCCAATGTGCTTTCAGATCCCGAATCCTGAGCTTCAATTAAGGGAAATCCAGGATCCCGAAAAACCCATTGGGGACCCTTTAAATTGGCTTAATTATGTAAAATATTTCCGCACACCTCCCCTTTCAACTACAGTATATTTTCACACACTAGTCTCTATAGTATTTGTCGTAAACAATCTGCGGTTATCATGGTAAAGTTGTGAGGGAAGAGACCTGCGGAACAAAGTGCCTGTTGTCACGGGTGATCAAGGACGACAGTTCTTTTAAAGTGGTTCTTTTGTGTACCACACAGACTGTTCTGTGAGGCTAAAGGTTTGAATTAGCACCCAAAAAGTCTAACCATTTCTAGATGTAAAACGAAAGCAGCAACGTCTCATTTCCCCAAGTTTGCAGACCGTTATTGCGCTGGAAAACCATAGCACGGACTGAATTTCTGTAGCGGTGCGAAATAGCGCCTCGGCAATTTTGAAAGTGGATCGTGACCTATCGGATAGGTTTCTGTGATACTCTTTGGCGCGGTATGATCAGGTGTTCACGCTATACTGGACAGGTTTTCGTGTTGACATGAAAAGCTATCCGGTATGGCGGACAAGTTGATGTCAACCCGGGCAAGCAAAATGGTTGTCTTTACACTAAGCTGTTAAGTAAGACTTAAGAGCTGCTAAGTTTTACTTAACCAAAAATTCGTGTGTGAAGGCACAAGTAAAATCTCAAGTAACTTTACTTTGCATCTCATTAAAGTTGGAAAGTTGAAACGATTCAAGAAAGTTTCAAGTGACTTGCAAACCATCCTTAAAACCAACTTAGCGAACTTGCGGTTTCTAAGCTTTGAAAAAGGCAAAGCATGTCAGTCAACCTTAATTATGTTGCGTGGGAAAATAGGCTTAAGTAAACCTGAAGTAAAAAAGATATGGTGTGTGTGAAGCTTTCTTTCACTTGAATTTAAAATTTACTTATCTTGAAGTATTTCTTAGCTTATTTAGGCCCTAGTGTAAAGACTACCAATGTCAGAATGAACAAGGTGGAATGTCTAGTTTTTATTCAAGCCCTGTGTTGTTCCAGATGGAAGTATTCCGATAGTGGAGTGCAGCCTTAAGTCTGAGAGCGGGGGGGGAGGAGGGGATAAGGAGGGATAGAGGGATGCGACTCATCTCCTACCCCACCCCCGGCCTTATCACATCTTTTTTGCGCCGTCCTTACAATCTGAACGCTTTGAACAGGCTAGGATGGGAGTCAAACCCGCAGGGGCGGATCCAGATTTTCTCTTAGGAGGGGGTGTACCACTAAGGAATGGCGTAACTGACTGGTGACGTAAACAAATTTTAAAAGCGAATAAGAAGAAGAAGGCTTTTGACTAGGCAATAACATTATGTGAACTGCTGAGAATACATACCATAGGAAACGATACAGCAGATTTTGCTTAACTGTACTTGAAAGCCACAGGTCATCTCGGAGGGTGGGGGTGCGCAACCCCTGCACCCTCTCCTAGATCCGTTTCTGACCCGGGTCTACTGGATCGAAGCCTCTTACCTAAGAAATTGAGCCAGCCAGTCGTGGTGGGGTGTACTTGAATCTCTCCAGAGAAGGGGTCTCTCATTAATCGTTTGATTTACTTGCCTTTTATGTATCAGGTGGTGATTGTCGGTGGCTACAGTGATAATTATCTGTTCTACAACTCAGCGGTCACATCCCGTGAAATCATTGGTCTTGTGTTGGCTGGCAGTTTACAATCCTCTTCTACAGTTGTTACCGGTAGCAACAAAGTGGAATCCTTCGAGAATCTTCATGACTCTATTCAAAGACTTGAAAACAGCGGTTTGCCCAAAGAAAACAGTTTTAGTTTGACGTTTTCATGTTTTTCTCGCGGAAGCATGACGTATGGATATGACAATGCCGAGTGCTTGGCTTTCAGAGAAACATTTCCACATTCAAATCTGGCTGGGTTTGTAGGTACAGCAGCTTTTGGATGCGACACCGAGAAATTGAAATCGAGAGGTTTGAAACCAGGTGGCAGGGATTTCTTGCACATCGATGCAACAGTGTTTTGTTTGAATTCTTTAGCGCAGCATTCGCCTTAGCAACATTTTATGCATACGTAAGGCTTTTAGGTTGGTTCTACTTGGCTACAGTTAACTTTGCTAACTGCATTATTCCAGATTGTTTGTAAATATAAACTACGAAAGCTATTCTTGCTGAAATTTAAATTGTATCGCTATTTTTATGTAATGCTTGTATTGTTGTTTTTTGCAATGTTAACGAACTTGCTCTTACGGCTTGGTTAAACGAGAGATTCAAAGTGACGTTTACGGCAAACACCATATTCAAGTTGAGAATTTCTTAAAATAGAAAACGTGCAGCTGAAAACAGACCCAAAACAATCGTTATAGACAAAACTAACGTGAAGCTACTAATTTTGTGGTAGGCGTAATGAACAGTAAAGCGCAAGTTAAAGGAAAACTTGTTCACGTGGTACAAATTCACGTTTGACGTTTGCGGTAAACGTCAGTTTAAATCTCTGTAAAATCGATGGCCTTTGCCGGTTTTCTATGTGGGGATGGTCTCTTTTTTAGACTTCAGAAAAGGAAAGCAAGGTTAACGATTTGTTATCAAAGGTACATGACTGATTCCCGGTTGGTAAAACACCCAACACTACTATCAACTCGTTTTGCAACAATGTTGCAAAACAAGTTGCACGTTTTTGTTGCCCGTTTAACGGTTCCTTCAGATATTTGCGGGAGTTACAATCGTTTACGGTTTGTCCCTTCCAGTGTCACTAAGACTCTACTGCAATATTTGGTTATATTGACCATCTTTGCTTCCCATGGGCATTGGCATTTCTTTTTAGGCTTACCAGCATTACTTTCACTCCAGGTAATTTAATAGCGAATCGCGTTCTTCGTGAATTGTGTTAAAATTTAAAGCATGCATACTTTTATGAAGTACTTGCGATGTGCCGTGAAATAGAAAACAATGGTATAACTACTGAGAATGAAAAAAAATCAAACAAAGTCTCTTTATTAACATTTGGTGATTTTAGCCGTCATGGGTCGGTAGAGAAGTGTTCGGTGGCTGGCCAATGAAGTAGTAGATATTACAGCTCTGAGAAGACTTCAATTTCAGTAGTTTTAGACGGGAAAAGCTAAGCCACCTGTAGTCATACCTTCTTCATCTTGCCTTTTCTTAGTGGGGGAGGGGAGAGGATGAGGATTTGCCTACGCGAAGCCTAAGGGAAAGTTCATTTAATATGACAAGGGGGGGATGAAGATATTGAGGGGGGGCTCCGGAAATTTTTAGACACCTGAAGGGGGGGCTCTGAAAAAATTGTTGCGCTAGGAGGGGGGGCTCCGAAAATTTGTATACTTCAAAACCAACACATGACATCATCATACAGATCGGATGGTTTTCAACTCAACAATTTAATGACCTGTGCAACTCAGCTATATCACGTGGTTTACACATATAACAAATGTAGTTTCAGTAATTCTTACACTCTTGTTCATCCTAAAAATGCTTTAGAAAATGGTATCACAACTGTATCTCAAGTTTGTCATAGTATAAACTACTGATGACAATAACGGTAAATATATTTAATACAGTCTAGCGATCTTTTTTCAGGGGAGCAAAGGAATTGAAGGAGGAAGGGGGGGGGGGACTCTGAAATTTTTTCGACTACCAAGGAGGGGACTCCTAAAAAATTGAACCGCTAGCGAGGGGGGCTGCTAAAATTTCAAGCTTCGAGTTTCAACATCTCATCCCCCCACCTAGTCTGCTACACAGCCGTTTTTAGTGTCGTCACGCAATGCTCCTCCCCACAGGAGCGTTGCGTGACGACACTAAAAACGGCTGTGTAGCAGACTATCCCCCCCCCCCCTTGTCATATTAAATGAACTTTCCCTAATGAAAGCGAAAATTATTTTCCCGAGCGCTGTTCTAGGCTCCGAGATTGTAGAGACCTTTGATTCGAGGACAAGAACGACTGCGAGTCAGATTTGACTGAAAGTTTTTTCGCGGATTCCCAAAAAACAGACAACCCGGAAAGCTTCATGTACTTAAAGTAGCATTGTTATCTTTGTTGAAGGAGGTTGAGCCCTCTCCTGATGGATAACTCACTACGACATTCTCGCTAAAACTCGTAGTAGAATGACGAAGGCTATCACGTTTTCCCGCCAAAATGACGCTATTTCACGCGCGAGCACTACGTAGTATTGAAGAAATCTCGTACTCGTAGTCCTTCTCGTCTTGGAATCTAAAGATGATGTTACACGAGACAATTCGTAACCACGATTTTTGGCGCAACACAGCAACATTGTTGTCACATTGTTTCAAAAGACTACAACATTGTACCAACATTGCAACGCTGTGTTGCGCTAAAAATCGTCGCTGGGAATCGTTCCGTGTAACATCACCTTAAAGGCCTCTGATAACGTGCAGAGATCGTGAAAGCTCATGCGAAAAACGCGCGGGGACTGGGGAGAGCAAGGTCATTGCCCACTTTTCCAGATCACGCGTCTCTTATTTTGCGACGGTCCCTACGATCTAAGAGCCTGGCACAGGATAATGTGCGCAGTCTCTGTAGTGGTTGCGTGAAGGATCTATTTGGCCTAATGGGCCTAATTTGCTTTCAAAAATCGTTTCCAACCGTCAAGGACGTGTCTCCCATGGAGTCCCTAGAGGCTATACTTTAGTTAAACGTTAAACAGGATACTTCCCAACACAACAAATTGCACGCAACTTGACATTTCAACGTGGTTACTGATGGTTTTCAAACTATATGAGATTCGTCTGGCGACGGTCAGTGTTTTCTATATGAATTTAAAATATTAATTATAATAGTAAAACAGAGAGCACGTCCTATTTGAATCTACCTCAGGAACACAACGACGTCTTTCACATCAAATAAGCCTTTAACTCGGGCAGTTAAAATGTTATAATAAATATACGAGAAATTTGAACACTGTTTGAATCGATTCAGCGTTGTCGCGCGATCTTTTCAAACTGATGATTGCTCATGAGATTCTTAATCTCAACTGGAACTGGAGTAAAAACTTGAACGCGACTTCACAATGGTGGGTAATAGGCGCTGTTTGGCAAGACTTCACCTTCACAGTTCAAGGACTCGAAGCTTCTGACGTTCCCCTAGAAAAGACGAAAATTTAACACTTCTCGCATTAACTTGGAATTGATCATTTCTGCTTTTAATGATCACACTGCTGAGTTGAGATAAATACGTCAACTAAACTTTTGGCTCATGCACAAAACATTTTTTCATAGAAGCTACCAATAATGCAAGAGAAGAATGAGAAAACCACAACTAGCTAGTTGCAAAACGTTTGCGTTTGCCGTTTGACGTAAACTTGACGCTTCACCTCTCAATTAATTTGTTTTGCAGCTGGGCTAATCGCGGCCGGGACCACAAGAGTGATAAAAAACTCAGGGGGCTAAACCGTTTCCCCTTTGTCAGGAATTGTTATTTTCAGAAATTATTAACACAAGTTCTCCCGACGTTCTTCAATAGAACTAAGCCCGCCATTTCAGGCTGAATTTTTGAATCGCCCCTGAAGCTTCAACTCAAAATTTCCCCTTAATCTGTTCGCCAACAGACATTTTTCAGTTTCTACAAATGAAAACGTTTTTTTTTCTTTCGATGAAACAATGCAATTCATTTGAATGTCAATGTGTTAGCACTGAAGCACTAATTGAGGACACTATTTTTAGGTCTCCATACTGGAGACGCGGCCGCCATTTTACGTGTTTACCCGTGCCATACACGAAGGTCTAGCCGTTTGCAGGGCAAAGGCACCTCACCACTACAGGGCAGATATTAATTACCTGGTCATAACCAAAGAGAGGGTTGCTTTGGCTAAAATTACTCGGAACACCAAGGCCAACTGGGAATCTGTTGATATCGAGAGCTATGGCGGAGATTCGAGGAAATACGACCACGTTCTGTAACCACGGTAACTGATGTGGTCCACCACGCCCAACAAATGGTGCGCCCGCAATCACAGGGTTTAATCCTGAATAGTGTAATACATTGTTCCACATTAATAGAGGCGCTGGGTTAACGTTATTGGTGTTGAGCCTAAAAAGGGAAAGAAATACAGAAATTGTTTCCCTCTGTCAGTCTGTACCACAAGTCTGCTCCACAGCCGTTCTTTGTAATGCACGCAACGCTCCTCCACAGCTGGGGAGGCTAGGAGCGTTGCCTCACGACACAAAGAACCACTATGCAGCAGAGTACTGTACCAAACAACTTTTAAACCGTTTCTCCATATGAGGACAGACGTCGCTGTAGGCAGGGGGGAGGGGCCATTCCAGTATTAACCGCTGGCATCCTCTGAAGTTGACACGAGTTACCTCCGCATGTGTGATCGCATATACTTGCGACGACTGATTTGACGTATGCCTTTATGAGCCACCGTGTCCATATTCCGGAATATTAAGCACATTTCATGCCATTTACTAAAAACGACGTGACGACAGTAACGGCGGGGCACGCCGGGCTAAAAAGCGAGTTAATCAATGGATCGAAATGGCAGAGCTGCACCACTAAGAGTCGTGTTCAGTTCTTTCCGACCGCCGTCGTTACGAGCATCGAAGCCTCACAAGAAGCAAACGCTGTCACACGTTTCACAGATACAATTGCGTAAGGAAGCCTGAAAAAAATTCAGGACTTCAACAGGGTTTGAACCCGTGACCTCGAGATTACCGGTGCGATGCTCTACCAACTGAGCTATGAAGCCACTGACGTTGGGAGCAGGTCAATTGTGGGTTCATACGTACCCGTGAAAGAAATGAGTGTTAATCATCCATGAAATAAATCATGTATGAACTGCGGAAATGAAATGAAAATGAAGAAATGATCGTCGCAGTGAACGCAATTTATGCAATTGCGTAAAGAAGCCAGTAAGCAGTTCATAGCTCAGTTGGTAGAGCATCGCACCGGGAATCGCGGGGTCACGGGTTCAAACCCCGTTGAAGTCCTGAATTTTTTTCAGGCTTCTTTACGCAATAGTCTAGTTTCGAATTAAAAAACTGAATACAAACGTTCAGGGTTGCGACGTAAATCATTTCTTCATGTTTGAAATTTGAATTTAGACCGTAATAAACAGGTCTTTTTCTCGTTGGAATTTGTGAATATATTACTTCAGATGGAGGCTAAGGGAAAAGCCCTGGGGACGAGGTTGAACTGGACTATTACATAAATTGCGTTCACTGCGACGATCATTTCTTCATTTTCATTTCATTTCCGCAGTTCATATATGATTTATTTCATATATGATTAACACTCATTTCTTTCACGGGTACATATGAACCCACAATTGACCTGCTCCCAACGCCAGTGGCTTCATAGCTCAGTTGGTAGAGCATCGCACCGGTAATCGCGAGGTCACGGGTTCAAACCCCGTTGAAATCCTGATTTTTTTTTCACGATTCTTTACGCAATTGCATAAATTGCGTTCACTGCGACGATCATTTCTTCATTTTCATTTCATTTCCGCATGAACTGCTTTCATTTTCTTGATTCCATTTTCATTGCCGTCCCCGTTTAGAATTACACGATTTAATTTTTTTGTTTACAAGCATTATTAACCAGAGCTTCGATTTTGACCCTGGCTAAATCTATATATTACCAATTTATGACGAACCTCTACTGAGCGGCCAAACTCTATTTGCCGGAACCCCGAGGGTGGCCGCTTAATGGAGGTTCAATTGTATTTTTTGAACACCCAGCTCAATCAAACGTGAGTGGGAACACAGGTTGTTTTACACTTTGTTGATAACACGTTCTTATCTGTACCGGCACCCTTGCGGCCACACGGCTATTCTTTGTCTTGTCACGCAACGCTTCTCCCCAAAGGAAGTTACGAAGAAGGGTTGCGTGATGAAACAAAGAGAAGCTGCGTGAGAGATAAGTACTAGCAGTGCCCTTATCCGTTATTTACGCCCATTCTTGCCTCACCCTCCCTCCCAATGACAACCAGGCGTTGTAAACTGTTCTTTTACCTTTGTGATGATACGTCCTCAATTTCATTCCAGGGAAAACTGGGAGGACTCAATTGATCAACCGTTGGGATAACGTCGTCTGTTTTCCATAGCGATTCAATTGGCGAGGTAGGCGAACCTGATTGGTCAATTGATGTGAGATTGTCCTGTTTCCATGGTGATTGATCACTTAACGGCACCTCATGTGTCAAGTGCTGTGCTGTATTGTTTGAACAGGTTGTCGAGACTTGCTTGACAAACGATTCTTCTCTTGACAGTGATGGAAAATATGTCTCTGTGTGGTTATTTGGGGGAGTGGGGTCTCCCTTTTTACGAGGATCCTCGACGTTTGGAGATTTAGGTTCTTCTTTTCGCAGACGTCTTCGGGAGTTCGCAAACCAGTTCTTTAGCTACGGTAAAATAACAAAAGAAGTGGGAAGATAAGAATGGGAACGTTTTACTGAGTTGTCCATTAAGCCAATGTTAACTGTATACATGCCTTTAAAATTGAAATGGCTGCTACTATTTTCCGCTCTCCAAGTGCCACATAAAAGAGAGTCCTTAGCTGAACTTACAAGTGTACTTTCAACTAAATTTCAAAGTGAATCAAAGCATTCAAGATGGGGATTTTCAATACTGCCTCCATATAACATTGTTACCTGGCCAAGAGTGATGCCGTATTTCTTTGACAGCATCTCTTTTTCAGCGTGGTTTGGGTATGGGCCGTGATCTCTGAACCATGCCTGCAATCCTTGGCTGATATATCTGGGTATTCCTCTTTTTTTACGAACACCAGATGGGCAGATGCTTTGGGGAGGCACGTTTCTAAGAAGGATCGAAGACAGTGATGATGCACAATACAGACTGTGAAGCAAGTGTTTCATTGGTGTAAAAGAAATTTTTTTCTTTTCTTTAAAACTGTTTGCAGTCCCCTGCTTTTTCATAACGCCATCCTTATAAACTGTGTCGTTTCCCATCGCCCCGTCTCTTGTGATTGTGGGTCGGTAGGTCGGTCGGTCGGGAAAAAAAAAAAGAATGAACACTTACCTCACGTTTAATCTGTAAGATATATAATCAGATGCTAAAAGATGTATATTAAAACGACTATCAAATGTCTAAACAGCCTTTGAAAAACGTATCGATTTTAATTATCGATGACATCTCATCATACCAATTGTTGTTAAAACAGGATCGTGTGCTTGTAAATTAAAGTACTTGCTTCTTTGACTAATGTATCTAGAATTTTTTTTTTTACTTTTTGAAAAAAATGGGTCGGTCGGGCGATGGGAAACCGTAACATTTTATTGGGATGGCCTAAGTGAGGGTGGTCGCCATCAAGAGCACTGATGGTTAACCTGAGACGTCTGAGGAACGAACACAGAATATACTAAATTCAACCCAGACGTCTGAAAGTTTGAGCCTGTTAAAAGCACAACCCAACACAGAATATACTAAATTCAGTACACAGATCTGGGTCCAATGCTTCTCCCAGCGATCATTTGAATGGAAAATTTGAAGGCTCTCGCAAATCTTGTGACTCTATCAACTTATACGTGTATAACAAACTCAAATACACACCAGCATCGAAAGCAGTATAGTAAGAACCGGTTAGGTCTCCTGGAATCTCATAATCTTGCGGACCAATACTTCAACTCCCATGTCGCCACGAACAAAATGTGGTAGAATCTCATTAAGATAAGGTCACATGCTATTTTTAGGATCTTACAGCCGCCCCTCCCCTCCTAATGGGGGAGGAGGCGGCGGCTGTACAAGGGCTGTATTTTTAGGGGGTTTAACATGTTGGACAATTTTTCTAATCATTTCTAGGTCTATTAATGTCTTGCTTTCTGACTGGCTGACTAAAAAATAATAAAAGTTTGCAAAATTAAAAGCCCTTGAGAAGTTGACGTATGGCTCTTGCCCAGCCGCGCGGCCTCTGCGTTTCGAGTCACGTGGTCCGAGCCGGTCTCCCTGCCATTCGCTCTGAACCAGAAGGCCTTGGAAGACACGCTAGTAAGCATGACACCTCTATATCGCGGGATTCACTTTAAGGCATACACTCTTTAACTTTTTTTTTATAAAGAACCTTTTTTACAAGAAAGTTCGGCCTGAAATTTGCCAAAATATTAAGAACATGCTAAGAACATACCAAACGCTCAGAGGCGAGCAATTTATTTTATCACTGCTTTTACTCTCCTAACTCCTGAAAATCTGGTTTACGTAATGTCTTACATGGAATCAGAATGCATGTAAAATTTCGTTCTTTCAACACATTCCTATCGTGTATGGTCAATATAATACATTTACAATGTACTTGTAAAATTATTCATTCATGTAAAACTGTAATCATTGTCTTATCATGGCTATATCGAGCTTTAAAGTTATCAGATTTTCGTTATTGAAATTTAAGAACATCCTTATGAACATTGTCAGGCTGAAACTGCCCAGAAAATGAGAACGGTCCAGGGCGCTCAACTCGAAAAATGGACATTCTGATAAAAAAGGGGAAAAGGAGTGTATTGCCTTTGATTGTCTATGAAATTAACGGAGGACAAAATGGCGTGAACTGTAAGTACATAAAGTTCCCACAGTAAAAACCCTACAGATTCAAAAGGCCCTTTGAAAGTTGAGAGAAAACTGTTATGACACATTTTACCAGCAGAAAAGATCAGAAAAAATATTTTCAAAGGACAAAAAGAACCTCCGCGCACCAAGATGAGTGACGATCCGCAACTACAACACGGGTTTTAAGAATGAATACACTTAAAATCGAGGAATATCTAATCTGCAGTGTATCAATCTACTTTCGAATTAATTATGAAGAGATGTAAAATAATTTTACCTTTTGCGTATGCAGAATCAGGTGTGAGCAATTGACGGCACTTTAATAAAAGTCGGTTCAATCATTTGATTTTATCTTGCCTTATTTTATAATAATGAAATCTGCAATTCCTGTGTACTAATATTTGCCCTCTTTAAAGAAAAGCGTAACAGAGGAAGGACGAAAACGGATTGAAAGAATGTGTTGCCATTATAGAACCAGCTGTAAAAACGTCTAGCTGCGTATCACTTATCAGCGCTTAAATCCAACACTATTCTATAATCAGACTATAAATATAAACAGATTTTCCAAAAACTATCACTCACTTCTTACTAAGCCAAGAACTTTTTTTCGTGGAATTGTGATTGAATGTAAGCGAATGATAGATCCATATTTAGCAGCAAAAAAAATCAAACTTACACTGCTTTCAAAAGCACGTATTACGGCCGATCCCTTTTCATCAAGCATAGTGTATTGACATAAGCAACGTTATTTACAAAACACCTCTACTAAAAGTCATCCATTTCAAAGTGTACTAAAAAGAACTTTCACAACATTCTTAACTGCACGTACAACATCACTGTGAACAAGAATTGATTCGAAACTCAATGGTATATCAAGCGGCGTGTGATATCAACAAAATGTGTCTAACAAACCTTTGTCGAAGGCGATATCTTTGCACTGGAGTATGACATTTACTTTCATAAAAATGCGCTTGATCCCATATCTCGATAAGATCTTCTCCGTTGGAAAAACTTCCCTCCTAGTTCGGCGGAAAAAAAAAACAGAAATGAACAATAGTTTGTACATTGCGTATGACACGAACAAACCGTTCGAATAACTGCAACATTATCAAGTCATGTCATCTAAACTTCGAGGGAACTGGTTTGAAAATGACGATATCATTTAAGAGTTCACCTCAATAAGTTTGAAAACTTTTCCTACGTCTTTTTTGTGCCACGCAACAGCAATTCTAGCTCTTGTGATGTCTTCGTTGTTGTTATATTCTTTAGTGCTGGGAAGACACTGCAGTAAACGTTCTACCTCCGAAAATTTGTTGCTACGAACAAGACACGCCACGAGCTTTCCCATAGTCGCAGGATCCGAGTGAGACGATAAAATTCGCTGTAAATACCGTGTTCGTTTCATAATGATAATTGCGCCAGGAAAAAGATTTTGCTGAACATGTCAAACGTTGTGAATATCATGCGTTTTTATATCGTCACGTCAAAAACTGTTTCGGAACCCGCCCCAAGTCCCCTATTGGCTGACTATCTGTGGCACGTCCAGACATTCGGCGCCAGTGATTTGGTTAAAAAGCCTAACTTCAATTTAATGTAATCAAATAAGTACATTTACAAAAGTAAATTCGAAATATGAAAACCAGATTCTCTTTTTACAACAACATGAAAGGCCTCTATGCTCATTCTCGACACCAGAGCTCAGCTCACTCTTTCGACTTGTGCGATACTGAGAAGGGCTCTGGGGTCGAGAATCATTCTCATTCCCAGAGCTGCGATCCTTTAAGGCTGGTTTTCGCTTCGCGACGGAGTCGGAGTCGTAATCAGAAGCGTACAGCTTATGATCTAGTGAAAACAGCGTTCCGATTCCGCTTACGACTCCGTCGCTTACGTTCCGCTTATGATCTAGTGCAGATTGTCGTAGTCGGAAGCAGAAGCAGAAGAACCAAACCAATCACAAAGCTTGGGAACGAGCATTCTGATTGGCTTATCCTTCCGCTTCTGCTTCCGACTCCGACAATCTGGTTTTCACTAGATCATAAGCGGAACGTAAGCGACGGAGTCGTAAGCGGAGTCGGAAGAAAATGGAAACGTTCTGATTCTTCTGATTCCGATTCCGTCGCGCTTATGACTCCGCTTACGCGACTCCAATTTCTGATTTTCACTGGGTCATATGCGCTCTTACGACTCCGCTTACGACTCCGACTCCGTCGCTAGTGAAAACCAGTCTTTAGTCAGCGCGGCGCTGAGCAAAAGGCGCGCAGCCCTGGGAACGAAAATTGTCTAGAATGTTGCTCTACAGAGCCTCCTGGGGGCCTGAGCACGAGGACCAGGAGGCTCTGGGGACACGGGATTTGAAGTCCTAGATTCTAGGACTTCCGGTCATTTCCGATTCGAAAGTAACTTGGAGGATTGCCTTTTGAAAGCTTTGAATCAGCTAAATCAAAAGTCATTGACACTTCGGTAAGTCAAGTGAACGCTATTAGAAACGTTGTAGAAAATCAGAAATGACCGGAGGTCCTAAAATCTAGGACTTCAAATCCTGTGTCCCCAGAGCGTCCTGGTCCTCGTGCTCAGGCCCCCAGGAGGCTCTGGGGACGAGAATGTTGACGAATGTTCTATGATCTGCCCATACTCGTCCCCAGAGCCACTCGGCTTAATTTGTAAAAGACCATGTGACCAAGAAAAGACGGGCTCTGGGGAAGAGATTGTTATTTGCCTATTAAATTGGCCTTTTCTTGACGCTTGCTCTTTAGATTTTAGAAAATTATTATTTTCAGGAGCCCAGGTGCTCCTATTTTTCCATTTATTTCTCTGTCTTACCTATGTCTAATTTGATTTAATATGAACAAGGTCAACACGGTCACTGTGGTTGGCTGCGCACATACCAACAAACAAAAACACAGATTAGATTGACCTCTATAAAAAGAGAATGACTGAAATCGGCTTACACGAAAACGGAGCCTCCCATGAGTACCTGTGGACGTCGTTTTTGCCCCGCATTTCCCATCAAATCGTCAGTTTTTTTATCTAGAATTAGTGCCTTGCGTAATAACACATGTTATTCATGTTAAGTATGTCCCTAAGATAATTTGCAAGCTTATTGTACATGTTATTCATGTTAAGTATGTCCCTAAGATAATTTGCAAGCTTATTGTACTGGCCAGTATGATTAATTAAAAACATCTTTAGTGTAAATGATGCACTTTCTATAAGTTAACAGGAATGGTTGCCAGTAGCTGAATGAATCCATTTCCTTTGTTACAGATGAACACTGTTGCAGTACCTTAACTAACCCACTACAGTTTCTTACAAGTAATCAGACAATTCAGCAAAAATATAGCAAAGTCAAACCTGTGTACAACAGTCACCCTTGGGAAATGGTAAGGTGATCATTATTTACCAGGTGACCACTGTATACAGGGCCATTATATACAGCTTAGTTACAACTACACATATTTCCTCCAATCTACTATTGTTTAAAAAAACTGTAAATGCCATAAACTGTCACTTATCAGACCCCCCCCAGCTACTGGCCCATCTAGTGGTAAGAAATAAATAAGAAGAAATAAAACACATACAATTATGAGCCCCCTTCTAGCTTGTATCAAAATGAATTTGATTATTTGATTTATGAAGACATTTTGAAGATTAAATGAAAAGCTTTATGAATTTTTTTTTTTTGATCAGCACCGCGAAAGCTTGTTTTTTCTATTCTGGTTATAATCCCTCTTAGAGGCAGCAGTTTACAATAACCTTAAAAACAAGGAAACAAGATGGATATTACATTTTCATTCAAGTAAATTGTTTGTTTTTAGCCTTGTAAACATGGGTATCATCTTCTAGCAAGAAAAAAGTAAAGAAACATGGCACTTAAACGAAAATGTTTGACTGTCAGACATAAAGTATTTTTGAATTTGTTTCCAGAAGCTCAAAAATCTAGCAACCATGCAAATCCTTGTATAGTTCCGAGCTTAGCCAAAAACGCCCATTTTATGTCAGAAGAATAACATTTCTATTGTTCCAACACATACAGAATTTTCTAAATCACAAATGGAAAAACAAATTTGACTGCCAGACACAGTGTGTTTTGAAAATCCTATCTGGCTGTTTGGCGTTTAGTACCACTGTTCCAGTTAGCAGCACCAGAACATTGACATACAGACACATGAAATATTTTTGGCAGTTTTCAGAGTGCTGTCTTTTAAACAACTATTTTATAAAAGCATACACTAGAGACCTTCACCAGAGCAACCAAGTGGAAATGCCATGTGTTGCATGATATTGTCTTCCTAAAGAATTAGGAAAGGCTAGTGTGTTGACCAGGTCTGCGGGTTTGCACGTCTGCATGTGTCCAACACCAGATAGTATAAAAGAAACCTTGAGATCCCTATAATAAGACAGGATTGATTGTACACTGATGGATGTCGTCTGTTGATCTCGCCAATATCTGGCATGGACTGTTGTTCAGTTTCCATGCCCGACGTCATTGATATGCATCCCTAGAGATGACTGAGATGGAAGTTATTGACAGCAAGTTAGTTTAATGAGATAGCTTGCATGATCTTTGTCTTGCCAAAGAGCAATCACTTCTTTCCATAAGAGTGGCTAATTTTCACGTCATTGATGTACAGCAAATGGGACACTGGTTATGCCTTGATTTCAAACATGCTTGGAAACAGGTCTGATGCAGCAAATGACCACATCTGAGAACCTGGCAAGGAATTGGAGAAGAATGCATATCTTCCATGCAAATGGGACAGTTTGATCTCGAGCTTTTCTCGATGCACCTGTGTGAGCTCCTAATGCTTTTCGGATAGCACATATCACACCTCTTACAGTGAAAATACTTCTCTTTTCCTCCTGTCCGACAAACCCCGCACAAATCGCAGTGAAATTGCCCCTTATCTCGATCATCATACAATCGACAAATCGAGCAAAAGTAAAATCCAAACTTGATCCCACATTCGCTGCAGTGAGAGACGACACTTTGCAGCGCTCCACACTGATTACACTTCACTTGTTGCACAGTTTTCCTATCGAGCTCGTGGGTTTGTTCAGCAGCATCATGACAAAAGCGACATGGATAAATTTTGTTGCAACAAGGAGCCAAAAAGGAACATTTTCTGACATAATGTTGACAACCAGCCATTTTTTGCTTCGTAGTTAGATCCAGTCCTCCTCGTCGGTTTTGACCCCAACTCGACTCCGTGTCACTCGCGTGCGATCGATTCCCGATTTGCGGATCACTGAGCCTGCGTGCGCGTGGGAGGCTGATTGCGTAATGCTTTCACGTAAAATATATTTACATGTTACGACTAATTCCTAAACTGAGTCTTCACTTTCACGTAGTAAGTCACGATCGTGCTTCCCGAAAAATGTTTTCAGTAATGTTGAATAAAACAAAGAAAACAAGTTTCCCGTGACGTCATCCATGTATCTGTTCTCTGATAGATCACTTGTGGACATGACAACGACCAATCACAGAGCTCGTAGCATTCACATCGTTGTATACATATGGCTGATCCAATTAAAGATTGCTTTGGGCATTGGGAATTGGGTACTAGGAAGCTTTTGTTTGGTGGTCATTCAGGCAAATCATTACATTGTTTCGTATGACCAAATGCTCAATGCCCAATCGCCAATTCCCAATGCCCAAGGCAACCTTTATTGAATCAAATATATGTATTTTCAGTATATACGCACTCAGTGACCAGGGTGTTTCAAGCAATCTGATTGGTTCGCTATCTCAGACGTTATATTCACTGCACTGCAGGGCGGTGACCGGTAAATTAAAACAAAACAATAGCGCTGACGTGAAAGCGGTGTTTTGCCAAAGTTCTAGACTAGGAACTTATGAAAACAAAAAAAAAACCCTTAAGCGTTGGAGTTTTTGAAGGAAAAAAACGTCAGTGTTTAAAACAGCGTTTTCTGATTTATTGTAGCCCTACTTTAGTTCACAACCATAGAGGAGAAAGATGGAAAAATCGATCTGTGAGGGACTGGCTACAAGTCCGCATATTTCGGGATTATCAACACAAGACCTACATTAGTGTGAAAGAGCATACCGCATTCAAATCACTTTCAGTTACTTCGAATTGAATGTCTACAATACATGGCACCCCTGGAGGGCTAGACCGGTATCTACTTACTGAACTTTTTTTACATTTACTTTCACTCTGTTTCACTGTCTCACTGTTATCACTGTTGCTCTTCAACCAAATCGTCAACATTCGTCGGTTAGTTGTTTAAGTCACCTAGCTAACACCGCAAACAATACATCCTTAACTTTATGTTTCCTGATGTTTTAATATCTATTCTTCCTATATTGGCTTCATGGCTACCGTTGTCAAGCATAAAGAACGCAGGGCGTTAATAGCTCTGACTTGACACCACATTCGCTTAATAAAAAAGTTACATCATCATAAATTGCTTCGTATCTGTCGCGATCGCCTTGTGCAACAGTGGAAGGTTTTTTTGCTTCCCTTGAGCAGTAATTATGCTTGAAATAAATAATCACTTGCTTATTTGACATGTTATACTAGCGTGACGTTTTAGAGCACAGCTGGTTACACTTGCGTCAAACAGAAAGTTACACCGGTGAAAAGAGGTCCTTATGGGTAGTTTGTGTCATTTGTTCCATTGTTCACTAATCCATTAAGTTAAGTTGATGTTGCCGCCCAACCCCTCGCTAATTTACAAGAACACTCATGACTAAACAAGAACTATTTATAAATGTTCCTCTATTCGTTTATTACGTCCCATTGTTGATATCCTCTCAGCTGAACAGTCATCACGCCACAGTCAAGGAACTGTTGTTTTCAACAACAAGGACCCGTGAATGAAACAACATTCCTTCGCAAGCTAAGTCATAAAAAAGAGATGAGCCGCAATAAAGTCTTTCCAGTGGAAGGAGAGGAGAAAAACACGGGAGAGAATGAACATCTAGAAACACAAGTGGTGCAGGGAAATGGATCAGTGTCAAACGGTTTGCCTCCACAGCAGTCGCTGGAGGTTGAGTCTAGCCAACTTTCTGCGTCTACTTCAACCGTTTGTAATCAAGGCCAAGATTCCTCCTATGATGTTCTCCAAAATGAAAATGACAGTCGGGTTCAAAACCGGACTAGGAAGTTCAGTGCTGCATCGAGGAGACGGGACAGTAATATGGTAAACCATGAGAAAATAATAAAAGAGATGAAAGCAAACTCAAGCGAAACGTTGGTCAAAAAAAGACAAGACGACGAATGTGCCGAATGCATTCTGGAATACATCAACGAGGCAAATGATGAAAACAGAGGCGAACAAGGAGAAATAGCGCAATGTGACAACGGAGAGGACCAAAGCGAGAACCAAGCAAACGAAACTGACGGACTCAAGAAATCAGAAGATTCCAACCAGGCCTTGCTGCAGTATTTTGGAAAGCTTTCGAATTCTCACAATTGCGACGACTGCCTGAACTTGGAGCACATTAAGTCGTTGTTAAGTGAAGGCGCTTCAGTGAACACCAGTGATCGGTTCGGTCAAACTTTACTGCATGAAGTTTCCAGAACTTGGGGAATAGATGTGGCACAGTTCTTTGTTGAACAAGGTTGTTATGAATAGTTTGTTAACTCATTAAGAGTTCACCTTTTGAATTCTGCAAATGTCAATTGTCGAGTATCCTTCTTGTACTTTGATATTCACTAGTTCATGTTTGTTCACGTAATGCCCTTGCAACTTTTAGTTTGCAATAGTTTTCATTAAACGTTTCTTTAAATGCCCCTCGGTGAGATACCGTATGGATCTAGAAGGGAAAGCTTATAGAAATGAATAAACAACAAACCTTGGTGGGTACTTATCAGTAATAGACTAAACAATTGGTGTTAACTGCCTTAAGATTAACTCTGCCAAAGGTGAAGCTTTAATTGATTGTAAATGTACAGAAATGGCGTGATCGGCAACCAGGAACGTTCCATTATTGTGATTAATTCAACGTTTTTTGGTGCCATTCTTTGTTTAGGTGCAGACATCAACAAAGCTGATGATTATGGTCGAACACCGTTACACGTGGCTGCCTCATCTGATTACCCACAGATGGTCAGGTTTCTTATTGAAAATGGCGCAGACTTTCAAGCGACCACTAAAGGAGAGTTACAAACCCCACTTCACTTTGCTGCAAGGAACGAAGCATCACAGTGCATTAAGATTCTTCTCGCTTATGGCGCAACTTTGGAAGTCCGAGACTACAAACAGCGCACGCCACTACAGGTAACACATGCACTGACTAGAGGAGACATATTAAATTCTGCAAACAGAATACTGCAATGCTGATCGTACTACGTGAAAATTAACTCTGCAAGACATCAACACGACACCGAAAGAACTCAAAACAGAGCGGGATTGTACCTATAGACGCGATTCTGTGAGTGTTAGGAGTTCTGGGTCAGGGCTAAAATCAGAGTGCGCGGATAATTTTTTATCAGAGCCTGATCTCTGGTTGTTACGCCCTACTGACGAGCCCCAAAGAGGGCGAAACAGCTGTCTATGGCTACAATCCCGCTCTGTTTTGAGTTCTTTCGGTGTCGTGTTGATGTCTCGTAGAGTTTCAGTTAATTTTCACTTAGTACGATCAGCATTGCGGTATTCTGTTTGCAGAATTTAATATGTCTACATTATTATTTTCGCTGGTCTTTAAAGATCCTACGTTCTTCGGCATATTCGTTTGCGGTCCTTTTCAGTCCCTTGTGGTTTTAATAAAATGTTTGTACTGACTAGAGGGTCTGAATAGGGTACCTCGATAACACTAAACACTTCATTTTTTGAGGCAGAATGTGAGCAATGAAGACATAGACCAACACAAAGAACACCAACAATTGCTAAGGAATCTGTTTAAGCAGGGTATACGTTATTTATAATGTAGAGTATAAACTCTACTTTTACTATTCAGGCAGAATTTGATCAATGAAGACATAGACCAACAAAAAGCGTTGAAAGCTCTTCGTTAAAAAAGACTACAGATCGTGGTAATAAGAATAACTGTGTGTTAGTATTCCTCAAAAAGATGTTCGTCGATGGAAAATGGTCTAGAAAAAGGCACTTGAAAATGTTATTTAAGTTCTCGAAAAACCTTCAGGTACAACGAGCCTTTTATGTTCTGGACTTTTAGTAATTATATAGTTGAATCCGCTAGCGGGCATGATGAAAAAAACCCTGAGTTATGATTGAAGATGGCAAAGGCCTGCTTGACACGGAGTGTGACGCTGTTGGCCTTCGTCAATTGACACCTCAACATTGTGTGGGTTAATGTTCCAGCTACATGATGTTGTGAACTGTTAGGCGTTACCAGGCAGCGCTTGTCTTTTCTCCGGCAAAGTTTCGTAACAACAACCTCATTCAAAAAAAAATTGGCCAATTTAACAGCAAACACTAAAACTTTTGGGCAAATAACACTAAACACCAAACCCCATTCAGACCCTCTGACTGTGATTTTTCGAACATCAACAGTTGCTAAGGAATCTGTTTAAGCAGGGTATACGTTAATTATAATGTAGGGTATAAACTCTACGTTTATTATTCAGGCAGAATTTGAGCAATGAAGACATAAACCAACACAAAGGGTTGAAAGATCTTCATTAAGAAAGACTATATATCGTGGTAATAAGAATAACTGTGTGTTAGTATTCCTCAAAAAGATGTTCGTCGATGGAAAATGGTCCAGAAAAAGGCACTTGAAAATGTTATTTAAGTTCTCGAAAAACCTGCAGGTACAACAAGCCTTTTCATAACTTTTAGTTATTATATACAGTGAAACCTGTATTAAGCGGACACCGTATTAAGCGGACACCCTCTATTAAGCGGATAGTAGCCGAAGTCCCCAAATTTATTTCCCTTATTTTCTGTAAATCAGAACCTTTATTAAGTGGACACCTGTATTAAGCGGACGCGGACACCTAAAAAGTATCTGAAATTGTCATTTCTATTGTCGCCAACCTGCATTAAAGGGACACTTGTAATTAAATTCCACCACCCAACATGCCAGACACCGGAAATATGAAAGACTGCCTCGAATTGCCACCCACGAATTTTTCGATTTTTAAATTAAAAAACGTGACTTGACGAACTTATTTGATCATTTTCTCAGTACAGTATTGTTTTCTATTTCGTTTTGTTTGTATAGAGCTTGTTTCACTCATCTGATTTCGTCAATTTTGAGTTGCAATCTATGTTTATGGTACTATGATCAAATTGGTCCACTTTGATAAAGAAATTAGTGCAAACGTCATAGTCTCTGGGACTATTCTAAACGTTTCCACTGATCATTTCAATGGCATTTGACACCTCGTATGACTTTATCTATCGAAACCTGTATTAGGCGGACACCCTGTATTAAGCGAACACTACAGCATTCCCAAAGGGTGTCCGCTTAATACAGGTTTCACTGTAGTTGAATCCACTAGCGGGCATGGTGAAAAGAACCCTGGGTTCTGATTAGCTATCTGGCCGGGCGAGATGGTCCCATCTTGCCCGCTCGGGATTCCCCGCGTCGGTCCCGCAAGACAAAGTAATGTCTCTGACCATATACTAAATCCTTCATTGACCAAGCTTGTTCGGTCAAGAGTGTCATTGGTAGATAATTGAGAAGCAACAAATTTTAAAAAACTCAGAGCAAGAAAAATTAAACAAATTCGAAACTTTCGTGTAGGGTTCGGTTACGCAACTTAGTAGTCACGTATTGTTACGTATTCCCTCTTCATGAGCGGATTATACTGAAATGGGCGGGAGGGACGACGCCAATAAATTCCAAAACTCAGAGAAAGAACACCTCAAACAAATTCCAATGTTTTGTTCAAATCGCTCGAACTTCATGACTAATGTTAACTGATTGAGATTACCCGAGGTTACTTACGGTTACGTAACTTAGTCCTCACCGGTCATTTTGCCGCAGTTACTTATTCCCCTAATTCGAGTCATTTAGCACGCTTCAAATGTAATGTTCCTTGTTCTTAAAGCCATAAACCAAAACAAATAAGCTTCAAATATAATATTCCTCGTTCTAAAATAGGGGGCTAAGTAACCTGGGCGAAATTACCGTAAAGCATTTCTTACTCCAAGAGAGCATTGTAAATGGGCGGAAGGTACAGTTCCTCGTTCCTATTCAGGGAGGGTTTTTATAAGATGGCGAATGCCTGCTTGACGGACGCGAAGTGTGATGCTGTTGGCCTTTGTCAGTTGACACGTACCTCAACATTGTGTGGGTTAATGTTCCAGCTACATGATGATGTGAACTGTTAGGCGTTACCCGGCAGTGCTTCTCTTTTCTCCGGCAAAGTTACGCAACAACAACCTCATTCAAAGTTACGTAACCAAATCTCATTCATTTTGCATTGCTAATAAAGTTCGAGCGACTCGAACATAATATTCCTATTTGTTAAACTTTTCTTTGCTCTGAGTTTTGAAGGTTGTTTCTCTTATGTCTTCGCCAGAGCAGAAGAACCATCTCTTTGACGTTCTTTAGCTGGAAAGGCCACCACTAGAAATGTTAACAATGGTTAACGTTCGAGTCTCTCGTGGAGTTTTCTGAGTGGGGCATCATTTATTCACTTTGCAGTAACATAACCCTTTGGTTCACTGACCAATTTAACGTCTTTCGTGTCGTTTACTTCGTAGCTCGCGGCAGAGACCAACAGTGCCGAATGTGCCAGAATTTTGTTGGAAGCGGGTGCCTCTGCCGGGACAAGGGACGACAGCGGCATGGCAGCTTTAACGCTGATGGTGACAAAAATGCCAAGTGTGGTGAGTGTTAAAGCCCATTCTTTACCAGTGTGTGTTTTTAGGTTGATTTCGTTTCAACGCCCATCCATAATTCGTCAACGAGCTCTTGGAATTTGGAATTTTTGGCCAGAAAACAGTGCTAGTTTTTTGGCTTGTTTTTGTTTGCTACAACATTTTGTTGCAGTAAATGGTTCGAATCGGAGAGTCATGTCATAGGAAGGTGTTGAAGATCCAGAATCTAACTCCGTTGACAAAGACTGGCATTCAGCACCTCTAGAATCTGAAATCCACGTCGTGGAATTCAGACTCCAAGACTGTCTTGGAGTCCCTTACATAGGGCGATAGGTGAAATATGCCTTGTCTACGTGAGTGTAGTCGTTCAGTAAACCTGTGCGTTTACTGCCAACAGCAGTCCCCTTCAGGATTAGGTAGTCGGGACTACGGCAAGCCCAGACCATCATTTCCCACTTTTTTGAGAGATGTAAAATTGAACAGAATGTTCCTTTCTTTACATTGTAGGCACTCAGGGCATTGGACCAATTTCATATCAAGGACAGATCTCATCGAAAGCAGCGATACTATCTCAACTTTCTGGAGAACTGTGATCCCCCGAACTCTGAAAAACACTCGGTAACCACGTCTCCCTTACTAGCGACTGTGGAAATGAACTGCTTTGAGCTGATCATGCATCCGATATTTCAGCGACTGATCGAGGTCAAATGGGGATTTTTTGGCTCAAGAGCATGGTTGGGGATCTTTCTGAATGTTTTGCTTACTGTCGCTTACACTATTCTTGGGCTTCTTCATCCCAATGATGCCTCTGATTACTACTATCCCATCAGCACTAATAGCTGGCGAATACCACTGGAAGCAATCGTTGTTGTCTTAACATTCAACGAAATCAGAAAGGAGGTGAAAGAATTTTACCAGTCTAGAAGGGAAAACAAAACGTTTATCGGCTGGAGGAAGAAAGAGATCAAGCGTGACTTGCAATTCTGTCATCCACGATGGTCTCAAGAAAAAAAGTTCATCAAGCAGCATGTAAAACAGATTAAAGAACGTGAAAGGTTTTATTTCCAAGACAGGTGGAATTATTTTGACTGGGTGACGTATGTGATGCTGATAATCGTCATCATATTGCATGTTATTAACGTCACCGTCCAAAGCAATAACTACAACGATATTTTCATTCGAATCCTCGCCTGCAGCATAATTCTAGTCTGGGTCCGACTGCTTAAGTTCGCCAGACCCTTCCCGAGTCTAGGCCCATTTGTAGTAATGCTGGATAGCATTCTTGGAGACACTATTAGATGGGGTTTTGTCTTTATGATGTTTTACATCCCTTATGCTGTTGCTTTTTGGATGATATTCGGCGGTCGTACTAAAACTCCTGTTAAAGGCTATGACAATGTGTTCCACATGCTTTATACAATGATTCGCTTTCCACTTGTGGACAACTACGGCTTCGAACGATTGGAAGACGTCGCTCCATACATGTCACGTGTGCTATGCGGAAGTTTTCTTCTCATTGCAGCCATTGTTCTGATGAACTTGTACATTGCACTTCTGTCAAATACTTTTCAACGTGTTTTCGACAACGCCCGTGCCACGGCAGCAATGCAGCGTGCCCGTCTCCTACAAGATCTTGAATCAAATGCATCTGACAAGACCGTTAGACGCTATAGAGAATTCATCCGGGACAGATGCAGCCCAGAGGGAAACGACTTGCTCGTTGTCATATCCGATGAAGAAGATCAGAAGAGACAACAAAAGGAAAAGATTGCCTTGGTCCACACGATTGTCAGCCATCGACTTGGAGGCAAGAAATTTGGAAAAGTCCAAAAAAGCGAGTTCGATACTGTAATAGAAGACATCGGCCTTTTAAAGCGTACACAGAGCGAAATGGAAAAGTCAGTTGAACGGCTGCATCTTCGTCTTGAGGAGATTGGAAGCCTAAATGCCGTTATCTACCAAGAAATCGCTAAGCTGTTGCAGGGCGGGAAAGAACAAAGATCAGCTATAAGCGTTGTCAGTGAACAAGTGACGGACTTGAAGAATAACATCACAGAAAAGTTTGGAAGTCTGGAGAGTGGCATTGATTCGAAGATCAAAACTCTCGAAACGGAGGAAAAGTTGAGAAATGACGTTTTGGAAAGCAACATGAACTCGAGGTTTGATCAACTTGAAATGGAATTCAAAACCTTCAGCTCATATTGTAATGAATATCATCAAGCATGTGAGGAGATGACCTTGAGAATTGACGAGCTGGAAGCTTATGTAGTCAGTGTCGAAGAAGATAAAATCAAGGAAAAGCAAGAAAGAAAGCCTAGTCCTAAACCAAGGAGTAAATCTGCCAAGGGTGGCTTTCAAATTGTTGAGGCAAACAGAGATGTGTTGAAAGCAGCTGCCATGTCCACAAGTACTGATGCCACATCATTGTCCTTAAGTAAATCTCCTGAACCTGTTGCTGATGCAGGATCGGTGCATGAATTCGGTGAAAGTGAGGACGAATGCATAAAGAAGCAGCGTAAAAGAAATATCACTTTGTCAGGCCAGGCGGCAAGAAATGAGTACATCGCCAGACTGAAAGAGAGTTTAGTGACAAACGCGGAACAAAGTGATACAGAAAAAGATAAACGCGAATGAGATTTGGAAACAACTGGAGTTAAATGAAAACCTCCATCAAGTGATATAATTCGTATTGAAGAAGCGGAAGTTTTCTTTCAATTTGAGAAAACCCGTCCACTTTCTCGGCTTAAAACATTTGACTACATGTCAAAGTCATAATCACGATAGGCCAATGGCGTGTTTTAAAGTGCACATGCTTTTACGCGTATGTTCGCTGACCCTTTTGGTAGTGTTTAAAAACTCGGACAAGTTATTGCATAAAACATAAAGGCTCCAGTGCCTGTTATGTCGAAAAACGACTCAATTACAAGAAATGCCTTTATCGTGAAAACCTCTCCAGGCTGCAAAGGGCCAGCAATGACGTAAGAAGGTTTCGCCGAATAATCAGCTATACGAGGGGTATGACAGCTAGGCTTTCCTAATGCTCGGGGTTTAGTGGTTGAGACGTTACAAGGCCCTAGTTGTTCTCTCAAAAAAACGAATTTGTTTTTAAGTACGTATGAGGGGCATGTCACGATGTTGTTGCTGTTTTAGGTCCATTCTGTACTGAAGTCATGACTTAGGGCCTGTTTACATGCGGGTGGGGAGGACCCCAGGTAAGTGAGGTAACCCGCTTAGGTGGGGTAACCCACCTGTCTATATAATCTCTCATTTTAATTTGATCACGTTTACATGATATGTGGGGTGAGCCACCTCGGGTTACCTCACCTACCTGGGGTCTCCCATCTCCATGTAAACAGGCCCCCAGTGTCTTTACCCGCCATACACAAAAATGCTCCTGTATAGTTGTGAAGAAGACATCAAACAAATGTTAACAGGGAGCACAAACCATAATAGTTTTTTGGGTGATTTTGCAGGGATAGCATTAAACTGCTTGAATACGAACTTTCCATCCATTACCATCCTTGCCATCCGTTTCATCAGACGCCAGGAAACAATTTCATTGCCTAAATATATATAGAGGATATTACGTGGTGGCGCGAAGATATGAATTTTATTTTCGAGTGGCAAAACAATATTTTACGAACGAGCGCAGCGAGTAAAATATTGTTTTTGCCACGAGAAAATAAAATTCATATCTTCGAGCCGCCGTGTAATGTTCTTTTTATTATATAGACAAAAGACGTCGATACAATAATAGATTTTTATTCGCGCAAAAAGTAATTGTGACGGCTCAAATTTATAGTGAGAAATATAAGACATTGTTTACAATAATCTTGAGAAATAACACTGAGCTGAATAGGGCTCTACAATGACAAAACATAAACAAAGCTTTGAAAAATGTGTAAGTAAAATTCAAAAGACGCAGGACGCGTTCCAAATTTCGAAGGGAAATTACCGAAATTACGTCATCGATTAACTCCTTCAAACGCACCAAACTGACTCCAGGAACAGTTGAGGATGTCATTGTCATCTTCGACTCCGAAGGCCGAATAACAAACAAACATAAGCGGTGTATAAGCCCCTCTGTATAAGCCCTTCTGCTTATAAGCCCTACTAAAACCCGTTATGAAGATTTATAAGCCCAGGCCTTATCCCTTGAAGCGGTAGTTTACAGTATGTGAGTACAGTCGCATATTGACGCCTATATTCTCCATACCATTCTGCATAAATTTCCATGAGGACACATAAAATTGATATCAGAGTAGCGCAGTTTATTTTAATTTCATAACATAAAAAAGTTCAAAACAGCTATCATACATATGCATATTCTATTATAATTTTAAAATCTATATTGGAAAATTTCCTACGTTAAGTCAATTCATCAAATCTATTTAGAATTTTAACTTCTATATTATTGTTATAATTGATGATATAGATTTTCATGTTGCGTTTGTACTATTATTTTTCTACGTTTTATTGCTGTTGCCATATGTTACGACCATAACGTTTCTTCAGTAAAGTTGTTTTACATTACCTTACTTGAGTGTACTTGGCAGTTCTCTTTTGAAAACAGACTGGGGGCTATAGGCAGTGATTACTAGCTGATCATGGTACATGCGAGGCATAAATGGCTTGTTTACAGCTGAAATGCACTTAAACCTAGGCCAAATGTCGCACCTTTCATGAGACAAACCAAACTTAGTGAGTTAAGTTCATGTAAAGATCGACGTCTGGCTCAGTTACGTTCGTTTGAATGAGTTTGGATCGTCCAACATGTTCTATCCGTCTGCTTCAGACGGATAGTACGTCTGAATATCGTCTCCGAGACAAACGTCGATCTTCACATGCGACTCTAAACTAATAAATTAAGAATTTGTATGATAATGTACACTCGCTCAGGAGAAAATTTATTACTGATCTGATTCAGTTGATTGGTTCAACGTGTCCTATGACGTCTGACCCAACAGACGATCTTAACTTAATTTCGGTGGGTCGACCCAAATAAGAGTTTGGTTCGTCTCATGAAAAGTTCCACGTTTGGCCAAGTGGCACTCACCCATTAGCTAAAGGTATAGGCCTCCTGCACATAGGTATGCGACACTAGTTAGCTACTTAAAAGCATGGCCGTTTCTGTTTTTCATACCAGTGGAGTGGGGTGGGGACCTTTGCGGAGGAAATAGCAGTCTTTCTGAAGACGGGCGTTCTATTCATGTTCTACCACTTGCAAACTTCTCTCTTTCTTTATCCTTAGGACATCTGACAATGAGATCCTCAGGATCAGAAGTGAGAAACTAGCACTGTCATGTGTTCATAACTACTCCTAAGATCGCCGCGGCGTTAGTTATTTATTAAAGTAATACTGAAGCGAAGCGTTTACTGAAATCATTAATTCGAGAGCTTATGATTCCGAACCTTTTGAGGTGAAATGTGGTTTACAGCTTCTGTTACAAATCGCGAATCCCTTCCCTTTCAGTTATGCTTGTTCACTAACTGGTCTGATAGCGTCTTCCATTTTCTACACATTTAATGTCCACGGTTTTATTATTTTGTTTGCTTCTTCTTTTTCCGTTTTCCCAAAGTATGAATAACTTCACCGATCATATCTTTCACTTCCCCAATCTGATTATGGAACTGAGCTGTTAGCGCTCTTTGCTGCTGTTCCAATCTTTTCACTTCTTCGCGTAGTTTGTGCAGATCATTTGAAGAGCCACCGCCGTTCTTCCTTTTTCGATCGTTTTCCTGCTCGTTTACGTGCATGAAAATGTTATCAACTTGCTCCTTTATCTGATGGGTCATTCTTTGCAAATCCTTCTCTTCTCCTTCGCCAGCTAAATCATCATCGTAATACATCTCTTCTGGATTACATCGTGTGTAGATGAAGTTCGTAAACGCTCGTCGCTTTGAGACGGAGAGACTTTTCTCCAAGGAGAGAATAGTGCTCGCTTGCTGCATAACAGCATTTGCTTTCACATTGTCGTAGACTCTTTGAAAGGTATCCGACATCAAAGCGATGAAAAGGTTTAGACAAATCACGCCCGAGACTGCAATGTAAGTGCCACAAAGTACCTTGGCCATAATAGGCTGGGCTCTTGACAGACTGTCGTAGTTGTACTCATCAACGACAGTCATTCTAAACATGCTGTACAAGAGGTCTGTGATCGATGAGTAGCCGTCCACCCCCTTCCGACTGAACACCATCCAAAACGAGGCCGCGTACGGAATGTAGAATATAAAGAACAGAAAGCCAAATTTTAGCACATCGTATATCACGTGACCCAGCATGACCACGAAGGGCCCTAACGTAGTGAATGCGCGTGCGTACTTCATTAGACGAGTCCAAAGTACGATAAGTGTCGCTGAGAGTATATTTACGTGTACTGAGAGTGCCATTGGGTCGTCAAAAACATACGCTATGAAAAGCGTTGCTATGGAAGCAACAATCAAAACATAGGAAAGCCAGTCTACGAAGTTCCAAGCGTCTTTAAGATACGAAGGTTCTTGGTGGCGCAGCGAGTCGATTTCCTGCATTAGATAGAGTCTCTCTCCCGGCCACCTCGGATGACAGAACTCTAAGTCGCCTCGCAGTTCATCTTCCCGCCACTTTACCCAGAGCTTATGTTCTCTTTTGGAAGCCAAATACTCCATGACTTCCTGCCTGATAAAATTAAGCGTCATTAACAACGCTAGCGATCCTATTACAACCCTCCACCACTTCTTCCCAATTGGGTCAAAAAGTTCATTTGCCTTATATGGTGTGGTAACACCAAGCACGGTCCACAATATCACGAAAAACAAGTTTGTTATGACTTGCCACCAGGCTCCCCGCTTCCCAAAGTAATTCCATTTTACTGCAATAAGTCTCTGTATGACAGGATGCATGATTAGATCAAACTGCTTTAGCTGAACAATGACTTCTAGTGCTGTCTTGGCGCAACCGCTGCTCAAACAGGTTGGTACTGGAGGCTCAAGGTAATTTAAGTAAAAGTACTGCTTTCTATTGGCTCTGTCAGTGGAATAAAATTGATTTAGAGCTTCTTTTGCCTGAAACAAGAAAAAAAAGAGAAGGATCCTGAATTAGCAAGTTTCAACTAATATTTAATTAATGAATAAATGTCAAAACACTGATCCATCTGATCTTTAAGTGTTTTTGAGTAGGTCAGGTGAGTTCTTTCGTGTGCCACTTATAAAGCATTCTCTCGTTCCATAGAAGGGCACCCAGACCCAAGACACTCATTGCTAGTTAGAAGAAACAGTAAAAATACACATCAATGGCATTTTTAGTCTTTTATCTTCGAAACTCATGATGAATTCCCATACTAATCCTTGTAATTGGACCTGGAGGATTCTCTGTAAAGAGCTGGGTTCTTTATGGTCCCGGCCCACGAATGCCACAATCATTTTGGCGCCCGCCAGGGTCTGCAGGAGCGCTGCCCAAAAGAACCGCGTTCCTTGGAAGGAGAATTAAGTTGGTTTGTAAACAGACTAACTTACAACGCTAGGCATCTTGCTTATCATTAACACCAGGGCTGTCATGCCACTGTCATCGACCACGCTAGCTTCCGCTGACCGCTCTATCAGAAATCTCGCAGTATCAGAGCGATCCAGTTCCGCTGCCACCTGAAAGAGGAAAACATTGCATATGTCAGTTACCCAATGATGTTTAGTTGAAGGCACACAAAGTTAACATACTTACAATACAGCTGACTTGTTTATGGAACAAAAACGGCTTCTCTAAGTATTCGAAGCTTTAGAAAACAATGCGTTTTATGTTAATAGGTGTGATTTTTTCGCTTTTGATCAAAATATGTAACCTTTTCCCCTTTTGTTCACATAGGTGAATGGCCGTAATGAGTGTTGTTGGAAAGCCTGATGCTGTAGTTAAGGTGAACATCGCCAAAAATCGCGGCTGCGCCTTATAGCCGGGTATTTTGGCTTAATTTTCAGTTTTTTAACTTAGAAAATCGCGTTAAAAATTGGGGTGCGTTTTATGACCGAGTGCGCCTTATAACGGAAAAAAATACGGTAATACTCAAAATCATATCACAGAGCTTCCCTGACAAAAAAACTCCGAATGAAACCCATGAATTGAAAAGTCTAACACCTACCTGCAAAGCCGTTCTCTGTTTAAAGTCTTTGTCTGTTATATCAGCACCACATTTCAACAGCATTTTCAGCGATAAAGCTGCGTCATTGCGTGCTGCAAAGTGCACAGGCGTCTGCTGTTCTTTGCCAGTTTTGGCGTGGATATCTGCTCCCCGCTGAACGAGGAACTGTACCATCTCTGGATAGTCCACTGCAGCGGCCACGTGCAAAGGGGTGCGGCCATACTTGTCCGCTTGATTGACAGATGCCCCTGGTGACGAAAAAGAACAAGAAGCAAGCGTTTGTTTGGCTCTGCATGTCATGGTTGAGGCTGAAATAATCAGAGTTGTTTACGACCTAGTTAATCAGGTGATATACAACCATTTACATTAAAGAAGTCACCTAAAGCTAAAGCAACTAGACCACGACGCAATATGAAAAATTTCATTTGAAAATTCCCAAACTCAGCCAATTGAAGCACGATTCCCCTGACGTCACAAACTGACAAAGGTAAACGTTTTTGATACCATTCTATGGGACTGACAGCCGGGAAATGAGACCCGCAAATTTTAATTTTTTATCGCTTTGGCTTGATGCCTTAAAATCTGACAAGGTTAATTAAAATAGCTGTATGTGCACCTGTTAAATGATTACTACCAAACACATACTGAATAAACACTGGGAACACTAATTTAGACTGTTAGAGGCTAAATTGAAAAAATCACGTGCAGATCTGCAGTAAGTGGACAAACAGCAGTGATGTATATTGAGGTAATGTAGGAAAAGCGCATCGTCCACTTACTACCTAGCCTTAGGCCTCATTATTCCGCTCGGCCTGGAACCGAGAAGATCTAGGCAAGTTCGCACTCAGAACACTGAAATGATTCAGAGATATGCTTTCTTACTTTCCCGAGTGTATTAATATGAGCCGATGATGACATCATGATGACCGATTTTAAGGCTGGTAGCTTTTAACGAGAACGACAATAATGTTTTCAGTTGGAGACGCAGCTTTATGAGGGTCTCAATGTCTTTATGAATAACTATTTCATAGGTTCGTCTCTGTTGGGAAAACTCGGACACTTTCCCAGTCTTTCCCTGTCACTGACTGAAATGAAACAAAGAATTCTGGCCGTTGTTTCTCTGATTGATAGACAAACCAGACTCGAGCCCTCCATTACTAGAATTGTTGTGAGGCTTTTTCATGGTTTTGCTTTTACGAAATCATTAAGAGACCATGCTCGTTTGAGGTTGGCTCTCAATTAGTTGCCAGTGAAGAAAGAGCAAGGAACCGATATTTTTGATTGAAGGTTTTTCTGCCTCTGTTTTAAAAGGTGTATTATACGGAGAGAGCTTGATGATTAATAGTATTAAAGGTTTGGAGATAGCCTTCCTCTCTAAGGTGCCTTTGCGCAACTACGCCCATGAAGGCACATGGGGCCCTTACATAGGGACCTTACGTTCCGACGATGGCGACATCAACGAGAACGTCAAAAAAGCGACATGTTGCAACGTGACAACGAGAAAATGCCTAATTTAACGTTTTAATGGAGAAAATAAACATCATGGACGAAGAAATTTCGTGTCAGTTTCTGAACTTGAATTTTATTTTTTGGAATTCAACTCAATTTGACAAAGTAAATTGGAATAATAATTGCCATGAAAACTGAAAGAACGCGGATTCACTTTTAAAGCAAATTTTTGGCCCACGTCCGCCGTGCTCAGATCAGATTTTTGAGGGAGATCTCAAGGGCTCTCATGAAAGAACAAAAACAAAACCGGTGTCTGGGACAAGAAGCGAGACCCCAGCCCGTGACTTCAGGGAAAACATCCTTTCATCAAAAATTCGAATAATACTGTCATATTTATGAGTCTACGAGCAATTTAGTATGAGAGAAGATTGAAATACAAATCGTCATTCATTTTACAAAAAATCGATCCTTATGAAATGGTCCTTGTAAATAGCCTGCGAACGCTAACAGAAAGCGTTCGCAGGCTATTTACAAGGACCATTTCATAAGGATCGATTTTTTGTAAAATGAATGCCGATTTGTATTTCAATCTTCTCTCATACTGAATTGCTCGTAGACTCATAAATATGACAGTATTATTCTTAGCATTTTAAAAAATGCTAAGTAGATAATTAGTATAAAGCAGTTGATAAACAACAAATGCTAGAGCGGCCTTCATCTCTATCGCTTCGTCGTGCTAGCATAATTTGCTTTCCCTCCTGAGCTATATAACAGGAGAACCGACCTCCTCTAGAAATAATAAAAAAAAGACAGAAGAAAATTCCAATAAACGCCAATTGATCCGGGAAAGATTTGTCAGTCTCACCTAGAATCACGAATTAGATTAAGGCATTAGATCTCAAGACATCCTTTTTTTCTCGGATTGAGGTAATCATGTTGAATTTTTTCCGTGAGAACGTGAACATCTGCAATAGCAGTGCCGTATCGCAGATTTATTTAGTTTATCTCGTATATTAGGAAAACATGCACTAATTCATTTTTGAACTTCAAGAGGCGATTGTGTCTCACTGGTTGTCTTTGTTTAGTTAATTTAGCCTAGTTTTATGTGCGTATTTTATTATTTATCTTGAAAAGAAGAAAACGAAAAAGTAAGCATACATTTAATAAAAACTGCAACAACACCACATTTAAACAATATCTCGGTATAAATATCTGTTTTCGTTAAACCCGGCCGCACCCATAAAATATTTTTCTTATCCAAACTACGACGTTAAATTGTTGAAAGGGTTGAAATAGTTCCTTAAGGCAATTGGATTTCACCTTTTAAAGAAAAAAGTCTTATAAGTTACATCTTGAAATTATCATTAAAACTGAGTTATAAAGAGGAAAAACATGAGATACGAGTTGTAATAACATCTGCTACAAAGAATTTAAAATTGGAAGTTGATAAGACATTTCCTACCAGTTTTGCTATATAAAACAATTTCTGCCGTTTTATTGAAAAATATAAATATCCGTCAAAAAAGAAAAACCTAAAAAAGTTCGAATTGAAATTATGGTTAGGACTTGAGTATGGAGGAACGAAAATTTGCGGGTATTGTCTGCTATTGTCACGGGTTCGCGTGCCTTAACATAATAGACAGTTCCACTTCTAAATCTATGTAAAATATTGCCAAACAGACTTGTGGTGATAATTTTAATTTCCAGTCACCTTTTATCTTATCTTTCGCTTAATTTTAATTTTCGTGAATGATTAAAAATTGAGGGAGCTGATAATATTGACTGGCCTGAAGCCACATTGTTGCTTTTTCATTTTGTAACTCGAAAAGCTCATCTGGTATGTTTACAAAAAATATTTTTATGAGTGATTCACTGACTCCTATCAATAGGAAATTCCAATATTTATTGAGTAAAATATATACTCGCTGAAAATGTTTTGAGCAATACGCTCGGTATGTATTAATAATTATTTTCAAGAAACAAATTGCTAGCACTGATGACCTAACACATGTCTAAGCTGAAATATTCCCATCACGATTTTAGTTTTTTTCTAAAAGTGTATTGAAATCTTGAACTTAATCAACTGTCAGATTAGGCGTCTTTTGCCCGACAAGGTTAGAAAATCATTAATTTTCTTACTCTTAACAAATTTTTTGACTCACCTCTTTCAAGCAACAATTTAGCTACGGAGAGATCCCACTGTCTGGCTGCTTCGTGTAACAATGTCTGCCCATGTCGATCAGCTGTATTCACTGACGCTCCGCTTTCGATAAGCGTTTCAACGAACTCTAGATCAATTACCTCCTCCTCGCGTGTCGACGCAGCTAACTTGGCGAAATAATAAAGCAGAGCTCTGCTGGGGGAACTTACGGTAGATACCCCGCCATCTTTTCTACGTTTCTCTTGCGAAGTGATCTCCACGAGTTCTTCCAAATCGCTAAGTTGCGCCGCGTTCATACGATGATGATTTACTCTCATGCTTTCACGGATAGTTGGAAAATCGATGCGCGCTTTTTGATATTCGTGCCATGCTGCAATGTCGGCTCTTTTCCTGGCATATTTTCTCCATTTTGACACAGTCACCTTTGCTTGACCTGCCGATTTTAATGGAGAAACTACCCGTACTTTCCGGTTAAACTCAGGGCTCTCTTTCTCCTCAAGGCTCGGCACTAATGGAGATGCATACGCTCCGTTGTTTTCTTCAACTAATTTTTGGTCTTCCTCGACAGTCAGCTGAACAGGAATTACTCTGTTCTTATTTATTTTCCCGTTTGCAGTCATTTTAATTCTGTATGTTGCCTGGAGCGGTCAATTTCAGTTCAACATCTTCTTTGTTAATGACTTTGGAAACAACTTGTCTCGCTCCTTCAATTTTAAATAACTCCCCACATACGCTGGTGTTAAATTTAGTCACAACTCATGCTTATACTTTACGGTCGTTAAGTAAATTTACCACCCGTTACTATGTAAATATCCTGGTCCAAGTATGATGTATTCTCGCCCTGACGAAACAAAAATAACAAAAATAAAAACTTACGCCGCGACGTAAGACTGAAGCTTGTTTGAACTGATACTTTAAGTAAAAACAGAAAGGAATGATCACAAAACTCCAACCATATTGTACCTACTTACTTACCACCACAATATCAGAGACATATTCTTTCGATAGATTTTCCATATATTCTGAAAAGGGCTTCTCCAGCAGACATTTTCCCGCTATCCAAATTTTATGTACGCATGATATGGTCACACAATTGAAGGATGATTTTAAATAAAAAGTAATCTTTAAGACGACAATCGCATTTGTTTATCTCGCAGAAGGGATATCCTTCAAGCGATTGGTTCAATAAATAACCTCCTGCCGTTTACGAATATTAAATTTGAGATATTGTCGAAAAAGGGGAAAAAAGGCAAGACTAGTTTTTCTTTTTATTTTTCTAATGTCAAGATATATTCGCAAATCCAGGGGAACAATAGAGTTTGCGCGTTCTTAAGTGATTATTTAATGTTTCGGCATAGCATTTTAAACAGCATAAGTCATTTGTTATTAAAAATATGACTCAAAATAACGATGCGGTGGCAATGGTCTTCAGCGCGTCACTGCGACAGGTGCCCGGTAACATGAGCCCGCGAGGGTAAAAAATAGCTGTACAGCCAGTAAATAAGTTAGTTCATGCGCGTACGTTCACGTGGAAAAACAACATGGCGGACGAAACACAAGAAGTTTGCTCTTTTCATGAAATGAGTATAGACGATCGACTTATAAAGGTAAATTCCATTTTTTAAAATTTGGTATAACCTAAATGCGTATTTTAATCTTCATGCAGGGTTTTGTTTTTATTTGACAGGCCATAGCAAAGTTGAAGTGGTCACAACCGTCTCCGATCCAGGTATGAGCGCTAGGCTACCGTGTGGTTTATCAACTGTTCTTCGAGGTTGCTTACTAGTACGTTTTCCCTATTCAACGACAGATAATGCATTTGTTCGTTTTTAACTTTGTACAAAAGCTAGATTTTTCGAATTTCCTCTCGATACAAAACTTTATATTTCCATCATGCTGTGCTGATTATTACTATACAACTGAACTTCAACTTCAACTTTATTTCAATCTACCTACAGGGCATTAACATCAACAATTTTTAAAAACATATTTACGAGCGTTTACTAATCTATAAAGGTACATAAAGGAGAAAAGACAATCTTAGAGGAGAGAAAAACATTGTACGTGCATAGTGGCCAAAGGAGAGACAGGCTTTGAGTTGGCCAGTGTCATGTTAGCTGTAGAATTAGAATCCAAAGAGATGAGTTGGGTCGGTGGCGTTACTTGTGTGTGCCTTCGATTTTACAGTAACCTTTTATTCCATAAAGATCATGTTTGATTATTACTGTTTACAGGAGAAAGCCATTCCTTTAGCTCTGGAGGGAAAAGATATTTTAGCCAGAGCAAAAACTGGATCAGGAAAAACAGCAGCGTAAGTTCTCTTCAAAGAAGTGCACCTGATTTCCAAAGTCCTTATACCGTATACATTGTTTAGGGCAAAAACCTCAACTTTACTACCCTGTTTAGGACAAAGGACAAAAGGCATGCCATCTTGTTTTAAAGCCATTTTTTGGCAATTGCTATAAGGAAACTTGCCCAAATTAGTTGTACAGGCAATTTAATTGGAGCAAACTCCCACAAAATTATATACATGTACCCTGTTTAACAGAGACTCACGCAAAATTATACACCCTGTTTAGACAGAGAGGTAAAAAAACTATACCCTGTCCAGCAGCATATCCTGGTATAGGGCATTTGAGGGTGAACACCCCGCTTGATGAACAAAAGTAAAGAAATCTCACTTAGTATTTAAAGAGATCGTGCAGAAAAATACTTCCAACTTTCTTTAAACAACTGTATAACTTTCTAAAGGTATCAACACGTACATATTTGCAACCCAGACGACCGGGTGTTCACATAATAAAGTTGTTCAAAAGGAGACATTTTACTGTATATTAGAGTTATAAAATGTTACATGTATATAGCTAACAGTGGAGTTAATAACGCTGTGATTATTCTTATAGTTATGCAATACCAGTGGTGCAAAGAATCCTACAAGAAAAACAGGTGTGTTCATAACAAAGTTGATTATTAGGTTTTTTAACATGGTTTTAATTCAAGGCTGTGCTTCTTGGGTGTATAGTGTGCATACCATATTATTGGTTTGGTGCAAAGGCCAAGATTTCCTTGCTGCTGAAAAAGGCAAACATATGTTTCCATGGGTCACCGTCTGTTGCTGGGTCATTACCTTGAATATTAACTTTATTACTGGTTTCATTTATTCGTTTTCTTTCATATTCAGTATATTTGATTACCGTATTTATTCACTTATAAGACGCACCATTTTTTACAAGAAAATATGCTTGTTTGATCAAAATCTGCTCAAAACTCGGAGTGCGTCTTATAACCGAGTATTTTTGCGCAACAAAATATAACTTTTCCAAATTTCCCAAATAAATAATGCTAAACTGAAATGACTATGTAAATAAATATCTGTAAATGAATAAACAAAAGACAAACAACGTTGATCATTGACTTTATATGATTTGTTGGTTCTGAAAAGAACTGGGGTGGCTCTGAAAAGAACCGTTTGTTTGAAAGCTCGGCTGAGCTCAGCTACTCGTCGTCCTTGCCTTCGCTGTCTGTCTCGAACTCGTTGTCGATCGGTTCTTCTGCGTCTTCTGCTTCTTCTTCCTCGTCGTCCCAAACCGCATCATCTTCAGTTCCATCGAGAGCAAAGGGAGCAAAGAGCGAACATGCTAAAAAGCACGTGCTTGAAATGATTGACGTCAGAAACAATTGAACAAATTGCTAACCTCGCTCTCACGAAATGAGGCAAACGTGACTACAAATCGTTCGATAAAATTGTCATGGCCGCTATTAAATACTCCAAAAACGATAAAGGAAAAATAACAAACCTTCTTCGTCCATCCAGGCCTTCTTGTGTACAGAAACCTGCATTCTCCTGGGATATTCCGTATTCGCGAGCAATTTCACGGTTGTTGTTCACGGCTTCTGCTTCTGCTACGATCTTCAACTTGAAGTTTAGATCATAGGAATGACGACGAGTGCTCGGCATAATTACTGAAAATTTTCCTGTAATTCTGGATGCGCCTTATAACAGGGTATTTAGGTGAAATTTTGATTTTGCTTACTTGTCACAATCGTCTTCGAAAGTTTAGGGTGCATCTTATAACCGAGTGCGCCTTATAAGTGAATAAATACGGTAGATTTAACTATAGCAAAATGTAAATGAATCCAACCAGAATGAAATTAGTATTTGCCAGTGATATACAAGAAATTTGGCGCACGCAAAAATGCAACCTTGTTAACAGTTGTCTGATAAGTCATTAGACAAGTGCTATTTTCATCAGATGCATGGTGGCCAAGCAGTTAACAACTTGAACAACTTCAGATAGACCTGTAAGTCAAGGTTCATTCCTTGCCATTGCCTTACTTGCTTACAAACTTTCCTGTTGCTAGCATTTCTCTCTCTGCATGCCCAGATGTATATGTAAAGTGGAATTTCCGATTTTTGTAACCACCGTGGCAAAAGTTAAGGTGTAACTGGTTCAAAAGATTATAAGGTTTGAAAAATCGGGTGCAAAATTAGAATACAGTGTTTGACTGGTGAAGGGAATTTTGGTTTGGTTTGAATCATCAGGGGTATTGAAAAACTGAGGATTCCAGAAATGAGGGTTTTAATTCAATATTGTACATTTAGGTAATAGTGATGTAATGCTCAGGGTAGCAATGCAAATATGGATGTATAGAATCCCATCCAGGAGGAGTAGCCATATCGTAAATAACCTAATAAGCACCCACATCCAAATAAACGCCTCCAATCTATTGAACAGGCCCTTAACTCTGTTAAAATTTTCTTAGATGCCCCTCTCTAATAAGTCCCCTGTCTATTAGACACCCTCTATGAGAATTACTCCAAAAACTAGGAATTAGCAAAAACGATCAAAATCATTCAATTCACTTAGTTTCTTGCTTGATCAACAAGGCTTTGCATATTTCATCTTGTTCATTGTCGAGTTTGAATTAAGGATACACTAACGATGACAACACAATGACCCTGAACAAGGATTCTGACATCGATGTTGGGATTTTAGAAGAGTGATATGGCTCTCTAGACGGCCTGAACATATAATGGAGTGGACATTCCACTATTTTTTAACTCTCTTGATATATTTACCAAAAGTATATTAGTTTGGTGGAGCTTGTTACAGTTTTTCAGTTTCTCTCTTTTAAATGTCACTTATCTATTAAAAGCCCTCGCTTGGACTCCTAAAATTAACTAGACACCCCGGGCATTTATTAGATCATTAAGGTAACTAGGTACCTCATGCTACAGAAACTGGATTAAGCTCTGACTGTTTTGGCCTCATGGTGCTATTTTACTATCCTATCGTTTTTATCACTAACAGTGTTTTTATTGTATTTCATTTTTTACAGGCTGATTCCTTAAGCTGTGGAGTAAGAGCACTTGTGTTGGTCCCCACCAAGGAACTGGCAAAGCAAGCTCACAAAAATATCAAGGTACAGTGTATATATTAGTCAGGTAGAAGTAGGGTCTGATGGATTATGATGGCTTGATTTTGAGCTTTATTCACCTTTTCACACAATTTTGGCATAACACTGAGGAAATTTATTTTCAGCGTAATGTACATTTGTATGATATTGCGTTGCAGTGCTGAAAACTACATGACTATTAATAATTATTTTTTATTGAGTACTAAATTTTTTATTTATCCTTCCTTGTAAATTTATTCATTTTTTTGACACAGGAGATATCGTTGTACTGCTCTCGGGAAGTCAGGGTTGCTGATGTTGCACAAGGAAATCTTGCAAGTACCAAGTAAGAAAGCAGTGTACCCAGGCATTTGTTAAACAAAAGCTTGGGGTGCTTCCGGCCTCTTAAAAGCAAAAAAGGAGCATCATGAAAGGAGGAGGGGTGTGAAGGAGGGAGGGATGGAGAAAGGCAGCGCATCGCAAAACCCGTATTTGAAAACCCACTGGCCCCATTTAATGTCTGATTGACATCAGAATCAAATGCTACATGTACAGATGTAAATACACACCATACATAGTATTACTTAAAATGTGTTTCCCTCCATTCAAGGTCTCTGTTGATGGAGAAGCCAGACGTTGTAGTGGGCACACCTAGTGTACTCCTTGGTCATATCCAGGCTAAAGTAAGTACTACAAAAAATAGATTAGTCAGGGCTAAAAGCGAAGCTCCCATTGATAAAATAATTTATCATTCAAATCAAACAATAAACTTGTAATGCTTTAGGGGTGATCCATATGACATTAATTTTTTGTAGGGAGGGGCTGGGTGATTTTACAGAAAAATTTATTTGAGAATAAGTAACTTGTCAACAGAAGACCTCAAAAAAACACGTTACCTCAATGGGTGGACATTTGAGCCTGCGATACCTTCATGTGTTACTGGTCGGTGGATGCCCTTTTTTGACAGCTGTCAATTGACTATAGATACAAGTAGCATGGATGTACAATATCAGGTACATTGTAGCTAGCAGGTCTTACACCTAAGTTAGAAAGTGTGACTTTTTATATTGGTCCAAGCAGGTGGACAGGTGAGTGTACAGTCACATGACTACCAAAATTTCTTGGGTGGATACATGTAGATGACCAGGTTATCTTAGCTGTGGGGCTACGCTTGCTTGCACTTTGCATGCATGTGGAGCTCCACTATAATACTTTAATACATGTACAGATCCTTCAAAATGAACATCAAATGATTGTTTTCTTGTCCACAGAATCTTGATCTTAAGACCAGTCTACAGATGCTGGTTATTGATGAAGCTGACCTTGTGTTTTCATATGGTTATGAACATGACTTGAAGAGTTTGTTAAGGTAAAGTACAGAGAGTGTTACTGGGTTTTATTGAATGTGCTGCCTATCAGTTTTGCTGGCATTTATTATTATTATTTTTTGTTTGTTTTGTAGTCACCTTCCAAAGATTTATCAAGCATTTCTGATGTCTGCAACATTAAGTGAAGTAAGTAACATTGTTTACATAAAGAGTTTTTACTTAATTTTTTGAAATCTGTTCAAAACTCTCACTATAAAACATGTACATGTAAAAAAACGTCCTTGAAAGTTCTAGCATACATGTAGAGTGAAAAATGACATTTTAAAATAATAATAATGGTAACATTAATAATAATTTAATAATTTTAATAATAAATAATGAATAATATCCTGCAAAAGTGTTCAATCTACAGTAGTTGGCCTGATTAGTTACTATAGAATTCCCAAAATTAGCCCCTCCAAATATAAGCCCCCCAAACTCGTAATGCAAAAAACCCTCTGATAAATCACCCCTCCAAATACAAGTCCCCAGGGGCTTGTACTCAGAAATTGCCCTCAAATTCAAAATAAAACAAAGTAATTTAGAGTGACACTTAAAGTTTTACATTTGCCAAAGAACTACATGTCTTACATGTGCCAAATGACTGCGGTCAAAAAAAGTTCCCAGTATATTGCTGCTTGCGTAGTTCACTTTTCAGTCTTGGCTTGGATTTCCTCAGTCCATATAGACGAAGTAGTTGCATGGCTGTGTTTTAGGAAGGTCCATGTCCTCAGTCATATAAATCTGTTAAGTTGTAATTGTACATAATTGAGCATTATCAGCGTTCCAGTTCATTCTTTTGAGCGAGGGGGTCATGTAGACCATCTGATGGGTCACCAAGACCACGTGCTAATTATTTTTTGTAATATTTAACTTAATACTTAAATGTCATATGGGTCATGAAGCCTCCTTTGTCAGGTCATTGACCAGAGACCAGTCTCTTATCTGGAACACTGTTTATACCTGTTGATAGTTGTTCTTATTTAAAAATAAATAAGTAAGAACTGCCGTGACATGTATCAACCACTGTCCTTTTTAAAAAATTAACAGGCAATTAATAAACAGTAATTATTGTCCTAAATATTTATTTTTCACAGGATGTTACTGCATTAAAAAAGTTGGTCCTGCACAATCCAGTGAGTATACAATGTTTACAAGATAAATGTAACAAAATTCATGCAAACAATGCTATTATAGAAAGCTTCTAACTTTAACTGATTAGTTGAACATAATTTACACAACTAAAGTTAAATAAATTATTGTGACAGTCTAAGTATAGGTTGGCATACAGACACCAACACAACCAGAGTATATATAATGGCATTTGAAGCATGAACCCCTCTGCTTTTATACTGTTAGAGTATTGCTACTGATCTCCCTGGATTGGTTGGCAAACTGTGGTCCAAGTGACACATGTTCATGAACAGTATGTCACCAATACCCAGTTATAAACCTTGGTGGCAAAAGAGGCAAAATCTAAGGCAAAGGTTTTTTTCCTAAATGAGAAAAGAACACCATTTTAATCCCAGACCCCCAATTTGCACAACACTCTCAAATTTACAATGTCAATAAGTCTTTTTTTCTTTGAAGGAATTGAAGAGCAAGTTTAAGTTAAAACTGAAAGGAATTTTGCTCCAAATGTCATTTAAAGTACAATGCATAATTTCAGATTATTTGGTTTTATCACAGGTTATCCTCAAGCTTCAAGAATCTCAGCTTCCATCTGATGACAAACTTACACAGTATTTTATAAAGTATGTTAAAATACACATAACAGTCAAGTCTAAGAGAGGCTTTTCTTTGGACATTAATTTACCTGATGAATGCAAAGTGAATGCAGTAGAACGTCATAACTGGAACTTGGATAACTCAAATTCTACCCCAACTTGAGCTAATTTTCCTTTCCCACAATCAAAATTTCACTGAAATTTACCCTGATAACTCAAATTCCTGCCAACTCATACTGTTTTTTGTTTCCCTTCAGAGTTTGAGTTACTTGGGTTCTACTGTATTTGTCGCACAGTAATACATTTTAGGAATGTCATTTATGTTGCTGGGTATATGCCGTATAAGAGGTTTTTTTTGTCCTGTTATCCTCTTGTTTTCTATGATAGTAGCCGGGGGTCTAGTCTCCTTCACAGTCTCCTCCTGCTCAGTTTGGAGTCATGGAATGTTCTTGTGGGAGCAGGAGACATTGCTTGACTCCGGACCGAGCGGTGGCAAAAGGGGACTGCTGGGGGTCATGCACATTGTAAGATCTTGGCTGGTGGCAACTCTGACATTTACACTTTTATTTCATGTCCAACTATGTACGACAGATGTGAAGTAGATGAAAAGTTCCTTTTAATATACACGCTTCTTAAGTTAAGGTATGAGGTCTGCATATTGTGATAGTATGTTGGTTCTTATTTAGCAATTTATTAATGAATGAAGCTGAGTAGGATATGAAGAATTATACAGCTTGGCCTTGGTGGATAACACAGATTGAGGAGGGTGTTGACAACCCTCCAAGTTAAAGTTTTTGCTTAGTCGCCATTTGGCGACCAACTCTTTAGGTTAAGGGAGACTTTTTTACAAATCAAGTCGCCAGCTTCAAAATTCTAGGTGCCATGGCGACTAAAATGGTCGCAACTTGGAGTGTTGGTTGAGGTGGATAACACCCTCTGAGATCTGCATATTTCTTTTTAGTTTATACTAAAACAGTGGATAGTGTTTTTCGCGCGCTCTGATTGGCTACTCAATCAGTGAATATCCTGCACTATTCACTGATTCACCTCCAGTTCCTCCAAATGAGCGATGCCAAACTCGCGTAAGTTGCAAGCAAAATGCCTTCCCGGTTTGCTGCCTAAGAAACTAAGAAATTTCACAACTAATCAAGCAAGCTGTTCCCAAAATACATGAAGAAGGTGACGAAGTTTGGTTTGGAGGTTTTAACAGGTAAAGCTTTGTCTTTTTGACTTGAATTTATGGATAAAACCGGTGAAAAAGTTTTTTGTTTACAAATGCAAATTAAGCTTAAGTCTTGCATTACTTTATATGGTTGACTTGTTCATAAATAAGCTTAAAACTAAATTTAATAATCTTTTTTACAGAGTGATTTTAAATACAAAACGAATTCACAACTCCTTTTAAAGAAACTTCCCTGCAAGAGCTAAACAAATGCCTTCAAAAGTTTTATTTGTTGCCAAGAAAAAGCAACGACTGCGGCCGTTCAGTCATCACGCGCCAAAATTGTAATTGTTGGTAACAGTAAATGAGTTAAAAATCACCATTTTTGTGCTCAATTATCTCACTGTTTTAGTATAATTATACTAAAACAATTATTCACATCAGTGTCGGTGGCTAGTAGTGGATATTTACCTCACTGCTTCGAAGCCTCGGTAAATATCCACTACTAGCCACCTCCACTTCGGTGAATAATTGTTATATATCCTACAAAAGCCAAATTCATTAATTGTTTTATTATTCATTTAAAATCATTCCTAGTTTAAAACAAGCTTACCTTCATCGATGTTAATTTCACCTTGATAGTGCGTGTTTATAAGATAAAGGGCTATTCAGGTCTGCAAATATACTGTACTCCAAATAGCAGATGTTGTCCATTGAGTTGTCTTCTTGCTATGTTTTTAGACACTACAGTGTAGTTCATCGTGAAATGAGTAAAATGTTCCGCCGACTGTTTGGCCCTTTTTCTTTTCACAACCAAAGCAACTCAACCTCGTCTCCAGGTCTTCTAGGTTAATTAATAGTGTGTTAACCCTCAACTGTGCTGCACCTTTGATGTCATTGGTTGATTAATCGCAAAATTCTTCCAAATTTGGTCAACAGTAGCTGGTTATGGTGAATTATGTGTGTGTGTTTTAGCCAATCAGAAACTGAGAAATATTTTGAATGAATAGTAAGTAGCAATTATTGAATGAGGCTGAGTTTCATCGGAAGAATTATTGGGGTTGAGGAGGGTGTTACCTGCTGAGGTTGCAAGGTTGAGGTGGATAACACCCTCCTCCAGTATGAGGACTGTACTGACAGTATGTTGGTTATTATTATAGCAATATTATAGAATGAGGCTGAGTACCATCTCAAGAATTACGGAGATTGATGGGGGTGTTATCTGCTGAGGTCGCAAGGCTGAGGTTGATAACAGCCTCCGAGATCTTCATAATCCTTCAGATGATGAGAAAGGTCTCACCTCATATAGAGAGACCCATAAAAAGGATCAGAGTGTTGAAGGCCCCATTGGTACACTCCTACCCAAATTTCCCATAAATGCCCCTCCTCCTCTCCCAGGAGCTACATGTGTTAAAAATTACATTTATTTTCTGGACAAAAAATGTTATAGTTGCTATAGGTATCATTAAGTTCATTGTACCGTGATATACATGTGTTCACACATTTTTTCCTCTTTATAACAGACTTGTCCAAGGGAAAACTATTCTCTTTGTCAATGGGATTGATAGGTGTTACAGGTAATTAGTGGTAATTAGTGGTGGTTTAGTTTTAAATACGTGTAAATATGCATTTCTTTGGAAGAAAGAGACATAATACAATAGTACTCATACACCCTGAGAGATTGTTAACACCCAAACTAGACTACACAGCAGCCATGGAATGTACAGCCACTGCATAACCCCTGTAGCATAACAACATCCAGCTTGAAGTTAGTCCCAGCATTAACAGCTCAGACTTCTTTCTGGTCAGAGTTCTTTTGGTGCAGTTTACAGTCCATGAATGAAGTAATGAGTTATGAATATCCCCTAAACTTGACGCTAATGTGAATCTGTGTGACAGACAGTAAGGTGCCAGACATCTGTAACATCCATAGTGGTTGTCTCAAATTATCCACATACAAAAATTAATAGATTATTACTTTGATTGATTAATTCTCCAGACTGATTCTGAACGTCTCGTTAAAGAAATTAGTTGAGAGAATATTTGATAGAATATCATTTTTTATCTCTTTGGTGAGCATTTTATTCATTCTCAAAACTTTTCTTTCACGATTGTGAATATTATTTGCAAAGAATTGATGTTGGTCGCTCTTAGGTCAAGTGAGAGTACTTTGAGATGGATGTACTGTTTTTTTTCTTATCTGAGAAGAATAGCAAGTCTAACCGTAATTATTACAGTTGTCAGAGAAATGACGCACTTTTTCCTCAGTTATTTAAACACTCAAGTGTTGGTCCACTGAGCTGGGAATTGAACCAGTGGGGTTTACAGCTCCCCCCTGTGGTACCCAAGCAGTTGAGCTACATGTATGCAGCAGGCAATGAACATGACTGCAGTTGTTTACATCCTTAATTTGTCTTTTGTATCATCTGCATTTTCATTTTACTGTTCCAAGATTAAGGCTGTGCTTTAGGAAAAATTAAAGGAAGCCCAGTACTCTGAACCTGAAAAATCTAGTGTGCCCTGCAGCAAATGATTTTATGAAAAATCAAGCAAGAGAAAGGCATCAGAAGCGGCCTCCGGGTCTAATGTACTAGAGCACATCTTTGACGATAATCACCTAAATTCTCTCCTTGTCTTGCAGACTTAAACTCTTCCTCGAACAGTTTTCAATCAAAGCTTGTGTACTAAATTCTGAATTACCACACAATTCAAGGTAAGTTTAAGTTATATTTGTGTTAGTTCTTTTCTGTCATTTTACTTCTGAAGTGGTTAATTACACGGTGTAGGATGTTATCTTCAAGTAAATTGTTTGATTGTCTTTTCTTTTGTACTTGATCAAAAAATGTTGAGTAACATTTGAATGATTTTTGCCATTTCTAGATTACACATTGTAGAAGAATTCAACCGAGATATTTATGATTATATAATAGCATCTGATGAGAGTGTTTTCGATGCCGTTGCTGCTTCATCCAGTATCCTTATCTATGGCCTTACCTGCCCTAAACAAGCTAATTGAGATGTTTAGATTAAACTACGATTAAGAGCTTGCGTACAAGTACAAGTTTTCAAAGAAAATTCTAGATAAATTTTGTTATCATAATTAGGTGGAATAATTCTTTCAGGTGATTGTACAGTGCAGAGTTTGTGTTATCACCAAAATAAATTATAAAGATTACCAATGAGGGCACCACTGTTTTGAAGTTGTATCAAGCAAATTCAGTAAAGAGGCTTTTTTAACGAGGTTATACAATTCCCATGTTAACAGCTACTCCTGTACAGGTGTATGGCGGACTTGTATCTGACAAAATACTAATTTGGGGCATAGACAGCAAACAGACAGCGACTTTCTGACAGTCAGCTCACTAAACAACAAATAAAGTTGTTCTCCTTAATAAACTGAAAATAATCAGCGAGTGTGAAGAAAAAGAAAAAGTGAGTATTATTAGCTTGACACCTGGGCCCAGTTGTTCTAAGGCCGATTAGCGCTAACCCAGGGTTCAATTTCTTTTTAGAGATCCAATCATCAAATTGTAGGCAAAAAGAATAAAACTGAATCTGCTTCTCAAGCTTTCATATCTAAAATCAAATTTCGCACTAACCCTTGGTTAACTTAACCCTGCTTTGAACAACTCGGCCCTGGATATTGTGCAGATTAACTAGCCAGCTGTTTTATTTCACAAGAAGACTACAAATCCCTCATAATACATGTGATCGCTTATCTAAGAGGAGTGAGCCCTCGTTTGTCGCTTCTCGCGTCTAACGACTCTACTAAACTAAGCAACCACTACCGGTCTGTTTATGGGTTGTCTTGGTGGCTTACTCTATTTCAGCTGTTGTACTACTACATGAGAAATTTCTGCAATTTGATTGGCTTAGAGCAGTGGTGTTTCAGCTTGATTTGAAATACCTACATGTGAAAATTACAAACGTTTTGCGGCTAGTAGTATAAACAAATAATAGCATGATTTGTACGTGATAGTTTGCATAAATACCACTCGTGATATTTGTAAATTGTCTCAAATTTCACTCGCCTAACGGCTCGTGAAGTTACGTATAACAGTTTCGAAATATCACTCGTGGTATTAATGCCAAATATCACTACAAATCATGCTATTACCTATACTAATTCTATTCGATGACAAGTCATTTCCAAGTGTTCTTTATGAAATTGTGATATAAGCAGTGTGCTCGTGTCAAATTTAAAACTAAAATTGTCTTTCTTTGTGGACAGGAAAAAGAAAGACAACGAGTATGGAGTATCAAGAGGAGTGGATTTCCAAGGTGATATGAATTAGCTTACACATCACGGTGTTAACTATGATTTCGTTGCGGATGTTACGGTCGGACAGCACAGTCAGTCCAGTTGAGGCTGGCGCCTGGCTTCTATGTCGAGGTTCTTTGATACAGTGGAACCTCGATATAACGAAGGGCCAACTGCCCAAGGGACTGGCGAAATTTGTTCGCTATAAAGAGGTTTTGTTATATCAAACTTCTTTTCCATATGTGTTAATATTACTGGGGTAAAGAAAACCACGGTGTTCGTTATACCGAGGACTTGGTTACATGGAGGTTCTATTGTATCGAGGACTTGATTATGTAGAAGTTTTTGTAGGGAGGACTTAGTTATGTAGAAGGCCGTTATATCGATGACTTTGTTATGTAGAGGTTCGTTATATCAAAGTTCCACTGTACCAAACCTCAGCTCTAAAAGCTCGTTTTTCAGTTGCTAGGATTAAAGCTGATTGTAAGTTACAAAGAGTTCCACTATTTCGAGATAAATTATTGTGTTTTAAAAAAATGACCGAAAACCGATTGGTAATCCCCTTGAAAGAATCAAATATCTCTCCTTTAAGTGTTTTAAGTTTAAGAAAAATGTTTGAGAATACCTAATTTCAGCTCAGCTTTGATAAAAAAATATGGAACTCACCATGACAGTACAGATAAGGAAACCGGTTTTTTTTTGTTATTTTAGGTGTAGAAAATGTCATCAATTTTGATTTTCCCACAACTGTGGATGCCTATATTCATAGGGTGGGAAGGTAAGAGACACTTAAACTGTTATAATGGTTACTGTACTTAATTTTACGCTGACAGAATAAAGCGTTGGCTTTGTTTGGTAGGAGCAAAGAAAATTTGATTTAAGATTAAATTCTGTATTTTCCTTCGAATTTCTAGCCACTGTCCTTTTTCTTTCTTTGTTTTTATTGTTATAGTACCATCTTGAGAATAAAAATACTCGTAAAAATGTAGTTTACTTTAATTAAATACAGATTTGAACCTCTTCAGCTGTTTTGCTGCGTTTTTTGTCAACAAACGAGAGTAGCAGTGTTTTTGTTTTCTTTCCATGTTTGATTGCGCTCAGTTGCTCAATTCCAAGTCTTTTGGCCCTTTTTTTGATACTGTTCTCGCTAACTGCGCTTCCGTTGGGGCGTGTCAGTTGCTTTAAATATACAAATAATTATGCAAGTCTTCAACTTTTTGACCTTTTGCGCTTGACCTTCAAACCGTGTTCTTCCACATGCCTTTCACATGTCATGAATAGTTATGAAGCCACTGATGTTTTAGCCTCCCACGCAGGCATTTTTAGGGGAGCTCGTTTTTCATCCCTCCCCTAAAAACGCCTGCATGGGAGGCTACTGATGTGGGAAGCTGTGTCAGTTATGTGTTCGTTTCCGTTAGTGTAAAATGAGATGCTCTCACGTGCTGATTGTAAATTATCCTTGTGTTACAGAACAGCTCGTGGTGATAATAATGGCACTGCGTTGTCATTTGTGACTTCAGATGATCATAAATTACTTTCGAAAGCTGAAGAAGAACTTACCAAAGAGTGTACAGGTGCGTGAAAATGTTCTGATTCCTTGCAAAAACACGTCATGATCTCTCTGCACGTAATAAAGAAGATGCAAAATAGAACAACCCAAAGCTTGTTACCGTCGGCAATTTTTCATGCAATTTTTTTCTTGTCTCGCAATTTGTTTTACCGTTGCGAAAGAATTTAAACGAGATGTTTTTCAGTGTAACCACTCATTATGCGGTGAGGCTTTGCCAGGCTCAGGTATATCAAGGGATAGGGAGGGAATACCATTCGTCAGCAAAAGATCGCTGAAGGGTTACCTTTTCTGTGAAAAATGGTATATATAATAAACAATAAGGGTAAGGATTTGGACCTCGAGGTTGAACCTCCCTGGATAAAACTTTGTTGAACTGTAGCCTAACCCGGAAAATACGTTTCGAAAATTAGATCATAATTTCACATTGTGCACCAAAAATGTTGCGATACAAGTTCAGTTTAGTGGCGTTACACTTTGCAGTTTCTGGTGAAGGCACAATCATGGACAAAAGTATTGGGACCCACTTTCATTTCTGTGGCGTTTTCCAATTCACACAGGTCCAACCCCTCCCCTCACCCCACAAACAATGTTGGACGCCTGTATCCAGAATTTTTTTCGAGTTTCAACTTTGTATAGGGTGGGGGGGAGGGAGAACTGCAAGAAATTTTCGAAAAGGATGCACCATTTTAAGAGCGAACCGAGAAATGACAGAAAAGTACGAATATTGCAGTACTGTCCCAAGGACTTTTGTCCAGGATTGCAGTTTTGCAACAAATGTGCGAAACAAGTTGGGAGAAAAATTGCCTTGAGTGATGTCGCCGAGAAATTACTCGAAATCCTCTTCTTAAGTAGACAGTGTCTTTCTATTCTAATGCGCTGAAGTTGTTGGTCACAATTTGAAACTACAAATGCAGGAAGTGAACACTGAGTCTTTGTAAATGTGTACCAATTTTCCAGGAGAGAAGAAGCAAATTTTCAAACCTTATCAGTTTAAAATGGAGGAGATTGAAGGGTTCAGATATCGAGCACAGGTAAAGACTTAGTTTACACGACATCACTCCTTCATCCCTGACTTAAAGCAGATAAATAAACGTTTAACGCTTTTAGAAATGCGAGACTTCTTGTTATTTTGCAAGGCATGTTTCGTGGCCTGCGTAGCAGACACGGCTAAGTTCCCATCGCTGGTTTAGCGTGGGCCGGCTGCAACGGATGCAGGCTACATGTTTCCATGACATTTATAAGAGTGGTTAGATGGACAGAGACACAAGCTAAGAGGTCTTGAATTTGATGTCACATTGAATGATACCGTTCCTAAACGGAAAAAATGAATTATGAAAAATCGTAAATGACCTAATAAACGCCCACTTCCAAATAATTAACAATTAATGAATGAGGCTGAGTATCTTATGAAGAATTATGGAGATCGAGGAGGGTGTTATCGGCCGATAACATCCTCCGAGATCTCCATAATTCTAGACATGATACGAAAGCCGAATTCAATAATTGTTTTATTATTCATTCAAAATAATTCCTACTTTAAAAACATGGCAAAAATATGCTAACCTCCATCGATCCATCGATGTTAAGTTCATCTTCCATAGTGCACGTTTGGGTTTGTCCAGCTCCGCAAACCCCGAAAAGGGGTTACCTCACCTACCTGGGTTCCCCCACCTCCATGTAAAGAGGCCCTAAACCTATTGCTTTTTAGAAGTTCTCGTTACCGTCTCCGTCGTTGTTGCTAAAGCTTCCTAGTAACCCTGAGCGAGGTTTCTGACATTGATGTTGGGATTTGAAAGAGCGATAGTGACCTCTAGACGAATTATGATGTATCGATTGATGGAGTGGATATTCGGTTATTTTTAAACCTTTTGATATTTTTGCCGATAGCAGTGCACGATATAAGAAGCTTTGTTATTGGCGCATTTCTGAGCTCATTGTTGTTAAAAGAGCAAATGATCTCTGATCGCAAAGCAAGCGGGGGTTTTGAACACAAAATTGCCGGTTTAAAAATGGCAACATTTATAAGTAGTTGATGTTTCTGTTGTTGTTGTTATTGCACAGCCCCCTTAAAAAAAAAAAAAAAAAAAAACTGGCAAAATTGCCGGGGGTTTTTTTTCATTTACCCTGCGAGCAGAGGTCTCTCTCAGTGTTTACTACGAAGTCATTCGCGAGGCTTGTCTGTCGCATAGTTGGTTTGTTCACGTCCCGTGAGAAACCTCTGCAGCAAACCGTTTCTCACGTAAACAAACCAACTACGCGACAGACAAGCCACACGAACGACTTCGTAAACGCTAAAAGCCATGCAAGAGAGAAACCTCTGCTCGAAGGGTATGTTTCATCAAAAACGTGCGTGAAATCAGCACAAAACCGATCGCTTTCTACCGAAATTTGCTTTTTTTAACGATCGTTTTTCGGCGAAATTTGACTCGAATTTTCCCGCGAATTCTCGCGAAATCGGCCGTTTTTTCTGCTAATTTGTCTCTGAAAATCTCACGAAGTCTGACTTTTTACCGCGACCTATCAGAGGCTCTGTGTTGTGAACGGTTTCCTTGATAAAGGTTCTTGATCTGGTCGCCTTTTTCTCTCCCCCCCCCCCAATTTTTTTCCTTCACGAACGTCAATAATGTCCAATTATGACCAATCGTATTTAAAACATAGTGAACTTTAGAGCCGTAAAAGAGCGGACAAAATGTCCTGTCATCCAAGGGTTTGACCGGACAAAGCCTTTTTCAACCAGACATTGTCTGTTGACCGGCCGTTATTTGAACCCCTGAGCACTCATTTAATTTTCTTTTTTACGTAGTTACTTACGAGCTCGCTCAAGGTCACACGTAACTTTGTTATAGAACTTCATTAATTTGACTCACTCTATTTTTTTTAAGCTAACGGTCTTTGAGTGTAAAGAAAGTGTCAAGTCGAACCCTTTTAAGCCTCTCATTGAAATATCGTTATTTTAAATCAATATGCACTGAAAATGTTTCTTCTTTTTTTTCTTAACGACGGTTTTGAAGTGTACATCCGAGGTTAACAAAGCGCATTAGAACGGCATTACGTAAAGAAAAAACGTCTCAGCAAAAGACCTCGTTAATTTTCGCAAAAACACTAGGTAGACAACAACCTTGTTGTGCACAGGGAAGCTGTATTGTGCGAACTCAATAGCCTTTAAGGCTGGCGCAAAAAATCCCCGTGAGAGGGAGAGGAAGAAAAGCGCGAAAAGGAAAAGGGGACCCTGTTCCCCAATCCCCCTCTTCTTTCTCCATTTTCAGTGTCCCAATTCCCTCCCCTTTCAACGCTCGCTATGCAGGCTAAAGCCTAAGGACTCCATTATATAGCTGGACCCCTTATCTATTATAGCAGGCACGGATGCCATTGAGTTTCACACTGTTATTTTTCGATTTGGAATAAAATATACCTGCAATAGCAGACATATCTATTAAGCGGATACTAGCGACAAAATATTTTCTTTTGCAAATTCAAAAGCTGGTGTTAAAGATTGTGGTTCGAATCACCAATTATTGACTCGGCTTTATTACAACTGAACCCTTATTTATTTATTTACTTATTTATTTATGTATGTATTTATTTTTGTCGTATGTAGGACGCGCTAAGAGCAGTAACGAAATCAGCAGGTTAGTGATAGAATAATACACCATTACACCAAATACAGGACAAATGTTCCCGTCCATGCACGCACAGTCTTCTGTTGGGTTCCTAGATTTTGAGGGCGATTGGACGTGTCTGCATAAAGTAAAGACAAGTATGAAGACATCTTTAACTAATTTTTACAATGTTTCCCTCCTGCAGTAAAAGAAGCAAGACTAAAGGAAATCAAGTCAGAAATATTAAATTCTGAGAAGCTCAAGGTATTCTAATCCCTAATAACTTTTATTATGAAAAACAGCAATTATTAGATTATTTAAATAATATTCAGCCGAAGAGTATTCCTCTACTTTGAATTAACTAGAACGTAAAAAGCCAGCAATTTGTGATTGTTTCGTTAACTGAGCACTTGCTATCAACCCTTACAGCTATTAGCCTGGCAAGTTTCATGAAACGTGCGACCAGTAAAAGTCATTTTAAGTACATGGGCGAGAAGTAATTTTTTTATTTAACCATTTGAAAAAAGAGACGTGCTTTCGGCGTTAGTTTGATTTGAATTGTACTCTGTTATTCGAGGGCTAATATATGAGCCGCAATTGCGGGTACTCTAGATTTGCTGTGGTGACGTTTACCCCATATTACACCATCTCGATATATACTAGCCTGTGTATCATGAAGCAAAAAGGACAAGAGAAGTGAAAAGTTCAACTCCTAAGGAAGGCCTGATGCTCAAGCTATCTGGCTGTAATAAAAAAATCGATTTATATCGCATTTAATTAACGTGCCGCCACTGCAGTGGTATTAAAAGCGATCATCTGGCTGCAGACGAGGTCAGCCCGTCTCAAAAATCAGCAACTAGGACAAACCTGTTTTTGGTGACAGGAACTGGGCCACTTTTATTAATGAGCGTAGCCCTGGGCGAACCGGGGAGTTCATTGAAACATTATGAAAAATTAATTTTAAACTATTGAAATGCCTGGTCTGGTCTAGCGGTCTAGGACGCTGTGTTGTGGCCGTAGAAACCCAGGTTCGAACCCTGAGGCTAGCCCATTACAGTTCTTTTTTTTATTTTTTAATAGTACATTATATTTTTACTTGTGGACCCGATTTTGCGAAGACAAAGAAATTTTCACAACACAGTATTTCATCGCAAAACATTTTATTCACCTCAAAGAGTATATTACTGTACACACAAGAAATAATAATAGTAAAGGAATGGCTTTTGGCTACGTCATCACTTTATGTAGAGTCTAATATCTACAAGCATCTGTTCTACCAAATTGTCTTTGTAGCTTGGGTCTTGCTTCGTAGGTAGGTGCTTTTTCTTCAACAATGATAGGAAGTTCATCTGCCCATTGAAATTACTGAAATTTTTCTTTTCTTCTGCATGAGAAGTAAGGTCTGTATGGGTTTCTTTCGGATCTTGACACTCGTAAGGTAGGCACCTCTGCATGTTTACAAAACAGCTGTTTTTCTCCTTCACAGACTTTGTAATCAGGAATAATGCGTTCGTAGATACACGGCTAATATCCGCGCTCAGTCTCTTCAGGACAGAAGGGACACTCTTTCCACTTAACACAACGCAAGTTGGGCCACCAAATACAGGCTTGATAACCTCAAGGTTTCGAAGACACAGTGATATGTGATATGTGAAATGCCGTTCACCATACATTTTATATATAGTTTGAATACAACTGGTTTAAAACCTGTCAACTTTGTCAATACGATTGATTAACAAGTCTAACCAGTACCAACAGGTTTTACAAAATTCATTGAGATGCAAAATAGCTCTTTCATTGCGTTCTCTTTCCTGCTGTGGATAAACAAGCCAGTCTTGCTCATACGGTGCCAGTAAATCCAGTATGTCTAGCAAATCATGCCATAACCAGTAACCACGTGACTCATATTGCGGAGATCTGTGAACGCAAAATCTAGATTTGACGACAACGTCTGATTTTCTTGTACTGATGTTGGATTCTTTTTCTTCAGATCATCGTAGATTAAAAATGCTAAGCATATCCAGTAGGCCTCTTTTGTCCTTTACTTCTGCACCATAGTTAATGTGATCTTCATTGATATTTGGTACCATGGTGCAAAGTTAAGCTCAAGAATAAGTGAAATGAAAACCTTGTTTCTCTCTTTTTGGGGTGTCACTCACGTATGACCAGTTTGTCAGGATTAACAAGGCTCCCATTGTCTATTGCTTCGTAATCTTGCCGCTATAGTTGTTCTCGGTTTCCGTCTAGATGATTTGCGTGCAGAATCAGGTGGAGTGTCTGACATCAAAGGAAGTGACATTTCCTCTGGTGAAACAAGAGATGTCATTTTTTTCCACCTTGGAATTTTTGACTCTCGTGTTCGAAGTGTTGCGAGCAATTTTCTAGGTGCTTTAGTTGACTTTGATTTGAAAGTATCGAGATCTGGGTTTGTTGAAGTTTCTTTAGGTGTGCGTACATCATTTTTCCCACTTGTATCTGTGGTAGGCAAAGGATCCGCTTTGGGAAGGACCATGGTTGGTTTTATCGTGGTCTCCGTTTTCATTTGGTTGGTTAATCCTCTGTAGTAACTGATCCAATAAAAACACTTTTTGGTCTTCTGGTAAAGGACACTCTATGATTTGCTTCATGTCTTGGTCTAATCTTGTCAGTGTTGGAAGCTGAGCAGGAGTAGTTAAACGTCGTTCTGTCTCCAGACTTTGTAATAAATGCTCGGGTATGAACACTTTACCCAGTAAATCAACAGCAAGGGGGCAACCAATGCAGCTAGAGCTGGTAAAAATCCTCCTTTTTGATGAAGCACCTCCTTCTTCTTTTTAAGGCTCGGTTTCTTGCAAGCCAAATACAGGAGCTTTGACTTGTGTGGTTTCAGTCGTTTAAATGATGAAGTAGGTACTATGATGTTGCCCTTAAGGAGATTCAGAGCCACTTCCCCAATAGCTTCCATTTGTCCTATGTTGGCATGAGTTATCATATCTTTTTGCTGCTGTTCATTACTTTTAAAACATGCACAAAGGAAAGGCAAATGTTGTCGGAGTTTGGATTGCTTTTGCATTTGCTTGCTTTCCTCTTACCCGTTTTGTGAGTTATAGTACCAGAACGTAAGACCATAGTACCACCACGTTGATTTGCAATTCTTGACTTTACTGAGCGACATCACTTACACACAGGCATGTTGCTAACTAACGTCAACAGTCAGAGGGCTGTCTGTTTTATGCGTTTTCTTGTTGATGTAAACCGCAGGGTAAGATTGTGATTCAGGTAGGATGTTGCTGTGTAATCGTAGGGTGACCGGTGTTCATGGATGTAAATCAAACATGAGATAACCATAGGGCTGTGATGTCGCATCTTGAAAACTTTCCCATACGTAAGGAACATGTCCTGCAAAGGCTTGCTGCGCCAGCGTTCTTAAACCCAGTGTATAGCGAGGATTATTAAAAACGATGATGTAATGAGCATTGAGAGAAATGCTTCTGAAAATTTCCCAAGTGGAAAAAGGTTCTGGGTCAAATAGGGGCAAGTGACATTACAATGATGAGACACTTGTAAATAGATCCAGGATATGTTCGTCCTCACTACAGTTTCTCATAAAATCATCTAACACGAGTATCCCTGTACGACAATGCAATGGAAATAATGCAGGAATATCTTCAGGAATACCCTCCACAAACGTAATTTGTGACGCCATGTCTTGAAAGCCCTCTTGTCACTGTCCGTAACAGTACACGATTTTATGGTCTGGTCTTTCAAACAAAACATTTGCATATTTAATAAACTGTCTGGTGAACGTGGTTTTTCCACATTAGCTGGGGCCCTTGATCATGATACTGCATGGACATTTGAATTGAGCCATGTTGCTCACTGAGACAAGAAGACCAACTGATGTGAAAACTACAGGTGTCATTCCTTTTATAACGGTATATCTGGAGACCAACAGAAATATGACACAACGTTTTCATTTTAAGCAATGGTTTATTGATTCATTACGCCAATATTTTAATGATTTAGAAGTTTGCTCATACTGAGAAAACGGTAGGTTATGTCTAATACTCGTCAACGATTTTTTTACATAACTGTGTACAAAAGTTGCTACTTGTGCATCATTCCACTGTGTATCGTGTTGTTCAAATTTAGCTTGAATTGTGTTCATATCAACGTTACGTGCTTGATGAAGTAAATAAAACAAACAATAGTCTTCAAGTGTCTGAAGTAAGTCCTTGGAATGGTTTATCATTGTAACGGGTCACGTTCTGGTTGATGTATCCATCTATGCCATAGGTATCGGTAGAAAACCCATAACTGTCAAAAAAACTCACTCTCCCGCAGCAAGATGAAGTACGTGGCTACGCAGTGCGTCCCAGGTTTATCATGAGGATCCGTATTTGCAATCAGTCCAGAAGGATACTTGTTAACAATAGGTAACTTGTCTGTCGGGTAGACACCTTGCATAATAGGAGCCAACATGGGATCTTCTATTGTCGCTTGCCATAACTCAAAAGTGGTATGCATTGTCTTGTTTTTCAAGCGCCTTGAGACAGGTCGTACACCATGCATCTGTTACAATCAATTTCTCACTGATTTTGAAATTCTGTGTACACAATTAAATTGAGAACCGCTGGCATTGGAGTGTTAAACTTCAAATACAAATTGACGTTACCGCTGTAATGTGAAACCAGGTGACTAGGGTGACAATTTCCTGCTGGTGTCAGGTCTAGTCTGAACAAACCATTCCCTTGCTCCCACTCTTTACGATCAATATGCCAACCCATGGCCACAGTTCATATCTCCACTGCCTGAGAACAAGGTGTTGTAGCCAAAAAGCTTTTTTGCAACTTGGTGCAGATAGGTGCCACTTGGTGCAGATTGGTGCAAATTGGTGCAGTTTCGTGTAGCTTGGTGCAGTTTGGTGCAGCTTCATGCAACTTGGTCCGGTTTGGTGCAGATTGGTGCAACTTGGTGCAGTTTGGTGCAACGTAGAGCAGTTTGCTGCACCTTGGTGCAATTTGGTGGTGTTCGGTGCAGATTGGTGAAAATTGGTGAAACTTGGTGCAGATTGGTATAACTTGGTGCAGCTTGGTGCACTTTAGTGCAACTTGGTGCGGATTGGTGCAGTTTTGTGCAACTTGGTGCAGATTGGTTTAACTTGGTTCATTTTGGTGCAGTTTGGTGCAACTTGATGCAACTTGGAGCAGTTTGGTGCAACTTCGTGGATCTTGGTACAACTTGATGCAGTGAGGTGCAGATTGGTGCAACTTGGCGCAGTTTAATGCAACTTTTTGCAGACTAATGCAACTTAGTGCAGTTTGGTGTAACTTGGTGCAGTTCGGTGAGTTGCACCATTCTACACCAATTTGCGTCAAGTTGCACCAATCTTCATCTGATTGCACCAAGCTGCACAAAAGTGCACCAAAGCGCATCTAGTTGCACAAAGATCCACCAAGTTAAACCAAACTGCATCAAGTTGAATCAAAGTGCACCAAACTGCACCAAGTGGCACAAATCTGCACCAAATTGCACCAATCTTCGCCAGACTGCACTAAGTTGCCCCAAAGTGCACCAAGTTGCACCAATCTACACGAAACTGCACCAAGTTGCACCAAATTGCACCAATCTGCACCAAGTTTACCTGTCTGTACCAAACTGCACCAAGTTGCACCAAGGTGAACAAAGTGGCACCAAGTTGCACTAAATTGCACCAGTCTGCCCCAAGATGCACCACGTTTCAATAGTCTGCACAAAACTGCACTAATCTGCACCAAATTGGGCCAATCTGCACCAAACTGCACCAAGTTGCACTAAAGTGCACCAATTTGCACCAAAATGCATCAAATTGCACCAAGTTGAATTAATCTGCACCAGACTGCACTAAGTTGCACCAATCTGCACCAAGTTGCACCAGGTTGAACCAAACTGCACCAATCTGCACCAAAATTCACCAAATTGCATCAAGTTTCACCAATCTGCACCAAGTTAAACCAAACTGCACGAAGTTGCACCAAGCTTCACCAAACTGCACTAAGTTGCACCAATCTGCACCAAGTTGCACCACGTTGAATTAATCTGCACCAAACTGCACTAAGTTGCACCAATATTCACCAATCTGCACCAAGTTGCACCAAACTACACCAAGTTGCACCAGTCTGAGCCAAGTTACAGAAAGCTGCACGAAGTTGCACCAGTCTGCACCAAAATGCACCAAATTGCACCAAATTGCACCAAGCTGCACCAATCTGCACCCAAATAAACCAAGTTGCAACAGTCTGCAGCAAACTGCACTAATCTGCAGCAAATTGCCAATCTGCACCAAACTGCACCAAGTTCCACTAAAGTGCACCAGTTTGCACCAAAATGCACCAAATTGGACCAAGTTGAATTAATCTCGCCAAACTGCACTTACACCAATCTTCACCAATCTGCACCAAGTTGCAGCAAACTGCACCAAGTTGAGCCAACCTGCACCAATCTGCACCAAAATTCACCAAATTGCCCCAAGTTTCACCAATCAGCACCAAGTTAAACCAAGCTGCACCAAACTGCTCCAAGTTGCACCAAGTTGCACCAAACTGCACCAAGTTGAACCAAAGTGTACCAAGTTGAACCAAACTGCACCAAGTTGCACCTATCTGTACCAAACTGCACCAAGTTGCACCAATCTGCACCAAGTTCTACCAAGTTGCACCAAAATGCACCAAGTTGCACAAAACTGCACTAATCTGCCCCAAAACGCACCAAATTGCACCAAGTTGCACCAAACTGCACCAAGTTGAACCAAAGTGCACCAAGTTGCACCAAGCTGCACCAAACTGCACCAAGGTTTATCAGTCTGCACCAAGTTGCACCAAGGTGCACAAAGCGGTACTAAGTTGCACCAAATTGGACCAATCTGCACCAAAATTCACCAAGTTGCAACAGTCTGCACCAAACTGCACCAAGTTGCACCTATCTGCACCAAGTTCCACCAAATTGCATGAAGCGGCACCAAGTTGTACCAAATTTTACAAACCCTCACCAAAATGCACCAAGCTGCACCAATCTGCACCAAACTACACCAAGTTGATCCAAACTGCACTAAGTTGCACCAAGCTGCACCAAACTGCACCAAGTTACACCTATCTGCACCAAGTTGCACCAAACTGCTTCAAGTTGCACCAATCTGCACCAAGTTGCACCGAGTTGCACAAAGTGGCACGAAGTTGCACCAATTTGTACCAATCTGCACCAAAATGCACCAAGTTGCAACAGTCTGCACCAAACTGCGCCAACTTGCACCAAACTGCACCAATCTGTACCAAAAATGCACCAAGTTGCACCAAACTTCACCAAGTTGCACCAAAATGCACCAAGTTGAATTAATCTGCACCAAACTGCACTGAGTTGCACCAATATTCACCAATCTGCACCAAGTTCACCAATATGCACCAAGTTCCACCAAGTTGCAGGAGGCTGCACGAAGTTGCACCAAACGGCTCCAAAATGCACCAAGTTGAACCAATCTGCACCAAACTACACCAATCGGCACCAAATTGCACCAAGTTGCACCAGTCTGAACCAAACTGCACTAAGTTGAACCGAACTGCACCAAGTTGCACCAAGTTTCACCAAACTGCACCAAGTTGTAGAAAGTTGCACCAAATTGCACCAGTCTGCTCCAGAAAGCGCCAAGTTGCACCATTCTGAACCAAACTGCACCAACTTGTACCAATCTGCACCAAAATGCACCAAATTGTACCAAACTGCACCAAGTTGAACCAAAGTGCACCAAGTTGAACCAAGCTGCACCAAGTTGCACCTATCTGTACCAAACTGCACCAAGTTGCACCAATCTGCACCAGGTTCCACCAAGTTGCAGAAAGCTGCACCAAGTTGCACCAAACTGCACTAATGTGCCCCAAAATGCACCAAATTGCACCAAGTTGTACCAAACTGCACTAAGGTGAGCCTCAGTGCACCAAGCTGCACCAAACTGCACCAATTTTTACTAAACTGCAGCAAGTTGCACCAAAATGCACCAAATTGCAAAAAAAGATTTATGGCTACAACACCTCGTTCTCAGGCAGTGGGTGAGTGGAGTCATGGGTTGGATATTGATCGTAAAGATTGGGAGCAAGGGTATGGTTTGTTCAGACTCGACCTGACAGCAGCGATAAGGTCAATTTGTATTTGAAGTTTGACACTCCAACGCCAGCTGTTGTCAATTTAATCGTGTACGCAGAATTTCAAAATCAGTTGGAAATTGGCCGTTACAGACGCGTGGTGTGCGACCTGTCTCAAGGCGCTTAAAAAACAAGACAGTGGATACCACTTTTGAGTTATGGCAAGCGGCACTTCAAGATCCCATTTTGGCTCTTCTTATGCCAGGTGTCTACCCGAGAGACAGGTTACCTATTGTTAACAAGTATCCTTCTGGACTGTTTGCAAATACGGATCCTTATGACAAACCTGGGATGCACTGGGTATCTTTTGTATTCTTTTGCTTAACTTTGCACCATGGCAACAAATGTCAATGAAGATCACATTGACTATGGTGCAGAAGTAAACTATGAAAGGACAAAAGAGGCCTACTGGATATGCTTAGCATTTTGAATCTACGATGATCTGAAGAAAAGGAATCCAACATCAGCACAAGACAATCAGACGTTGTCGTCAAATCTAGATTTTGCGTTTACAGATCTCAGTCAATATGAGTCGCGTGGTTACTGGTTATGGCATGATTTGCTAGACATACTGGATTTACTGGTACCGTATGAGCACGACTGGATTGATTATCCACAGCAGGAAAGACAACGCATTGAAAGAGCTATTTTGCATCCTAATGAATTTTGTAAAACCTGTTGGTACTGGATAGACTTGTTAATCATTGGTACTGACGAAGTTGACCGGTTTTAAACCGGTTGTATTCAAACTACCGTATATATAAAATGTATGGTGAACGGCATTTCACATATCACTTAAACCAAGATGAGTTACACAAAGTGTGGACTGTGTCTTCGAAACCTTGAGGTTATCAAGCCTGCATCTGGTGGCCCTACTTGGGCTGTGTTAAGTGGAAAGAGTGTCCCTTCTTCTGTCCTGAACAGATTGTGCACGGATATCGGCAGTGTACGAACCCGTTATTCCTGATTACAACGCCTGTGAAGGAGGAAAACAGTTGTTTTGTAAACGCTCAGAAGTACCTACCTTACAAGTGTCAAGATTCGAAAGAAACCCATACAGACCTTACTTCTCATGCAGAAGAAAAGAAAAGTGTCAGTACTTTCAATGGGCAGATGAACTTCCTATTATTGATGAAGAAAAAGCACCTACCTACAGTCCAAGACCCAAGCTACAAAGACAATTTAGTAGAACAGATGGTTGTGCATATTAGACTCTACACATAAAGTGATGATGTAACCAAAAGCCATTCCTTTATTATTATTATATCTTGTGTGTATAATGATATACTCTTTGAGGTGAATAAAATGTTTTGCGATGAAATACTGTGTTGTGTTAATTTCTTCGTCTTCGCAAAATCGGGTCCACAGGTAAAAATATAATGAACTATCAAAAAATAAAAAAATAACTGTAATGGGCTGACCTCAGGATTCGAACCTGGGTTTCTGTGGCCACAACCACAGCGTCCTAGACCGCTAGACCAGACCAGCCATTTCAATAGTTTAAAATTCATTTTTCATGATATTTCCATGAACTGCCCGATGCGCCCAGATCTCAGCTCATTAATAAAAGTGGCCCAGTACCTGTCACCACAAACCGGATTGTTCTGAAAACCGGTTTGCCCAGCCCCCAGAACTCAGCTCATTAATAAAAGTGACCCAGTTTCTGTTCTCCCAAAACCGGTTTGCCCAGCCTCCTTTCCTCCCAAAACCAGTTCATTCTTGAAAACCGGTATTGACCCACCCACATGCTGAGAGGGCGCCATTTTGAATGAAATTTGCCCAAGCATCCGTGTAAGACTACTAGCATAATAAGTCACAATCTGTCAATGAGACTTTTCTGTTGTTATTTTCGTTATCTAGGCATACTTTGAAGATAATCCAAGAGACTTACAAGTATTGAGACATGATAAGGATCTACATCCCACCAGAATACAACCTCACTTGAAAAATGTGCCTGAATACCTCGGTGAGTTATTGAGCTTGAGCTAATTTTTACTTTAAATACAAACCATTCTCAAACCCCATCAAAGATAAGACATAACTTATCTTCTGTTAATCCTAACTTTATTTCTTTTGGATCAGTTCCAGCGACTCTTAAACCATCCATGGCAAAGTTCTCAAGAAAGAGAAGACGCCCACACGTTATCTCGTCCGAAAAGAACTCCGCTCACAATACATTTGGCAAGGTAAATGAGAAATAATTGAAAACATATGTTATAGTATATATAATTATAGTTTAAATACTTTGGAAACAGGGATTCTGTGTGAAAGTAACTCAACAAAGGGGAAATTGACTATTTCACCGAGACCCGATAATGCATCTTGTTTACCCCACCCCCACCCCACCCCCCCCCACCCCCTAGGATAAATAAACCTTTTCAGCTGCTATGTTTTGTTTTCCAATTCAGACCACGTGATATTCTCCAGGGAATTTGCCTTTCGTCTTTTCATTAATTATGCATACATGTGCACGTGAATGCACGTGCATAAGACGACATTTGAAAGAAACAGATCTCTGGGGTACCATCACGTGATCTAAAAGGGAAATAAAGCATACAAACTAAAAAGGTCGATTGGAAAAACAAGGTGCATGATGGTCCCGGTGAAAATGGTGAATAATAAATTGAATGTTTAGAACCTTTTAACCATGTGATAAATTGAAAGAGAAATGCTGTCTCAAACTTGCAAGCCAGTTTGTAACAGGTTTACAGACCCTCTATTTTCTCTCTAGAGATCATCAAGAACTCGTATATGAAAATAGCAACCGCAAGGGTTTCATTGATCATAAGCGTGATGTCGAATTTTCCAAAAGAAGAGGAAAAAACCTCAGTGGACAGGTCACTTTAGATTCCCTCTGAAGACAAACGAGCGCCTGTTTTTAGTTACTTGACACTGTCAGAGTGAGTCTTTAAACTTTTAGGTGATCGTGGTTACATCTATATCTATATCCCGGCGTTGACGCCATATGTGGGTTGAGTTTGACGTTGGTTCTCTCCTTTGCTCCTGGAGGTTTTTCTCCGAGTACTCCTGTTTTCCCCTCTCCTCAAAAACTAACACTTCCAAATTCCAATTCGATCTGGAACGCACGGACACGTTTAAACGAGTTCATATGAACTACTAAGTGCTTCGTGGGTAAACAAGCAATTTACATTTTTTTTACACCTCTCTTATACGGACACCCTTTAGTGTCCGTATTAGAGAGAACCGACTGTACTCGGCGTCTTACATTTCAAGTATCCTGTTTTAATTGATTACTTGGAATCATAAACAATTTTGAATCTATTTTTTTGCTTCTCTTTTTGCATCAGAAACGTAAATTGGATCCATTGAAAAGCTTCAAGTACCACCAACATCAGCACAAGGGAAATAAGGTGTGAGTCTTTTTGCGCTTCCTCAGTCACTTCAGCTTTCTATAATCTGAACCCAGGTTACAATTTCCCATTCATATTTTTCATCAAACCGCAGGGAATGCTTGTTTCATTGCTTTTCCTTGCATGTTGATTCAATTCGTCTGACGTCACAGAGAAATCAGTAAATGGCTTAGCTCCATGTGAAACTTTACGTTGGTCTGTGGTTAGGGCACCGAGGAGATATTGCCTTTGAGCAATCAGAAGCACTACCGAGATGAAAGTAGTGGCACGTCATCAGTATGGGATTTAAGTGCTCGTTCCTCTGACGTCATGTCCCGGTGTCACGAAAAGTCAGGTGTTTTCTCACGCAAGGAGATTTTTGGTTTTGATAAAATATTATTCAGCCTTTGCCACCACGATCCAGTTTCAGTTACGATAATAAAAACATAATCTAAAATAATCTAACGGAAGCTAATAACAATCATGGATTAGAATTTTACTTCCGGAGTTATATTGCTAATCAATCTTTCAGGAAACGGGCCCTTGTCTACAGGGAGGGTCGTCACGCAACGCTCCTCCTCACTAATACCGTAAAATTCCGAAAATAAACCCCTCCATGTATAAGGCCCTAAAACTCGTAACGCAAAAAACCCTCCGTTAAATCGTCCCTCTGAATATGAGCCCTAGGGGGCTTGTACTGGAAATGCAAAGTAAAACAAAGCAATGCCGGTGCAGTAACATATAAATTTTTGTATTGCCAAAGAGCTATTTCGTGTGCCAAATATAGTGTTAGTCTGATGTGTTGTGTGTTAATCCGTAAGTAGAAAAAAATACATTCAGTCATCAAGACGTGTTTCTTTCATTTACCCAGGGACATAATAAAGGAAAGAGAACTTAATCAGTGGCTGGTATACGTCTTTCTTCTGTATGGAAACAGAACATAGATGATCTGGTAGCCAATCACCACACAGATGAAAAAAAGAAACGCGTGACGAAGCCCTAAGAACGTCTGCGTGGGGGGCCATGGTTTGGTGACCATCAAACGAGTCTCGTCCCAGTCTTCTGTCCCAGTCTTGCCACTAAATGACCAAATGAAGTCATTCGGATTAATTTCAGCTACTTCCTACTCTCTGCGGGCGAAAGACCTCAAACAATGGTGTGGAATTCAGCTAACACTTTTCACTGGTTGTTGATGCTACGGAAACTACTAATGGAAAAAAAGTGATTCGTTAAACATTAATCAAATGGACGTTTTCTTTGTCGACCTGTGCAGTTTTATATCTGTTAGCGAAACCTTGTACTCAAGAAAAAAACGCATAGCAATATGCTATCGACGCAATCAGAATCAGGCTACCGTTGAAGGTTTATTACTTGTAATGAGTTTAAAGATTAATGGACGAGAAGAGCATCAAAGAGCAGTTTAACTGGACAGTGTTTGTATCATCATATGACGTTCTTAAACTGCAGAATTATAGCTGATAGTTACTAGTAGGAAAATGATAAGTCATTTTCTGTCTTAGTTCCTCCGGCCATTAAGAAAAAACAACGGCTTATAGCTGGTAAACCGTGCTGTCAGATATTATGAGGTAAAACTAAAGGGCCAGGAGCCCGTTTCTCGAAAGTCCCGATAATTAACGGGCCCGGTAAGCTGTCTCCGTTTACATTAAAGATCGAGGTTTCCAAATTTTTGCATCTAACATGATCTGAACTGTCAGTTAATGAAACAAAATGGAGTTGTTTCCTAGCCAGGACCCGCGCTCTTATTCTTTATATTTCGATTTGAATATTTGATTTCGGGCCCGTAAAGTTACCGGGACTTTCGAGGAACGGGCCCCTGGTTTCAACGACGCGTGTCCAATTTTTGAAATAAAATTAAAATGGCAAGAAAAATTCAGTCTGTTTATATTGGCCTTTCCTTTAGACAAAGAGATCGCTCCCATAAATCCCAACGTGTAAGATAGCTGCTGAAGAGAAGAGTATTTTGTAACACTGGCCTTTATTACATAAATTAAGGGGTTTACCTATAAACATTTAAAAAAGCAGGTGGGTGCATGATTGCGAGCTGAGCAAGCTCTCCTTTAAAGGAGTCGCGAGGAGTCACGCGAGAGCCGCACGCGAAAGGAGACGTGAGTGCGAGGGGTGGAGAAAGAAACGAATTCTCCTTTTCCTGCTCTCGCTCGCGCCTTCTCTTACAACTCGCTTCGCTCGCCACTCGAAATGGAGAGTTAAAGTTTAAGCAAGAAGATTTAAGCAACGAAGTTTGAGCAAGATTCCTAATTTTTAGGTGTAAAAATAAGACTATCAGCTAAATGCAAGATATGGAGGTTTGTTTGCAAATCTTTACAAAGGTAGTTTTTTATAAATCACCAGGAACCCATAAATCACAAACGCCTTTCCTTTAACGTTTAACGATCCACCGTTAAAGTTCAGTTCCAGCCGGTAGTTGAGTTGAAAAGCCGGAATACTATGCTCAAATCGTCAAAGGTTTGGTAGCACACAAATGACAACTTCGCCAACACGATGACGGTCTATCTATCCTGAGTCTTGGTAGACTGTTCACAGTCCCCTATTTTTTCGTGAGATTGTTTGGATATAGCGCGTCTTACCGCCAATGACGGCCATCTTGATTTTCAAATGTACTGAGGGGGCGAGCGTTGGGGATTAAGCTGTTGTTTTGACACTCACGCAAGACAGCAGCTCCAACGCAAGGCGCTCGATCTCGATGATCTTACGGAAAAATATAGGACTGTGAACAGTCTAGAGCCTTGGATATCGATGATTCCTGCAAACTTTCTCGGAAAATCACACACGTGATTACGCTTCACTTAAGTGTAAAAAAAGGTACCACGACAGTCGCTGTCATTGACATTAACCGTCGACCTATGGGCGCGCTAAAATTTCGTCTGTTACATAAAAATAGGAAGTCCAAGGTCCATGACAACAGTTCATTTCTGATCAAGCTACGCAAAATCATCCCACCCAGAAGGACCGACCATGGATGTGCAACAACTCTTCAGAAATCTTCAGAAAGAAGCAGAGTGTCCGTTGTGTTTAGAGACAGTTAACAATCCCAAGACTTTGCCATGTCTTCACTCATTCTGTCTCGAGTGTCTCGACAAACATGCAGGCTTCGCCAGAAGGCAGCTGCAAGCGACGATCAAATGTCCGGTTTGTCAGACATCTTTTCAAATCCCCGAAGGCGACTCGTTCAAGAACTTGCCCACATCTTATCATCTCAACCGATTGGTGGATGTTCTGGCTCTTAAAGATAGCGGCGCACAGGCCCAGAAATGTGGCAGTTGTGATGAGAACAACACCGCTTCCTCTTACTGTTTCGTCTGCCAGAACTTTCTATGTACTCCTTGTTTTGAAGCTCATCAACGCTTGAAGGCCACAAGAGGTCATCGTAATGTTGTGATAGAGAAATTGCAAGTGCAAGATGTGGAAGATTTGATCCACAGACCCGTCATGTGTTCACAGCAATATCACGAAAATCAACCGCTGGAATTTTATTGCGAAGAATGCAAAGTTCCTATTTGCCACAAGTGCAGTGTAGTTAGCCATAATCGACACACCATGACAGACACTCAGAAAGCCGCAAAAGTACAAAAGATGCAAATGATGGACGCTTTGGAGAAAGTGAAAGCGGAAACCGTTGTTTACGAGAAAAAAGTACGGAAACAAACCGAGTTAATGGATAAGAACAAGAAAGAAATTATGTCGTGCGAAAAGAAGATGACAGATTTAGTGGAAGATTTGATTCGTGATTTGCGGGAACATGAGAGGATCAAGAAAACCAAATTTGCTGAAATTTATGAAGCGCAACAAAAACATCACGCAACACGACTAGAAAACTTTGAGTTGGTTTTGACTCAACTGAAAAGTTGCGTTGAACGAGGTGAGAGTATCGTACAAAGAAACATTAGCGCTGAAATTCTGCAAACAAACCAAGCCATTATTAAACGCTGTGAAGAACTTCTAAAAGCCAAAAAACCTGAAATTTATAAACCTTCACACGTGCATTATATGGTTGAACAGAAAGTGAAGATTTTGGATCGTATTGTTGTCAGTGACACAGATCCTTCGCTGTCGTTGGCTGAAGTGGCAAGTCTAAAAGATGTAAGGGAGAAAACGGAAACAAATTTTACCATTGTAACCCGAAATTCGGATGGTGAACAGTGTTATAATGAAGAGGATGTGGTTAAAGTCAACATATTGAGTCCCGCAGGTGATCAACTGGAAAAAGAGATAAAAGACAGCAAAGACGGCAAGTACACGGTAACATACACACCACAGTGTGTTGGACAACATGGAGTAGAGATCCAAATTAATGGACAGCAACTGACTGGTAGCCCCTGGGTTGTGCAGGTGATTCCGCATCAGTATCAATTTGCGTTTCAATTTGGCTCAAACGGAAAAGAGCAAGGACAGTTTAAGGGTCCTTGGGGTATTGCTTTTAGTGATAAAAGTAGAATCCTTGCTGTTGCTGATTCAGACAATGAGAGAGTTCAGATGTTTGGCTTTGATGGGAATTTCCTTAGAGAGTTTTCACTGAAGGGTCGCCCTCTTTCGTTGGCTTTTACAGAGTTAGGTGACCTCCTTGTTTGTGACCAAAGCACCCAAAAAATTTTAGTCTTTACTGAAAATGGTCAGTTTATCAGATACATTGGCGGTGAACATGTAAAGAGACCGTACCACGTATCCGTTATCAGTGATGGTCGCATTATCACAAGTGACAGTGATGACAAGAGAATCAAAGTCCTTACACCTGATGGGAAAGATTTACTTCAGTCCTTTAAAGCCCCGGGTTGTGGTGAAACCCCAGACTGTGTCATTTATCACAAAGACCAATTCTTTGCTTCTTTTTCTGATGCTTGTCTTGTCATGGTATTTAACATCGCAGGGGAGTATCTACATGACATTGGCAGTAATGGATCTGATGACGGGCAGTTCTCGTGTCCCATTGGTCTCGCTATTGACAAGTTTAACCGTTTGATCGTTTGCGATATGGGAAACAGAAGACTGCAACTTTTCACTCTTGATGGAAAGTATATCACTCAGATACCTGGAAGTTTTTTTGAGGGTGGCCATCCTGGTTATGCTGTCATCTCCAGAACTGGATATTTGTTTGTTACTGATACTAGTCGACAGTGTGTTCATGTTTTCCATTAGCTCTGCGATCCACCGGTTCTGTGAGATAATTAAACAGTAAATATGATATGCTAGCAAATAATACTAACTACGATACATTGTCTTGGTTTTGTTGTTTGAAAGACACGCTTCTTATTTACAGACCTTAAGAAAAATGTCTGTCTGTTGAAAGAAAGGCAGATCTAATAGCCATTACCCTGCGAGCAGAGGTTTCTCTCTTGTATGGCTTTCAGCGCTTGACGAAGTCGTTCCCATCGTATGTCAGTCAAGTAGGTGGTTCGTTTTAAATGGCCCAGGAGTATAAAACAAACCAACAACGCGACTGACAGCGACGCGAACGACTTCATAAACTCTAAAACCCAAAAGAGAAACTTTTGCTTGGAATTTAAATAGCCATAATTTCACGAGTACAATGTTCGGTTATCGCAAGGTAGCGATGATTTGTTTGTTTTTCTTTTTTAAATTTTACTTTTACTTTTACAAACATATAAACTGTTATATTTTATTACAGGGGAACTCATTCATTCACTATTTAGATCCGGGTGTAGCTTCTTGCTTTCTGTGAATACATATGACTGTTTTTAGATATAGCACTTTGTAGTCTTGTGCTTTCACCCAACCGCAACAGAGAGAGTGAGCAATCGAATAGTTATACACTCAACTCCATCGGAGGTGGACACGAAAGTTGTCTGCCCTATATAGAGAGAATCAAAGAAAAATGAACGAAAAACGACCGGGGTCAACTCGTAAGTGTTTATTTTAGCGAGATGTCCGTCTATTTTAGATGCAGGTTAAGAGAGAGATTGTACATCGCCTATTATACATCCGGCAATAGCTTGTGTATCATAATTCTAAAAGGAGTGATTTTTTTTTCAAGTAGTTGTGTGCATGTTTGCTTAAAATGAGGTTGAACATGAAGCGAGCAGGTTGTTACTTTAATGTGGTGGCGACTTGCCTACTTCCCCAGGGGCCCGGTTGCATAAAACCTGCACTTAGGTGCTCACTTAAGTAGGTCACTTACGAGTCCGCTATGGGTACACGTACGGGTGTTGCATAGAACGCACTTACACTCTCCTAATTTTCTTTTTTTCGTGGTAACTTACGGGCTCACTTAAGGACACACGCAATTTTGTTATAATTCTTTATTAGTTTGACTCACTCACTGGTAAGTATAAAGAAAGTGCTAATAAAGAAAAACTTTTTTCACTCCTTATTAAAAGTTCTCGTTAACGTTGGTAAAATTTATTTTATTTTACTTTAAACAAGATACTGTTTACCTGATTGTGACGGACGTTTTATGCAACCATACCCAGGTTCCCTCGCCGCAATTTCCATCTCCTTGGAGTGCAGGAGAGAGCCTGTATTACCTTACCTCGTTTAGCTTATTTTATGAACAAGATGAAAATAAGTTATTTATTGACTGCCACTGCTATGCAACTTTTAACCAAGCATTTAGATCAAATATATTTTGTTAAATGTTTGACAGACTTCAGCGTTCTTTTCTAGGATAAAGATATATCACAAGGTTATGAAGTTTAAATAATTACAGGATTAGCATTAAAAAGAGGTTGCGATTGCCTTTGGACGAATTATTTGAAGCAAATTAACCGTCCTTGCATTGCACTGCTTATTGCCAATCACTTCAGATAAAGACTGGTTTGTTGGGTGGGAGAGGTGTGGGGCTACAAACGGTTTGCAGAGTTAGAGGAGCATTGTTTGATTTACACCTAATAGAAGCGATCAGTGACATATGCGTTATATGGCGGGAGATAGGTTTTCCCTTTGAGGGCGAGAGGCTGGTTTTCATTTCTCATGAATCGTTTTGCTTTATATTCATGCCATAGGGGACACTATATACCATCTTGATGCGCTCCTTATACCATGCAATCACTTCAGTCATACGGTCATAAAATATAATAGAAAAACTGAGCGGGGTGAAGTAACACACCAGAAGCTTTGAAAGCGTTCATTTGGGTGTAGTGCACATCAAAGACTGTGGAGTATCTCTATTAAGGTATATTCGAAAAAGGGTGTGGTAGTTTACTCCTTTGACAGATATTGGGCATAGATTTTAACCGCGTGCGAGTATGAAATAGAATAAGTTTTTTGATTTCTGTAGTGGTAACCCCACGAACCTGGCGAGTCGCGGAGGACTCTTAGATTAGTTTCTAATCTTGCGTTGCATCGTTGTCAGCTTTAAACATCTGCAGTCTTCTCGATGTCTTTGGGATGGAACTGTAGGACTGATCCAAGGTTTTCAGTGACAACAACCTTGTTGTGTACAGTGAAGCTACATTGCGCAAACTCAATAGCCTGTAAGGGAGGCGCAAAAAGCGCCGGGAGGGGGAGAGGTAGAAAAGCGCAAAAAGAAAATGAAGAGCTCTTCCACAATCCCCCACTCTTTCTTCCTTTTGTCCCAATTCCCTTTCCACTTTCAACGCTCGCTACGCAGGCCTGAACACAACAACAGTCCATTATATAGCTGGACGCTTATCTATTAGCAGGCACGGATGCCATTGAGTTTCACACTGTTATTTCTCGATCTGGAAGAAAATAAATCTGTGTTGCAAATTCAATCGCTGATGATAACGATTGTGGTTCGAATCACAAATTAGAACTCAGCTTTATTGCAACCTATTATAACTAACCCATATTTATTTATGATTCATTCATTCATTCTTTCATTCATGATAACGATTGTGGTTCGAATCACAAATTAGAACTCAGCTTTATTGCAACCTATTATAACTAATATTTGCATTGTTTCCCTCTTAAAGTAAAGAGGCAAGACTAAAGGAAATCAAGCAAGTCAGAAATATTAAATTCAGAGGAACTCAAGGTAAACTAATCTCATTTAACTTTTATTAAGAAAAACAGCAATTATTAGATTATTTAACTAATATTTAACCGAAGAGTATTGTACAGTACCGCAAATGATCCCCAACCGCAAATGATCCCGAGACCGCAAATGATCCCCAAAATGGACCGCAAATGATCCTCGACCGCTAGTGATCCCCAAAGTCGACCGCAAATGATCCCGTGAAAAATTAAGGGAATGGATTGGATCTTACGGGACTGATTACAAAAAAGGACTGATTATAAAGAGGAACCTTTTTCTCTTGCCTTCTAGTGGAGGACGCCAGATCTCAGGTCAATTTGTACAAAGCGAAAAAAAAATGGAATAAATCTGAAAATGATATGGTTTCGCGAATGCTTCATCGGTGTTAAAAAAAAAATCCTTAACTGTGTATTAAATTTGTGTAACGGCTAGAAGCTCAACTTGTCTACTGAGGAATACAGCTGGGCACCCTTTACGTAACAAGCGCTTAATTGACTTTACTGATCTTTTTGGAAGTGTGGAATTGATTTTCAGATATTTAATTATGATTATTCTCTGAAGTGTTAATTCTACGTGATAAAAGTCACGACATTTGTTTGTAACCCAAGTGTTTGTTACGAAACAAGACATGATTTAAAATAAACAAACGTCAAAATGCCCCCGAACTTATCAATGTTCGCAGAATTCGGTTTATTTCGAAATAGCAACTTCGTTACAGCTAGAGGACTTTGATTTTATGCAATGAAGAAGGACACGCTAAATTCATAACTGTAGTCCATAACAGACATTGTATTACCTCAACGAACGTTTTGATATATAATTTCGTTTTCTTGGTGTTTAAAGCCCGAAAGAGTGTTTCCTAATAATATACAGACGGTTCACAGTTCGAAACTGTATGACAAGGAATGCCAAGAAGTAAACGATCACATTCTCTGTGACAAAAATTATTATTTTCAAAAGTTGATAGTAAGTTTAGCCGATTAATTGATTATGAGAAAGTTCTTATCTATTTGGAAGTTAACTACAGTACGTTAAAGTCTACTGTTTTAAGCTTAATTTTGAAAGTAGTAACTAAACAAGACACTGCGATACGTTGCAGCTGTGTTTCTTTGATTTAATGAAGTTTTAATAACAGTATGTTGAAAGTTTATTTTTTGTTTGCTTTTATTTGATTTAACGATGTCTTGAAAGAAATTTTTTCAATTAGTTTTTATTTATGTAATTATTTGAGCAAAATTTCGCTTTTAATGTGACTTCTTGTAATAATAATAATAAAATTGACACAAGGATCCGCAAACTTGAGTCCAAGCCATTCCTATTTTTCTTTCGGGATCATTTGCGGTCGACTTTGGGGATCACTTGCGGTCGAGGATCATTTGCGGTCCATTTTGGGGATCATTTGCGGTCTCGGGATCATTTGCGGTTGGGGATCATTTGCGGTACTGTACAGTATTCCTCTATTTTGAATCAACTAGAATATAAAGAGCCAACAATTTGCGAATGTTTTTTAAATTGAGCACTTGCGATGAACCCCTGTAGATGTTAGCGGAAGGTTTCATTAAACCTGCATTATTGGTAAGGGGTTTCATAGAAGAGGCAAAACAGAAGTTTTCAGCTGCGGAATACTTACGAATAAAATACCTTCAGCGCATGGGCGAGAAGTAATTTTTTTATTTAACCATTTTAAAAGAAAGACTTGATCTGAGTTGCACTGCCATTCGGGGGCTAATGCATGAGCCGGGTAGTCTTGCTTTGCTGAGGTGAATTTTCTTATTACAACATCTCGACACTGGCCGGTGTATTAGGCGTTTATGGGAGGCGAAAAGGAGAAGAGAAGCGAAAAGTTCAAGCCCCAAGGAAAGCCTGATGCTGAAGCCATCTCGATGCAGGGATGCAAGCTAACCGGGCGGTGATAAAAAAACTAGATTTTTCTTATCGCGTTTAATTAACGTGCCGCTACTGTATTGGTAAAGTGGGTCATTCCTTGCAAACCAGGCCATTCCAGCCTCCTCCTCAGGTGCTTCGTTTTTCGCATGGTTTCGTATTAACGCGAGCGCAAAACGCAAAACGCGAGTGTCTGGTGACGAAGCCCAAGGAACCATGGGAAGCCGTAAAGAAGGGAGGCGATGCATGTCTCGCTCGTTTTCTCCTTCCCGTGTTCCTTTGCACGCAAATTTTCATCGCGAGAGAAAAAGAGAGAGAGAGAGACTTCTGGGTACGAGGCAGAGGCCGTTCCGTGTAAAAAAAAATCAGCCTCTAAGGGTCCTCTTCTCTGGCCAAACGGGTTATCGTATTTGACAATGGTACAGTGAAACCTGTATTAAGCGGACACCCTTGGGGAATGCTGTAGTGTCCGCTAAATACAGGGTGTCCGCCTAATACAGGTTTCGATAGATAAAGTCATACGAGGTGTCAAATGCCATTGAAATGATCAGTGGAAACGTTTACAATAGTCCCAGAGACTATGACGATATACGTTTGCACTAATTTCTTTATCAAAGTGGACCAATTTGATCATAGTACCATAAACATAGATTGCAACTCAAAATTGACGAAATCAGATGAGTGAAACAAGCTCTATACAAACAAAACGAAATAGAAAACAATACTGTACTGAGAAAATGATCAAATAAGTTCGTCAAGTCACGTTTTTTAATGTAAAAATCGAAAAATTCGTGGGTGGCAATTCGAGGCAATCTTTCATATTTCAGGTGTCTGGCATGTTGGGTGGTGGAATTTAATTACAAGTGTCCGTTTAATGCAGGTTGGCAACAATAGAAATGACCATTTCAGATACTTTTTAGGTGTCCGCGTCCGCTTAATACAGGTGTCCGCTTAATAAAGGTTTCATTTACAGAAAATAAGGGAAATAAATTTGGGGACTTCGGCTACTGTCCGCTTAATAGAGGGTGTCTGCTTAATACGGTGTCCGCTTAATACAGGTTTCACTGTACTTTCGTGCACGTAGTAAATGTTTCATGCAATCGTAAATCTAAGAGACTTCAGAATAACACTTTGTTCCCATGAGTCCTGCTCAGTAGCATAAACAGTCAAACGCAGGAGAATACTCAATCATAATCTGTCGGTGAGACCTATCTTTTGTTATTTTCTTTATCTAGGTATACTTTGAAGATAATTCAAGAGACTTACAATTGTTGAGACTTGACAAAGACCTACATCCGACTAGAATACAACCTCACTCGATAAATGTCCCTGAATACCTCGGTGAGTTATTTACCTTGAGCTAATTCATACCGTTTAAATAAAAATCATTCTCAAACCCCATCAAAGACAAAACAAAACTTATCTTCTGTTAATCCTAACTTCATTTCTTTTCGATGAGTTGCAGCGACTCTTAAACCATCCATGGCAAAGTTCTCAGGAAAGAGAAGACGCCCACACGTTATCTCGTCAGAAAAAAACTCCGCTCACAATACGTTTGGCAAGATTAATAAGGAATAATTAAAACATATGTTTGTATATAATCATAGTTTAAATACTTTGGAAACAGGGATTCTGTATGCTGAAGTAACTCAACAAAAGGGCAATTGACTATCTCACCGAGACCCGATAATGCACCTTGTTTATCCCGCAAAATGTTGCATAACCATTGTCTTGGATTTCTCTTGGGATGTCGGTAATGCCCAGGAGAAATTGGAAACAATTGTTCTGTAAAATGTTGTTGGATAAACAAGATGCATTATGACCTTGGTGAAAATGGTGAATAGTGTAATGTCAATGTTAATGGTTAAAAGTGTTATCTTATCTTGCTGATCGTCCTCAACGCATAGTGTTGGACAAGTTTTCTTCGCAGCCTCTTTGATTATCTTGTGGAGTCTCTCAAGGCTCTGTTTTGGGGCTATATTTCTCCATTGGAGGATGTAATTACGGCTCACGGCTTAAACTTAATGACGTATGCCGATGATTTTCAGCTTTACATTATTATGAGACAAAGTAATCGTGCTACTTACGCTTTGTTTCCAAGATATCATGTCCTGCTCTTACATGCTTAAATGTAACCCAAAGAAGACTGAAATCATTCACTTCTCCTCCGTTTTTTCACCGGCCGAACCAGTTCCTTCTATCAAGGTTGGACATTGTTTAATTTCTCTGAGTAATGAAGTCAAAGACCTTGGGGTCAAACTTGACCGCCATCTCCCTTTTAAAACTCACATCAACAACATTTGTCGCTCCGCCTCACCTTCTACTCATCTCATCGGAAAAATTAGGAACCTTCTATCTACATCTACTACGAAACGTCGTATTCACGAATTTGTCTCTTCAAAACGGATTAATACAACAGCATTCTTCACGGCCTACCCTCCTACGAGCTATAGAATTTACAACGGTTGCAATATACAGCCGCAAGGTGAACTGTTAGAGCAAAAACGTCGGCTCAAATTACTCCAATCTTAAAGAGTTTGCACTAACTCCCATTAAAAGAAAGAATAGGCCATTTGCACTAAGAGGTTATCTGACGTCGTTTTTAGGAAAATGAAAGTTATGATTTTGCCTTCGAAAAGCGATTTGCGGGTCATATCTTAAACAAAATAATAGTTATTTGGTTTTTCAAACCCGCACCACTTTCTTAAAATGAGTAAGTTCGTAGCTTGTCACGTGACCAAAATGTGATTTTTAAAATTATGAATTACCTCTTTCTGAACACAGATTTTGCACTTAAACTTCAAGGAAAATGTTGAAAAGATGATGTGGTAACGTTTACAGCACATCCTGAGCGTAACTATCACACGTTTAACAAGATATAAGCAAAATGTAGTTTTGACCGCCATGTTGGAGGGCAAGAGTATGCCCTCCAACATTGCGGGCAATATAAATCATACTACTTTGTTGGAAAAATCAAAGTCCCATAAAATATCTCCCTTAAATGCGTTTCCTCTCAAATTTCGGGTGTGAGATAATTTTTATGTGCTCTGTCAATTTTTGGCATCGGCAAGATTCCAACTCATTGTTTAAAGGAGGTATTGGTCACGTGACCTCTTAGTGCAAGTGGCCTATTAATTTTAAGATTCTGTTGGAACCGTACAAAATCCTCCATGGCTTTGCTCCAACCTATTTAAATGAGCTCCTATTTAACTACACTCCTCACCGTTAAATACCGTCGAGCAGCTTAAACCTGCTGTCTATTCCAAAGGCTAGAATGGTTACTGATGGCGACAGATCATTCTCTTTAGAGATCATCAAGCACTCGTATATGAAAATAAAAACTGCAAGGGTTTTATTGACCAAAAGCATGATGTCAAGTTGTCCAAAATATAAACGTAAAAACCTGATAAACCTCTGTGGACAGGCTGTTTTAGATTCATTCTGGAGACAAATATGCGCTTGTTTTTAGTTACTTGACACTGTCAGATGAGTCTTTCATTACGTCATCGTGATGACATCTATGTCGGACACATCTCTTATACAGACAGCCTTAATTTGGTGTCCGTATTACAGAGATCCAACAGTACTTGGCGTCTTACAATTCTAGTATCCTCTTTAAATTGATTACTTGGAATAATAAACACTTCTTGATCTTTTTCTTGAAATTGTTTTGCCTCAGAAACGAAAGTTGAATCCACTGAAGAGCTTCAAGTACCACAAACATCAGCACATTGGAAATAAGGTGTGAACAGTCTTTCGTCTTTTTGCGCGCTCACAATCACTTCAGCTTTCTTTATTTTCAACCCAGGTTACAATTTACCCTTCATACGTTTTTATCACATCACACGAATGCTTGTTTCATTGCTTTTCCTTGCATGTTGTCTCTCAGGAACTGTTGCCTGGTCTGCAGAGCGGAATGTCGCTAGTCTCATTCTCAGCCGTTATTAGGGTTGTCAGGCAAAGCTCCTCCCCACTAATATAATAGTGGGGAGGGGCGTTGCGTGACGACCCTAATAAAGGCTGCGGAGGAGACTAGGATGTAATAATTATATAACTTGCGGAGAGAATATTTCTGTGTCCTGCAAACAGTTTACCCAGGGACATAATAAAGGTGAAGAAAACTTAATCAGTAGTTGGTATACGTCGCTTTTCTGTATGGGAACAGAACATGGATGGTCTGTTAGCCAATCATCACACAGATGAAAGGAAGGAACACGTGAAGAGGCCCTAAGAACGTGTGCGTGGGGGTGGCTATGGTTTGGTGACCATCAAACGAGTCTCGTCCCACATGTTTTGTCCCAGTCTGGCCACTAAATGACCAAATGAAGTCATTCGGAATAATGTCATCCACTTCCTACTCTCTGCAGGCGAAAGACCTCAAATAAGGGTTTTAAATTCCGTTAACACTTTTGAATGGTTAATGATGCTACGGAAAGTACTTATGGGAAAAAGTGATTCGTCAAACATTAATCAAATGGACGTTTTGTATGTCGACCTGTGTAGTTTTATGTCTGTTAGTGAAACCTTGTACTCAAGAAAAAAACGCATAGCAATATGCTATCGACGCAAACAGAATCAGGCTACCGTTGAAAATTTATTAATTGTTATCGGTTTAAAGATTAATGGACGAGAGGAGCATCAAAGAGCAGTTTAACTGGACATTGTTTGTATCAGGGGGAGGGGGGAGGTAACTCTATTGTTTTCCACCTAAGTTTCTTGACCCACTCCGCCTGCCAGTATGACGTCATATAGTAACGGCAAGAGCCTCGAGTCGCTTGTGCAGATTAGCAAGGGATCCGACAGTTATTTGGACGAGCGAAGTCGAGGGAAAGCTAACAAGCTAGCAGATATCGCTATATATCGCTTATTTGATCGAATGTGTGTGAGCTTTGGTGTTGCTATAATCTGCCTGTGTAAACCGTTTTGATATTTTGTGTCCGTGATTGTATGATTTTGTTAATTTGTTTTGCGGGCCGTGTTGCGGGATCGCCATCTATTTCACGGGACCGGCAAGGTCATCAAAAATTAAATTTTTTCTTTTCTCTAAACTAGGCAAGGTCTAGTCTCCAGAATAGGAGGTTCCATTCACAGATCACGCATGTTTGTATTTCATCTATTTTTTGCTAATTAAATGGGCCTAAATTCATATCATTCCTTTCGAGTGTGGGCCTCTGTTGATATCCTAATTCTCCACAAATTCAGTAAAGCTAGTTCGATCGATTATCTACATCGAGTCGGCCCTTTGAACCCGAAATAATGCGAAATAGCTGTGAAATACGCGCTTAAGCTAATTTTCCTCAAATGTATATTTGAATTCATGATAAATACAGCTCCAACAGCTTCAAACAGCGTCTATGGCAGGGAAAAATTGTTTTTGTATGGCAAAATTAATTGTTCAAATCATGCGTGTCACTGTGGTGCAGTGATCAAGGAGTTGCTTGCTTGATAAACCCGATTCGACTCCCGCCGACGCTGTTTCCTTTTTCTTTGTACCGTTTGTTTTTCCTGTTTGGTCTATTTTTTAAACACTATTTTTCCTTTTGGCCTTTTTTCCTTTATTCTTACTGCTGACTCCGCCGGTCATGCACTTGGATCAATGATATTTCAAGCTTAAGTCCGGAGTTTTATTTTGGAAAAGGGATTTCAAAAGCTCTTGATCTGCATACTGGCCAAGCTTACGACCAGATAAAAACCATAAGCGCTGCCAAGACATGTCCCTCCTCTGAAACAGCTGAATTTTTTTCAATGTTAGTTGACATCATGACAAACAACACACAGTACACCACAAACTGTACTAATTTACACCCAACACCCACCAGTGACCCACTGGCGAAAGTTAAACTTGCCTTTTGTACATCGTCTTAATCATCAATATTATTACCCTAAAATCTCCACTGGGTTTGCCCCCAAAAAATAATTAAACGAAACCTTTTATTGGTTTTTGGGATTTAATTACAGAATTACAGGTGTATGCCCAATACAGTATTAAAATGTGGTAAAGCAACAAGATTCAATGCTCACAGTCTCTCACAAATACCTGTCATTTAGCTTCCTCTTTCAACGCTACAGCTACGCGAACTTTTAGAGGAATGATATGGGGTTCCACTTACTCTGAAGAGCTGAAAATACGCACAATGTAAAGTATAATACATCCTTTGATGAACCTCCTATTGCTGTGTCTAAACTCCTCAATCTTGCTGTGCACTGGCCCTCAAAAGTGTGACCGGTCGGTATGATTGCCCGTAAAAATTGCTCGATGTTAGAAAGGAATCTTTAAAATTCATTACTTCCTTGGACATTTCATTCCCAAAAAGTACTTAAGTCTAGTTTTCTATGACAATAGAAACCTTAAAACCTTTAAATCCAAGAAATCGGAATAGTATTTCCGTGATAAAATCGAAATTTCTATCTGTCTCTTCGATGAACACTTTGCTCGCCATTTCAAAAGTCACTTACGCGAGACATGACGTCATACTGGCAGGCGGACTGTACCACAGATTTTCTTGGAGACACCTTCCCCCTTCCGGTTTGTATAATCATATGACGTTCTCAAACTGCAAAATTATAGCTGATAGTTACTAGCAGGAAAAATGATAAGTTATTTTCTGTCTTAGTTCTGCCAGCCATTAAGAAAAAAACAACGGCTTATAGTCGGTAAACCGTGCTACCAGATATTTTGAGGTAAAAGTAAAGGGCCTCGTTTCAACGACGCGAGTCCAGTTTTTGAAATAAAATAAAAATGACAAGAAGTATCCCGCTTGTTTATATTGGCCTCTCCTTTAGACAGAAAGATCGCTCTCATAAATCCTATAAACGTGTAAGCTGACAGCTGTTGAAGAGTATTTTGTAACACTGGCCTTTAAGGAGCGTACCTATTAACTTCTAAAAAGGCAAGAGAGTGCATCATTGCGAGTATAAGTCAGCCTGTGAGCAAGCTCTCCTTCTGAGGGAGTCGTAAGAAGTCACGCGAGAGCCGCACGCAAAAAGAGACGTGAGTGCGAGGGAAGGAGAAAGAAAGGAATTCTCCTTTTCCTGCTCCCCTCTCGCTCGCGCCTTCTCCTACGGCTCGCTTCGCTCGCCACTCGAAATGGAAGGAAACGAATGAAATGCAAGGACGTTTAAGCAAGATTCCAAATTGTTGGGTGCAAAAATAAGACTATTAGCTAAGTGCAAGATATGGAGGTTTGTTTGCAAATCATTACAAATGTAGTTTTTTTATAAATCACTAAGGTCTTTCCTATAAAGTTTTACGATCCACCGTTAAAGTTCAGTTCCAGGCGGTAGTTGAGTTGAAAAGCCGAAATAGGATCTCGATGATCTCACAGAAAAATATAGGACTGTGAACAGTCTAGAGCCTTGGATATCCATGATTCCGGCAAAATTTCTCGGAAAATCACGCACGTGATTACGCTTCACCTAAGTGTAAGAAAAGGTACCACGACAGTCGTTGTCATAGACAATAACTGTCCATCAATGGGCGCGCTAGAATTCGACTGTTGCATAAAAATAGAAAGTCCAAGGTCCATGACAACAGTTCATTTCTGATCAAGTTACGCATAATCGTCCCACCCATTTTGGACCGACCATGGATGTTCAACAACTGTTCAGAAATCTTCAGAAAGAAGCAGAGTGTCCGTTGTGTTTAGAGACAGTTAACAATCCTAAGACTTTGCCATGTCTTCACTCATTTTGCCTAAAGTGTCTCGACAAACATGCAGGGTTCGCCAGAAGGCAGCTGCAAGCGACGATCAAATGTCCAGTTTGTCAGACATCTTTTCAAATCCCCGAAGGCGACTCGTTCAAGAACTTGCCCACATCTTATCATCTCAAACGATTGGTGGATGTTCTGGCTCTTAAAGATAGCGGCGCACACGCCCAGAAATGTGGCAGCTGTGATGAGAACAACAGTGCTTCCTCGTACTGTTTCGTCTGCCAGAGCTTTCTATGCCGTCCTTGTTTTGAAGCACACCAACGCTTGAAGGCCACAAGATGTCATCGTAATGTTGTGATAGAGAAATTGCAAGCACAAGATGTGGAGGATTTGATCAACAGACCCGTCATGTGTTTACAGCAATATCACGAAAATCAACCGCTGGAATTTTATTGCGAAGAATACAAAGTTCCTATTTGCCACAAGTGCAGTGTAGTTAGCCATAATCGACACACCATGACGGACACTCAGAAAGCAGCACAAGTACAGCAGATGCAAATGACGGATGCTTTGGAGAAAGTGAAAGCGGAAACCGTTGTTTACGAGAAAAAAGTACGGCAACAGACCGAGTTAATGGACAAGAACAAGAAAGAAATTATGTCGTGCGAAAAGAAGATGACTGATTTAGTGGAAGATTTGATTCGCGATTTGCGGGAACATGAGAGGATCATGAAAACCAAATTTGCTGAAATTTATGAAGCGCAACAAAAACATCACGCAACACAAGTAGAAAACTTTGAACTGGTTTTGACTCAACTGAAAAGTTGCGTTGAACGAGCTGAGAGTATCGTAAAAAGAAACATCAGTGCTGAAATGCTGCAAACAAACCAAGCTATTATTAAACGCTGTTAAGAGCTTCTAAAAGCCAGAAAACCTGACATTTATAAGCCTTCACACGTAAATTATATGGTTGAACAGAAAGTGAAGATTTTGGATCGCATTGTTGTCAGTGACACAGATCCTACGCTGTCGTTGGCTGAAGTGGCAAGTATAAAAGAAGTACGAGTAAAAACGGAAACAAATTTTACCATTGTAACCCGAAATTCGGATGGGGAACAGTGTTATCATGAAGAGGATGTGATTAAAGTCAACTTATTAAGTCCCGCAGGTGATCAACTGGAAACAGAGATAAAAGACAGCAAAGACGGCAAGTACACAGTAACATACACACCACAGTGTGTTGGACAACATAGAATAGAGATCCAAGTAAATGGACAACCGCTGACTGGTAGTCCCTGGGTTTTATAGGTGATCAGTTCGCATCAGTATCAATTTGCGTTTCAATTTGGATCAAAAGGAAAAGAACAAGGACGGTTTCACTGGCCTTGGGGTATTGCTGTGAATGATAAAAGAAGAACACTCGCTGTTGCTGATTTTGATAATAAGAGAATTCAGATGTTTGGCTTTGAAGGAAATTTCCTGGGAGAGATTGCATTGAAAAGTAACCCTCGTTCGTTGGCTTTTACCCCGTCAGGTGACCTCCTTGTCTGTGCTTTACTGGAGGTGTTTAGCAGGAGCATCTTTCTCTTTACTGAAAATGGTCAGTTTGTCAAATACATTGGCGGTGAACATGTAAAGGCACCGTACTACGTATCTGTTTCCAGTGATGGTCGCATTATCACAAGTGATTCTGATGACAAGAGAATCAAAGTTCTTACGGCTGACGGGAAAAACTTACTTCAGTCGTTCAAAGCTCCAGATTATGATGAATACCCGGACTTTATCGTTTATCGCCAGGACAAATTCTTTGCTTCCTTTTATTGTGCTTGTCGCGTCATGGTATTTAACAACGCAGGGGAGTATCTACATGACATTGGAAGAAAGGGATCTGATGACGGGCAGTTCTCGTGTCCCATTGGTCTCGCTATTGACAAGTTTAACCGTCTGATCGTTTGCGATGGGGGAAACAGAAGACTGCAACTTTTCACTCTTGATGGAAAGTATATCGCTCAGATAGCTGGGAGGTTTTTTGCGGGTGCCAACCCTCGTCATGCTGTCATCTCCAATACTGGACATTTGTTTGTTACTGATTCACGGCGACACTGTGTGCATGTTTTCCATTAGCACTGTAAGCGAGCAAGTGTGTTTATGGAAGTGACATAGTATATTTTATATTTATGAACCATTTCAGATCATTTTGAAACAGTATCATTTAACATGCTGGCAAATAATAACTACCATACATTGTCTCGCTTTTGTTGTTTGAAAGACATGCTTCTAACGGACTTTACGAGAAACGTCTGTTTTGAAAGAAAGGCAAGATCAAATAGCTAGGTACTACCCTGCGAGCATACGAAGTCGTTTCCATCATATGTCAGTCAAGTACAGTCAACTCTCGCCTTACGGACACCCCGTCGCAGATAATACTGACAGCAGCTAAATCCCAGGCAAAAACAAATTGCAGACGTTTGACTTAAATAAACTCTAGCTAAATGAGGACACCAACTCGAGGTCCTCACAGTGTCCGTAATAAAGGACGTTGACTGTAGTTGTTGTTTTGTTTTCAGTAAACGCCCCAGGACTGATAAAACAAATTAACAACGCGACTAACAAGCGATGCGAACGACTTCATAAAGTAATGCTAAACCCCGTGCAAGTGTTTGTTTTAGCGAGATATCCATCTAATTTAGATGCATGTTACGGAGAGAGATTGTCCATTACCTAATATGCGTCCGGCAATAGCTTAATTCTAGAAATTATTTATAAGTTTGGTGTACCATTATTCTAAAAACAGGTAATTGTTTTTCATGTATTGCGTATTTGCTTAAAATGTGGAAGAACATGAAGCGAGTGGGTTATTACCTTCATGAAGTGGCGGCTTGCCTACTTCCCAAGGGGACCGGTTGCATAAAACCTGCACTTACGAATCCGTTATGTGTACACGGGTGTTGCATGGAAGTTCCTGTTTTACGTGGTAACGTACGGGCATACTTAAGAGCACACGTAACTTTGTTAAAGTACTTTGACCAACTGTATTTTTACTTAAAGTTAAGCGTCGGTGAGTGTAAAGTAAGCGTTAAGTCGTTTCGAACAATTTAAAGGCTCTCATTGAAATCATGTTTGCTTGCCATCACTATTTGACTTCAGTATCCACTCGAAGTTTTTGTTGTTCTTGCAGCGTAGATCAGAGGTTAACAACGGATTAGAACGGAATTACGTAAAGAAAAGACTTTTTTTACTTCTCAGTAAAAGATCTCGTTAACTTTGGTAAAAACAGTAAGGATGCGGGACCTACACGTAGGTCCAGTAAATTTACGTGTCATTTTTCCCTAAAAAGCGTTTTCATGCAACACCCGCAATTTCTGTTGCATAAACGACACGTAATCGACCACTAACGAAAATCTTAAGAGGAGTCACTTAAGTAAATTCACTTAAGTGACGAGCACACGTACGATACCTTGACTCCTTTGACAGATATTGGGCATAGATTTTTAAGAGCTCGATTTTTGCCGAGGAGCGCGGGCTGATTTCCCGGCTGGTAATGAAGCCTAAGATTTCTACCACGTGCATGCGGGTATGAAATAGAAGCTCGGTGAGGGTTTTTGCTTTCTGTGGTAACTTCACGAACTCCGGCGTGTCGCAGAAGACTCTTATAATTAGAGACAGTTCTAACTTTGTGTTGTATTCTATGTGAGCTGTTATTGATGCTTCGTTGTCAGCTAGCTTTAAACATCTGAAGATTTATCGATGTCTTTTAGATGGAACTGTAGGACCGAACCAAGGTTTTCGGTGACAACAACCTTGTTGTGTACAGTGAAGCTGTGTTGCGTAAACTCAATAGCCTGTAAGGCAGGCGCAAAAAGCCTCGGGAGGGGAAGAGGAAGAGAAACGCGAAAGGAAAACGGGATCCTCTTCCCCAATCCCCCTCTCCTTCTCCAATTTGTCCCTCAGGCTATTCCCTCCCCTTTCAACGCTAGCTACGCAGGCCTGAACCCAACAAGTCCATTATATAGCTGGACGCCTTATCTATTAGCAGGTAGAGATGCCATTGTGTTTCACTCTGTTATTTATCGATCTGGAATAAAATAAACCTGTAATAGCGGACATATCTATTCAGCGGATACTAGCCACAAAATCATGTTTTTCTTTTGGAAATTCAGTCGCCGGTGATGACGATTTTGGCTCGAGTCACAAATAATAACTCATCTTTTTTGCAACTTATTATAACTAACCCTTATTTATTTATCTATTTATTTATTTGTGTCGTGTGCAGGACGCGCTAGGAGCAGTAACAAAATCAGCAGGTTAGTGACAGAATAATATACTACTAAAGAAAATACATATAAATCTTCCCGTCCATGTAATCTTCTATTGGGTCCATACATTTTGATTGTACGTGTCTTCATAAGGAGGAAGACAGGTATGAAGACATCTTTAACTAATTTTTACATTGTTTCCGTCTTACAGGAAAAGAGGCAAGACTACAGGAAACCAAGCAAGTCAGAAATATTAAATTCAGAGAAACTCAAGGTAAACTAATCTCATTTAACTTTTATTACGAAAAACAGCAATTATTAGATTATTTAACTAATATTTAACGAAGAGTATTCCTCTATTTTGAATTAACTAGAATATAAAGAGCCAACAATTTGCGAATGTTTTTTAAATTGAGCACTTGCGATGAACCCCTATAGATGTTAGCGGAAGGTTTCATTAAACCTGCATTATTGGTAAGGGGTTTCATGGAAAAGGCAAAACAGAAGTTTTCAGCTGCGGAATACTTACGAATAAAATACCTTCAGCGCATGGGTGAGAAGTATTTTTTTATTTAACCATTTTAAAAGAAAGACATACTTTCATTAGCTTGACCTGAGTTGTACTGCCATTCGGGGGCTAATGCATGAGCCGGGTAGTCTTGCTTTGCTGAGGTGAATTTTGTTATTACACCATCTCGATACTGGCTTGTGTATCAGGCGTTTATGGGAGGCGAAAAGGAGAAGAGAAGCGAAAAGTTCAAGCCCCAGGGAAAGCCTGATGCTGAAGCCATCTCGATGCAGGGATGCAGATTTTTTAACGCGTTTAATTAACGTGCCGCTACTGTATTGGTAAAGTGGGTCATTCCTTGCAAACCAGGCTATTCCAGCCTCCTCCTCAGGTGCTTCGTTTTCGCATGGTTTCGTATTGAGGCGAGCGCAAAACGCGAGTGACTGGTGACTAAGCGCAAGGAACCATGGGAAGCCGTAAAGAAGGGAGGCGATGCACGTCTCGCCCGTTTTCTCCTTCCCGCCTTCCTTTGCACGCAAATTTTCATCGCGAGAGAAAAAGAGAGAGAGAGACTTCTGGGTACGAGGCAGAGGCCATTCCGTCTAAAAAAAAATCAGCCTCTAAGGGTCCTCTTCTTTTGCCAAACGGGTTATTGTATTTGACAATTGCACTTTCGTGCACTTAATAAATGTCTCAGATGCAATCGTAAATCCAAGAGACTTCAGAATAACACTTTGTTCCCATGAGTCCTGCTCAGTAGCATAAACAGTCAAACGCAGGAGAATACTCAGCCGTATTCTGTCGGTGAGACCTATCTTTTGTTATTTTCTCTATCTAGGTATACTTTGAAGATAATTCAAGAGACTTACAATTGTTGAGACTTGACAAAGACCTACATCCGACTAGAATACAACCTCACTCGATAAATGTCCCTGAATACCTCGGTGAGTTATTTACCTTGAGCTAATTCATACCGTTTAAATAAAAATCATTCTCAAACCCCATCAAAGACAAAACAAAACTTATCTTCTGTTAATCCTTACTTCATTTCTTTTCGATCAGTTGCAGCGACTCTTAAAACATCCATGACAAAGTTCTCAGGAAAGAGAAGACGCCCACACGTTATCTCGTCAGAAAAAAACTCCGCTCACAATACATTTGGCAAGGTTAATAAGGAATAATTAAAACATATGTTTGTATATAATTGTAGTTTAAATACTTTGGAAACAGGGATTCTGTATGCTGAAGTAACTCAACAAAAGGGCAATTGACTATTTCACCGAGACCCGATAATACACCTTGTTTATCCCCCAAAATGTTGCATAACCATTGTCTTGGATTTCTCTTGGGATGTCTGTAATACCCAGGAGAAACTGGAAACAATCGTTCTGGAAAATGTTGTTGGATAAACAAGGTGCACTATGTTATCTTATCTTGTTGACTGTCCTCAAGGCATAGTGTTAGACAATTTCTCCTCAGCCTCTTCGATTATCTTGTGGAGTCCCTCAAGGCTCTGTTTTGGGACAGATGTTAATTTTCTCTCTATATTTCTCCATTGGAGGATGTAATTACGGCTCACGGCTTAAATTTAATGACCTATGCCGATGATTTTCAGCGTTACATTATTATGAGACAAAGTAATCGTGCTACTTACGCTTTGTTTCCAAGATATCATGTCCTGCTCTTACATGCTTAAATGTAACCCAAAGAAGACTGAAATCATTCACTTCTCCTCGCTTTTTTACCGGCCGAACCAGTTCCGTCTATCAAGGTTGGAGATTGTTTAATTTCTCTGAGTAATGAAGTCAAAGACCTTGGGCTCACACTTGACCGCCATCTCACTTTTAAAACTCACATCAACAACATTTGTCGCTCCACATCACATCGGAAAAATTAGGAACCCTCTATCTAGATCTACTACGGAACGTCGTATTCACGCATTTGTCTCTTCAAAACGAATTAATACAACAGCATTCTTCACGGCCTACCCTCCCACGAGCTATAGAATTGACAACCGTTGCAAAATACAGCCATAAGGCTAACTGTTAGAGCAAAAAAGTAGGCTCACATTACTCCAATCTTAAAGAGTTTGCACTAACTCCCATGAAAATAAGGAATTAATTTTAAGATTCTGTTGGTCACGTACAAAATCCTCCATGGCTTTGCTCTTGTTTAAATGAGCTCCTATTTAACTACACTCCTCACCGTTTAATGCGATCGAGCAGCTTAAACCTGCTGTCTATTCCCAAAGACTAGAACGGTTACCGATGGCGACAGATCATTCTCTTTAGAGATCATCAAGCCCTCGTATATGAAAATAAAAACCGGAAGGGTTTTATTGACCACAAGCGTGATGTCAAATTGTCGAAAACATAAAGGTAAAAACCTGAAAAACCTCAGTGGGCGGGCTACTTTAGATTCACTCTGGAGACAAATATGCGCCTGTTTTTAGTTACTTGAAACTGTCAGATGAGTCTTTCGCATTAATTCATCTTGGTGACATCTATATCGGACACCTCTCTTATAAGGACACCCTTAATTTGCTGTCCGTATCACAGAGATCCAACAATACTTGGCGTCTTACAATTCAAATATCCTCTTTTAATTGATTACTTGGAATAATAAACACTTCTTGATCTTTTTTTTGAAATTGTTTTGCCTCAGAAACGAAAGTTGAATCCATTGAAGAGCTTCAAGTACCACAAACATCAGCACAAGGGAAATAAGGTGAGAACATTCTTTGGCCTTTTTGCGCGCCCACAATCACTTCAGCTTTCTTTATTTTTAACCCAGGTTACAATTTACCATTCAGATTTTTTTTATCACATCACTCGGAATGCTTGTTTCATTGCTTTTCCTTGCATGCTGATGCAAATTCACTGGACTTCACAGAGAAATTATAGCGCTAAATTTATAACGCTAATCAGTCTCTCGGGAACCGTTGCCTGGTCTGCAGAGCGGGGTGTCGCTAGTCTCATTCGCAGCCGCTGTTAAGGTCGTCATGCAACGCTCCTCCCCACTAACATAATAGTGGGGAGAGGCGTTGCGTGACGACCATAATAACGGCTGCGAACGAGACTAGGATGTCATGATTATATAACTTATGGAGAAGATATTTCTGTGTCTTGCAAACAGCTAGTCTGCTACACAGCCGTTTTTAGTGTCGTCACGCAGCGTTAGTGGGAAGGAGCGTTGCGTGACGACTCTAAAAACGGCTGTGTAGCAGACTAGCAAACAGCCGGACCTTTGCTTTGTTCGGTTACCTGAGATCAGGTTCTATGTTCATTTCTTCGTTTGGTAAATAACATTTCGGCGAGAAAGGAGAACACATAAGAAAAAAATAAAAAAGAGTTTCTTTTAGTAGTATTCAACTACGTTGACAATAACAGACAAACGTTTTTGCTTTTCTATTTCTCATGATTTGGCTCGTTGGGGGAGGGGGGGCACTCCTTACAATGGTCTGTACGGGGTACCTTTTTCAGGTTTCAGGTATATGAAAGGGTAGGGATTTCATCAGTTGAAGTTTATGAAAGGTTAGAGATATCTTTCGTTTAGGTCTGTTAAAGGACCAAAAAGGGCTAACAGGCGCAGACAGATTTCAAGTGATTTATTTATTTCTAAAATACGCTGCACTTACAGCAGTTGAAAGGGATGTAAGTTGTAAACTAGCTATGTGGAAAAGGGTATCATTTGTCAGTAGAACGTAAACGAAAGGGGAACCTTTTCGTTTCAGAATCGTATATAAAAAGGAAAGGGGTTGGACCTCGGGGTGGAGTCTCCCCGTGGAGTCTCTCCAAGTACCCCCGTGGGCTTGTGTTACTATGATATGCTGTGTGTTAATCCGTAATTAGAAAAAACTGCATTCATTCATCAAGACGTTTTTCTTGTATTAACCCAGGGACATAGTAAAGGAAAGAAAACTTAATCAGTGGTTGGTATAAGTCTCTTTTCTGTATGGGAACAGAACATCGATGGTCTGGTAGCCAATCATCACACAGATGAAAGGAAGGAACACGTGACGAAGCCCTATGAACGTCTGCGTGGGGGGCTATTGTTTGGTGACCATCAAACGAGTGTCGTCCCACATGTTTTGTCCCAGTCCTGCCACTAAATGACCAAATGAAGTCATCCGAATTTATGTCAGCCACTTCCTACTCTCTGCGGCGAAAGACTTCAAATAATGGTGTGAAATCAGTTAGTGCTACGGAAACTACTAATGGAAAAAAAGTGATTCGTCAAACGTTAATCAAATGTAGTAGTGCTAGTGAGAACTTGTACTCAAGAAAAATACGCGTAGAAATCTGCTGTCGACACAACCAGAATCAGGCTACCGTTGAAGATTTATTCCTTGTTATCGTTTAAAGATTAATGGATGAGAAGAACAGTTAATTGGACATTGTATAATCGTATGACGTTCTCAAACTGCAGAATTATAGAAGTAGTTTTCTGTTTTAGTTCTGCCGGCCATTAAGAAAAAACAACGGCTTATAGTCGGTAAACCGTGCTACCAGATATTTTGAGGTAAAAGTAAAGGGCCTTGCTTCAACGACGCGTGTCCAATTTACAAAAAGGTACCACGACAGTCGTTGTCATAGACAATAACTGTCGACCAATGGGCGCTCTAGAATTTCGACTGTTGCATAAACATAGCAAGTCCAAGGTCCATGACAACTGTTCATTTCTGATCAAGTTACGCATAATTGGGCCGACCATGGATGTGCAACAACTGTTCAGAAATCTTCAGAAAGAAGCAGAGTGTCCGTTGTGTTTAGAGACAGTTAACAATCCCAAGACTTTGCCATGTCTTCACTCATTCTGCCTCGAGTGTCTCGACAAACATGCAGGCTTCGCCAGAAGGCAGCTGCAAGCGACGATCAAATGTCCGGTTTGTCAGACATCTTTTCAAATCCCCGAAGGCGACTCGTTCAAGAACTTGCCCACATCTTATCATCTCAACCGATTGGTGGATGTTCTGGCTCTTAAAGATAGCGGCGCACAGGCCCAAAAATGTGGCAATTGTGATGAGAACAACACCGCTTCCTCGTACTGTTTCGTGTGCCAGAACTTTCTATGTACTCCTTGTTTTGAAGCTCACCAACGCTTAAAGGCCACAAGAGGTCATCGTAATGTTGTGATAGAGAAATTGCAAGCTCAAGATCTGGAAGATTTGATCCACAGACCCGTCATGTGTTCACAGCAATATCACGAAAATCAACCGTTGGAATTTTATTGCGAAGAATGCAAAGTTCCTATTTGCCACAAGTGCAGTGTAGTGGGCCATAATCGACACATCATGACAGACACTCAGAAGGCCGCACAAGTACAGAAGATGCAAATGAAGGACGCTTTGGAGAAAGTGAAAGCGGAAACCGTTGTTTACGAGAAGAAAGTAAGAAAACAAACCGAGTTAATGGATAAGAACAAGAAAGAAATTATGTCGTGCGAAAAGAAGATGACAGATGTAGTGGAAGATTTGATTCGCGATTTGCGGGAACATGCCCAGGGGATCATGAAAACCAAATTCGCTGAAATTTATGAAGCGCAACAAAAACATCACGCAACACAACTAGAAAACTTTGAGTTGGTTTTGACTCAACTGAAAAGTTGCGTTGAACGAGGTGAGAGTATCGTACAAAGAAACATCAGTGCTGAGATTCTGCAAACAAACCAAGCTATTGTTAAAAACTGTGAAGAACTTCTAAAAGCCAGGAAACCTAAACTTTATAAACCTTTACACGTTAATTATATGGTTGAACAGAAAGTGAAGATTTTGGATCGCATTGTTGTCAGTGACACAGATCCTACGCTGTCGTTGGCTGAAGTGGCAAGTATGAAAGATGTACGAGTAAAAACGGAAACAAATTTTTCCATTGTAACCCGAAATTCGGATGGGGAACAGTGTTATCATGAAGAGGATGTGATTAAAGTCAACATATTAAATCCCGCAGGTGATCAACTGGAAACAGAGATAAAAGACAGCACAGACGGCAAGTACACAGTAACATGCACACCACAGTGTGTTGGACAACATGTAGTAGAGATCCAAGTTAATGGACAGCCGCTGACTGGTAGTCCCGGGGTTTTGCAGGTGATTCCGCATCAGTATCGATTTGCGTTTAAATTTGGATCAAAAGGAAAAGAACAGGGACAGTTTAACTCGCCCGTGGGTGTTGCTCTGAATAATAAAAGTAGAATTATTGCTGTTGCTGATTATAACAATAACAGAATTGAGATGTTTGTTTTTGAAGGGAATTTCCTCCGAGAGATTGGACTGAAGGGTGAGCCCTGTTCATTGGCTTTTACCGAGTCAGGTGACCTCCTTGTCAGTGTTCTATTTGACAGCAGAATTTTTCTCTTTACTGAAAATGGTCAGTTTATCAGCTACATCGGTGGTGAACATGTAAAGGATCCGTGGTACGTATCTGTTTCCAGTGATGGTCGCATTATCACAAGTGACTTTGGTGACAAGAGAATCAAAGTTCTTACAGCTGATGGGAAAAACTTACTTCAGTCGTTTAAAGCCCCAAATTGTGATACAGTGGTGCACTGTGTCGTTTATCACCAGGACAAATTCTTTGCCTCTTTTTTATTTGGTGACCGTGTCATGGTATTTAACAACGCAGGGGAGTATCTACATGACATTGGAAGCGAGGGATCTGGTGACGGGCAGTTCTCGGAACCCATTGGTCTCGTTATTGACAAGTTTAACCATTTGATCGTTTGCGATGCGGGAAACAGTAGACTGCAACTTTTCACCCTTGATGGAGAGTATATCGCACAGATAGCTGGGAGTTTTCTTGAGGGTGGCTACCCTCATTTTGCTGTCATCTCTAATACTGGAATTATGTTTGTTTCTGATAGTGACCGGCACTGTGCTCATGTTTTCCATTAACCCTGTCAGCGAGCCATTGTGTTCTGTGTAGCGACATGGTATATTTACTGTTATGAACCATTTTATGAGATTTATTTCTGAAAGAAATAAATGGTTTTATGCTGAATGTGACTGATCGTTATTGTATTTCTCCAGCTACCAGCAAAGGAGGGTTTTCCTTTGCCTAGTCCCCGTACGGCGTCTTTCCAGGCCCTCTTGGTCAATGCATTTCGGTGACGTATCCGAGACGAACGGCCGGGAGACGCCTAGACAATCTCGGAGTGCGCATGCGTGAGCATTTTTACATTTTTTAAAAGTTCCCACGTTCAACTGAAGTAATCTATAAATAACTTTGCGCGTGAATATCCTTCGCTTAAAGATCGGCACTAACCTGGTTTCTGTTATCAAAGAACAAAAATATTACTTTGAATCGGAAAGAATACTACTGTATAACGTGCAAGTAATTTCTCTTTTAGTTCATTTTCAAATGAACCATTAAAATGATATTTCTTTATTGATAAAAATATTTGAAACAGTAGTTTGTTGACAGTCTACCAAATTTAGAGACCAAATTCAACAGCCTTTCCGATTAGTTTGATAAGCTTCCAAATCCAAGAATTAAATAACATAAAATATTTCGAAGTGAAATGATAACGAGAAATTTATAGGAGCAAGCGAAAATAGAGAAACGAAAGATAGCTTTTCATATCCAAGAATAAATATAAACTTATTTCTTTAGCTTACCTTCCGATTCTTGATCAAATATTCTTTTTGCGACGCTGTTTTGCTTAGCCTACAAATAGTTTTTCAGATGAAATAAAGTTCAAATTATTTTAAGGAGATAAATGAAAAAGAAAGGCCAAAGGACTTTCAGGAATGAAAACGTGCATAGAATAAAAATGCTCGGTTTAACTCTTTATCCTCTGTACTCTCCATGGCTGCTGGACATCTTTCATCAGCGCGGAAAAGTTGACAGCTCGCCCGCTTCCAAAAGCTCCGCCCCAAGTGAGACAAAATGTCTCACTTCTCCGAGTTTGTCTAGGCCTCAAAAACTTTCTCGGACCACGTGACCCGAAACGCATCGGCCGCGTATAATAATGAGGCCTAGGGACTAGGCAAGGTTTTCCTGTCATCCGGGTGATTTGTCACGAAAGTGTCATTTATGTCACGGGTTATGTAAGTCACAGAAGCGAGGCACAAGGCCTCCTTCTTCGCATTACAAGACAGTCAGAAACAAAACATGAAGCATAAAGATAATTAAATAGTACCGCTTGATTATATAGTACCATTTGTTACGTTAGCAAATAATAACTACGATACATCCTGACTCGGTTTTGTTACTTGAAAGACACGCTTCTTACGGACCTTACGAAAACTTCTGTCTGTTGATAGAAAGGAAAGATTAAATAGGCATTACCCTGCCGGCAGAGGTTTCTCTCCTTCATGGCTTTAAGCGTTTACGAAGTCGTTCCCACCGTATGTCAATCAAGTAGTTGGTTTGTTTTCAGTCAACGCTCCAGGAGTATAAAACAAACCAACAACGCGACTAACAAACGATGCGAACGACTTCATAAACGCCAAACCCCATGCAAGGGAGAAACTTTTGCTTGCAAAGTAAATAGCCTTTCACGAATGCAACGTTCGATCAGTTATTTCAAGGTAGCGATGATCTTTTTCTTACTTTTACAAACATGTAAAATTGATATATTTTATTATCGAAGAAGTCATTCATTCAGTATTTAGAGGTAATTAGTTCTTTCTTCCTGTGAACACATAATACTGTACAGAATTAGTTAAATTTTTTTTTTCATGTATTGCGTGTTTGCTTAAAATGTGGAAGAACATGAAGCGAGCAGGTTATTACCTTAATGAGGTGGCGACTTGCCTACTTCCCCAGGGCCTGGGCCCGGTTGCATAAAACGCCCGTAACAGTTACGGGTATACGTACGTGTACTCGTAACTTAAGTGAGTTGCATTAAATCGTTTACGTGGTCCACTTAGAGGTTTCACTTAAGTGGCTGCACTTACGATTTTCGTAAGTATCCACTTAAGTGTCATTTATGCAACAGAAATTGCGGGTGTTGCATAAAACCTTTTTTACGGGAAAATTAGCACTTAAATTTACGGGACCTATGTGGGTCCCGTATCCTTACTGTTTTTACTAAAGTTAACGAGATCTTTTACCGAGAAGTGAAAAAAAATTGTTTTTTCTTTACGTTATTCCGTTCTAATGCGCTTTGTTAACCTTTAATGTACAATTTAAAGCTGTCGTTAAGAAAAAAGAAGAACAACAAACATTTCCAGTGGATATTGAAGTAACATAACGATTTCATGTAAACTTTATTTGAATGAGAGGCTTAAAAAGTGTTCGAAACGAATTGACACTTTCTTTACACTCACCGATGGTTAACTTATTTTAAAGAAATAGAGTGAGTCAAGTTAATAATTAAAAGTACTATAACAAAGTTACGTGCGCCCTTAAGTTAGCCCGTAAGTTACCACGTAAAACAGAAACTTACGAGAGTGCTAAGTGTGTTCCATGCAACACCCGTAAGTGTACCCATAACGGATTCTTAAGTGACCTACTTAAGTGGGCACTTAAGTGCAGGTTTTATGCAACCGGGCCCTGGTTACATAAAACGCCCGTAACAGTTACGGGTATACGTACGTGTACTCGTAACTTAAGTGAGTTGCATTAAATCACTTACGTGGTCCACTTAGAGATTTCACTTAAGTGGTTGCACTTACGATTTTTCGTAAGTACCACTTAAATGTCGTTTCTGCAACAGAAATTGCGGGTGTTGCATAAAACTTTTTTACGGGAAAAATAGCACGTAAATTTACGAGACGAGATCGTAATAATAAAGTTACGTATGCCCTTAAGTGAGCCCGTTAGGTACCACGTAAAACAGAAACTTACGAGAGTGCTAAGTGCGTTCCATGCAACACCCGTAAGTGTACCCATAACCGATTCGTAAGTGACCTATTTAAGTGGGCACTTAAGTAGAGGTTTTACGCAACCGGGCCGAGGGCCCAGTTGCATAAAACCTGCACTTAAGAGAGTGTCTCTGTAAGAGCGGTCCGGTCGATTTTCCTTGAGACTTAGATTTAGCTCATTTCTAGTGTGTTGTAAGACAGTAGTAAGGGGGGCCACTACGGTACAGACCAATCAGAAAGCCGCATTTAGGTCACGTGGTACAAATGGACCAATCAGCGTGCAGCAGAAGGTCATGTGACCTGTCAATCAAATCTAGCTGTCAAATTCATGTCAAATGACGTCATAGGGGTCATGACGTCATAGGGGTGATGACGTGTTGTAAAAGGGTGTCACGTTATGGTGTGGCCCTGTAACCCTAACCCTAACCCTAACCCTAGAGCCCTGTTACCCTCACTCTAACCCTAAGGGCTCTTATATAGGAAGACGAACTTCAAGTCTCGTCCATGTGGGAACCCTAAGAGAGAATTCGCGAGGGCGCATGCGCACACCCTACACTTGGGTTTTTGGGGGGTTCACGGTGTTCCCCTGGGCCCTAACCCTAACCCTAACCTGGGGCAAGGTCTAGGTTCCCCCCCCGGACAGTCACGTGGGTATTCCCTAGGGAATTGAAAAAAAGGGAAAAAAAAACTTTTTTTGGCACAGTGTTCAAACTCAGGTTTATTGCACAAGTCATGAACCCTAACGTGTTACAAGCGGGAACGTGTGCCCGACCTTAGTGGTGTGGGGCGTCCCTAGTGGATTCTGATCTTCACATGATGGTACAAGCGGGAACGTCGACCCGAACTCGTGGTGGTGGTGGTGGGGCTGGGTGCTGGGGTCAGAGCCTTCACAGGTGACTTCGGAACACGGCTTGGATGTGGAGGAGTCCCTTTTCTTGGTTCTCGATGCTGTAGAGGATGTCTTGGTAGTGGGCGTGGGTACTGGGATGTTCTTCGGGTGACTGTTCGAACAAGTACCGTACAGTATCTCTGAGGCCTTTCAGGTTTTCCCGGCACGTCTCTAGATTTTGGACACAGGTGGTGTAGGCGAATTCGCACGATCGTCGCTGCTTGTCCGCCACGTGGGGGTCGATCAACTGGCGCCTCACTTGCTCGCACATGCGGTTCAGACGGCATTCGTAGCCCCAGTCTAGGTCCATGGAGATGTTTTCTCTCAGCTCCCATAACGTGTCCAAGTAGTCGTCCAGGTAGTCTCGATTGAACGCCATGGGTGCCATGATCGGGAACTTGGGTGTGCAGCACGAGAGCAACCCACACGAAGGTCAACGAGAATACAGTGATGGGTGCGATGAACAGCATGATCAGCATCGAGGTGCAGCGTCGATGGGAGGGTCTCTTATATGGGCCTCTAAGAGGGGGCGCCAAGCCCCTCTGGGAAGGGTCTCTAAGGAGGGGGAATACACCCCCCATCCCCCCTCTTTTTTCGAGGGGGGTCGAACGGGGAGGATGGGAAGGCACGTGACCCAGCGTATAAGAGGTGGGACCGGTTCCGACTCAGGTTGTCTGCAGTGAGTCTTTTGAACAAAGATGGCGGACTCTGTGGCACCGTTTGGGCTGCCTGAGTATGTCGACATGTCTGGTCCCGACGAGGATGGTGTACCCGACGATTTGCCGGTGTTACCCGACGATGTTCTATGGATGATCGCGAGAATGTATCGATTGGCCACGGTGGAGGTACGCGATGCGAGTGGGTGGTGGCAAGTGCGCCCGGAGATGCGTTATTTACCCCGGTGTCCCAAACGCAAGCGCATCATCAACCTCAAGGGGTTTTCTGTGCCTCGCCATGGCAACCTGTTGCGACCCGTGACGGGGTATTTTTACCGGCGCCTGATGCGCACGATGTTTGCCCGAGACGCTGACGCCCGGTTCTATCGCTGGTTCAGGGCTACTTTTGGCGAGGACGATTACATCCGCCCCAACCAGGCAGTCGAGTGGCCTTTTGTTTACTGTCACTATTGCGGGGAGGGCCACGAGTGTGGGGACGAAGAAGAAGATGAGGAGCGGGAGTACCAGCGTGAACAGCGGGCCTACCGAAAAAAGATGCGGCGTGTGGCCAACGTGTGGGCTCAACGTGACTGGTTGAAGAGACTCCGCCCTCGCCGCCGCCCCAAGACTTAGACCCTCACCCTTCAATGTTTATCAGGGACCCCCTTTGGGGTCCCGCCCACTTTTGCAAAAGTCAATGATCAACCCTCAGATTTTTAAAAACATAGGTTTATTGATTCATCGCTCGGGTCGATCGCGTTGCGCGAGTTCTTGCACGTAACGTTTGTAAGCCTCTCGGTATTGATCTTGCAGGTGAAGGAGCATCTCGGTGTGATCGTGATGCGCTTGCAACCCTCGTCGGATGCGTTCTCGGAGATACTCGTCGAAGGTACGATAGTCGTCGAGGCGTAGCTGGCGATGGTACTCAGCATTCATGGGGACAGCGTGTCTCGAGTGCGTTGGAAGAGCGAGGTGAGTTGCAGGTGATGCAGCGGCAGGGAACGGAGGCCCAAGACGGCACCTTAAAAGTCTGGCCCAAACGTTCCAGTTTGCATAGCACCGTAGGCCGGGTGCCTGGGTCCAAGCGTAAATTGAATACGTTCCTATAAAAAAGAGGTCTGACCCGAGAGGACAACGCGAGAGATGGAACCGTCGAGTCGATCGCTGTACGTCACGCTGCTGAGTAATACCAGCAAGCCGGAGTTTCCCCACAATACCCCGGCCTCGTTCAAGGTGCGATTGCCGTACCCGTTGCGCGTCAAGAACTGGCACGTGGGTGTGGCCGGGGTCTACTTACCCGGACCTCCCAACACGGTGTCGCATGGGGTGACGTCGCATCCCGTGACGTCCACCCCCACCGCGCCGGTGGCGCCTCTCACGGAACATCGACAGTCCAATTTGTTCAGGGGATCGGAAAACCAGCGATTGGCCCGTTTGTATGCCCGGGCCATGAAGGACGACGATTCGATCGCGACGCAAGACATCACCGTGACCATGGAGGATGCCGACATGCCTGAAGCCGCCACGGGGGTGGTGTTTATGAAAAAAGTGGTCCGTTGGTTGGAACAAGACAAGCTGACGAAACTCTATACGGGGTATGTGTTTGGGACCACCGAAGTGAATTATGATCTTCAGTTCGAATGGAAGAACGAGGCGGGGGTCCCGACGTTGTGGATCCTAAATGATAAACTCAACATTACCTACAACAAACCGCGCCCTTACTTGGGGTTCAATCGGGTGATGGCTCAACAAATGGGATGGTTGGTGAGAAAAGAGGACAGGTCGTATGTCCTGGGACCCAATTTGTTGATGTACCCGCACGTGAACAAGGCCAAGTCCCCGAAGTTCTCGGCCGACGCGGATAGGAATCAATTGTTCACGTTTTCCAACTACGTGCACGTGAACGGGGGGATGATGTATCTGTCCATGGCGATGGATTGGCAGTTTGTGAATTTGGACGAAGCCTATGCGCGGGCCACCACACACGTGTACGTTCCTCCCCAGGTCCTGTGGAATCATTTCCGATGGATCATGGAGGACGAGAGCGTGTGGACGAAAGAGGCGGGGATTAAGTCCTTGGGGTTTGTCAATCTGGAAGGCTCTCCCCATTATTGGAAGAAGAAGACCATGGGCATGACGTTGACGAAAAGCGGCAACAAGTACGAACCCAAGTTTCGTTGGACCATCGGCACGACCCGATTGAGCCAGGGGCTCACGTATCGAATCATCGTCGAGATCTACACGACCGACAAGGTCTTGTTCGACAAGACGCGCGTGAGTGCCTACACGAGTTTCTACACGCGCAATATCGATTCGGCGGTGACGACGCACGTGCACGAATACCTGGGCACGCACATGGTGTATTACCATCGTCTCGTGCAAGATTTCCGGCTGACGCCCCAGTCGGACCATTCGTCCCGGCTGCACGTCACGGTGACCATCGACGACGTGCCCACCTCGTACCCGGCCACGTTGACGGATCAATGTTACGTGGTGGTCTACGGGTACACCATCGGGGCACCATGGCCACCCCTGAGTCAAGTCGACGACGTGTACGACGCGCATCCGGTCATTCGACGAGACACCACCACCACGTCCACCAGCAGTACCACCGAAACGACCACCACGCCCACGCATACGGGCAGTCAAGACAAACAGAAAAAGACCACGGTGACACCCGCGACGCAAGGGGAGCCGGCCACGCGTCCGGTGCACCTGTATTGCAACGTGGGGGAGAGCAGCATCGTGGGCACGCAGATCACGAACTTCTTGCGAGACCTGCCCTATAAAGACCAACCCATCCGGTGGGAACCGGAACACGTGCAGTATCACCGGGTGCGTGGAGACACGCTGGAGATTCTGGAAGTGGAAGTGGCCGAGACGAACGGTCAGTTGATGACCTTGAACCCGGCGGGTGAGACGCAAGTGACGTTGCATTTCCAGGCATGAATCGCATCGTGTTGGTCAGTGATCCGACCAAAGAGTTTCCCAGCAACACCCCCAGTTCGTTCAAAGTGCGCCTGCCCGTGCCGTTGGCCTTGAGTGGGGGAGGATGGAAGGTGGGGCTGGCGGTCATCTCCACCCCGGACGCGGCCTTGGAGTTTTCGAGACTCACGACGGCCGTCAACCCACGCGTGCTCAAGGTGGGCTGCAAGTTGGCGACCAGTTTGACGGACGTGGCCCCGATCCACCACCGGACCACCATGCAGATCAAGGATATCTTGCACGATCCCGGCGTGGTGGATGGGGTGAGTCTGATGAAAGTCATCATACGAAAATCGCAGTTTTACGAGATGAAAGAAGCGCAAGCCAAGAGTAAACGGCTCTACGACCGGTTTCGGGTCACGTACGAATGGGACGGCGAGGACCTGCGCATGCTGGCCAAGGACTTGAACGATGTCGCGTTGACGACCGGCATGGCGTTCGTGGAATGGCACGTGCACGTGAGCATGGCCAAGTTGATGGGGTGGTTGGTGGAGACGAAAAAGGACACGTACGCCTTGGGACCCAATCTCCATTACGAACTCATTTACAAGACGCAGCAGACGGGGAATTATTACAAAGACGTCAAGAACACGGAACTGGACAACCACGATCTGTGGAAAATAGAAGGGGGTCTCTTGCAGTTGAGTCAGTGCCTCAATTGGCGCTTCACCAACTTGAACGTCGCGTTCCGAGAGGTGGTGGAGGAACCCTCGCGCACCTTTCTGGTCTACTCGGACCTGGTGGACAGCAATATCGTCGGCGGTCAACAACATGCGCTGGTGCGCGAAGTGGAGTACCGGCGCCAAGGCCAGGGCGTGGCCTACTTTGAACCCTTGCACATTCAGTGGTTACCGTGTCGGCGCGAGTACATGGACCTGGTGGAGGTGGAAATCGCCGAGAGTGACGGAGGGTTGGTCCAGTTCGGCACGGGACGCACCCTGATCACCTTTGTGTTCCAACGAGACGTATAAAAAAGGGGCGTGCCTCGGGGGAACGTATCACATCATGTGGGGAGGTAGTCTGACGCGGTACCAGCCACCACCCCTGCCACGGCAGGATGGACGAGGACTTCGAGAGGATCTCTTTCGTTGGGGCGGCCCGATTCTGGCCACGGCCATCCGAGCCGGGGCACGGGCGGGCGCCCAGGGGCAGTCGTGGGAGAAGGTGGCACGGGCGGCTGGCCAAGAGATAAAAAGAGGGTTGAAACGCAAGGCTCTCCCCATTGCTGCCATCGCTGCCAAGAGATCGGCAGCCTCGTCGGCCAAGAAAGGGGTTCGGAACACGGTCGGACGCATTCGCGACGTGCTGGGTGTGTAAGAGAGGATGCGTCCACGACAGTTGGTGGTGCAATCCCGGCCTCGCTATCAACGGAGCGTGCCCTCGCCGTTTGGACGACAACGAGGAGGACGGATTAGTGCCAGCGTGCGCAAACCGCCAGGGTACGACTTGACCAAATGGTTGTTGGCCCGACAACGTCGAGGTCAGCGCGGAGGATGGATCAGTGCCGACGTGCCCAAGCCACCAGGGTACGACTTGACCCGATGGTTGTCGGCCCGACAACGTCGCGCTCAGCGCGGAGGGGTCTATTCCCGCATCATCGAGGAGTTCCCCAGGCCATATGAGACGCCCTTTATGAAGCGTATAAAACGGCGACGCCGCTGAGGTGGAGACGCACTCGTCGTCTTCGTCATCATGGGCAGTTTGAGCATTTTCTCGGTCCCCTCGACCGACTATGATTTGCAGGGCTACAAAATGGTGCCCTACCACAAATTTAGCGCTAGCATCACCCCGATGAAGTTCTCGGTGCAGGCCTTTGAAGATTACGTGGATTTGAATCGCAGTTATTTTGTCGTCGACTTGCGTTTGTCCACGGCGGGTCAGAACGGCATCGTGGCCGATGAAAATGCTGCCTCGGATGCCAACAACACCAAGTTCACGTACGCCGTCAACAACTTGGCCCACACCATCTTCAAGCAGATCAACGTGCGGTTCAATGGCACCCTGATGACCGAACAGACCGACACCTATCCCTACTCGGCCTATTTCCAGACCCTGCTCAACTACAACCAGGACGATGGAGAGACGTTGTTGGCTCCTCAAGGCTGGGTCAATTTCTTGAACGTGACCCCAACGTTGGCCGCCACGGGGGTCAACGACGACATCTGCACCACGGATGGCTATGAACACGGCGACAGTCACCTGCTCAAGACCCTGACGGTCCCTTTCCGGGGCAACAACGTGGTCCGGATGATCATGCGGCCGTTCCTGCCCATGTTCCACACGGGGAAGATCATGGTGCCCGGGGTGGAAATGAATTTTGAGTTCCACTTCCACAGTCCCGATTTCTACACTTTTGCGACCCTGACCAGTGGCACCGGCCGCAAGAGCTACGTTCGGTTGCGAGAAGAAGATGTGGACATCACCTTGCATTTGTGCCGATTGAATCTCAACCCGGATGTCTACGGGTCCCTGGAACGGGAACGCAAGCTCAAAGAGACGGTGGTCAAGTACCCGGTGGTGAGTGACCAGATTCGCACGTACTCGTTCAACGGGGCCACCACCGTGTGGATGGAAGATAACCTCTTCCTGGGGAGGGTCCCCCAGCGCATGATCGTGGGGATCTTGGACAGCACGGCGTTCAATGGGACCAAGGAAAAGTACCCGTTTTCTTTCCAGAGCAAAGGGGTGACGTCCATTCGACAGTTTATCGAGGGAGAAGAGTACCCGTACGTCACCCTGGAATTCGCCGGCAATAATACCCTGAAAGATTGGGAAGGGTATCGTCGCTTCTTGGACGCGGCCGGGTCCGTGGCCAAACATCGCGAGTTTATGGTCAAACCGGGCGATTGGGGGCACAACAAGAATTGCACCCTGTACATGTGGAACAACGTGCCCAGCGGGAACGCCGATGGCCCCAAACTCAATCCCAAGCAGACCGGCAACGTGCGGCTGGAGATCAAGTTCCGAGTGGCCCTGAATGCCAACATCACCATCTTGGTGTGGGGCGAATTTGAAAGCGTCATCTACATCGATCACCTGGGTGCCGTGACGTATGATAACAAAGTGTAAAGGGTCCCAGGGACGTAGTTGGACCATGGAACTGGTGGCGTTGAGTGATCGTCAATTGAGAGCCTTGGCGCTCTCCGACCCCGAGTTGAAGCGCGTGTTCCAAGGCGTCTATCCCTCCGATCGATTGCCCGCGCACCCACCCAAGACCACCCGAGGCGCCTACATCGTCAACACGGACCCGGACGGCGAACCGGGCCAGCATTGGAGGGCACACCACGCCTTTGTCCGGGGTAGGCGTCGGACGGTCCCCCCTCGTCACGCCGACGGGGGTACGGGATGCCTTGCAACGGGCCATGGACCTCTCGGGGATTCCCACGGCCCCGCCGGCCGGGGTAGGCGTCGCGCCCAATCTGACGTCCCCCAGTGCAGACCTGCCCAGCGTGGCGGCCATCCGGACCGCGGCCCGGGACTTGCCGTCCCCCACGTTTAGTCCCCGACAAATCAGTGTCATGGAACGGATTCTTCGAAACGAGGTACCCGAAGATCAAATCGATGCCCTGTTGGACTCGGTGGGGCTCGACACCAACCGATTGGCCGATTACATGGCCGAACGCCCCCCGACGCCCGTACGCTCCCCGACGCCCGCGCTCACGGCCCAACAAATCGATGTCATGGAACGGATTGCCCGAGGGAATTTTCGTCCCGGGCAGATCGAGGAGATGTTGAGGGCCGCGGGTCTCACCAAGGACCAATTACGCGACTATGTCATCCACCGTCCCGCCACCCCACGGACCCCTTCACCACCCCGAGGGCGAGGGCGAGGTCGAGGTCGAGGCCGGGGCCGCGGCGGGGTGCCACCCGGAGGAGGTGGCGGGGGTGACGACGATGGAGGCCCGCCCGGGGGTGGCGGCGGCGGCGGCGGCGGAGGGGGCCGTCGTGGCCGTGGCCGTGGCCGCGGCACCCCCCCTCGACGGCGAGCGCGCATGAATCAAGACGAATTGCGACGACAGATGGACCTGTTGGCCGAAGATGCCCGTCAACGGTCCGTGGGGCGCCGCATTGCCGGCATCACGCATACCAATACCGTCACCACGGTCTACAAGGATGGAGGAGAACCCGAAGTCTATCGCACGTCCTCGCGTTTATCCACGCCCAACACGGTATAAAAAAAAAGCACGGTCCTGGGACGACCAAACGTCCAGATGCCACGACGGAAACGTCGCCCCCGTCGACGACGACGACGATCGCAACGAGGCGGCGTGTCGCCGGCCCTCATCACGGGGATTTTCAAGACGGCGCATAAGACCACCCAAGCCATGGGGGAGCGTCAACCGAAAAACGCCGAGAAGATCAGTCAAAAACGACGAGCCGAGGTGGCGAGTGGCAAGCGCAAAAAGTACGCGGGGGAATCGTTCAACTGTCCCATTATGTGACGCTATAAAAGGGGACCAGGAGGGGGACGCTCTATCACACGGCACCATGGTTCGACGACGCCGACGACGAGTCAGCTATCGACGCAAACGCCGTCGCCGATCCTACCAACGAGGAGAAGGGTTGTTTTCCTTTCTCGTGCCTCTCGCCGTGGCCGGGGCCAAGATCCTTGGCCTGTGAAGCCTATAAAACAGAGGTCGTGCCCGAGCCCGTTCCATTGGCAACATGGTCCGACGCGGACGGAGACGACGACGACCCTAGCAACGAGGCGAAGGGGTGCTCTCCCTTCTCATGCCTCTCGTCAAAGTGGGGGCCAAGGCCATTGCGACCGGGGCGTTGAGTGGCGCGGCCGGCTGGGGGGTCAAGAAAGCCTTGGGGGGCATCACGCGCAAGAAACGCGTGGGGAAAATCTCTTGGGCCCAGGCGCAGGCCAACCAGCGCCTGGTTCGCAACATGATCAACCGATGGGCGAAGACGCCCGGGATCAAGTAAGCTATAAAGACTCCCTCGAACGTGTCCCAGAGAACACGACACCATGGTGCGACGCCTACAACGACAACTGCCGTTTTTGCGGAGCGTGTTGCGCGAAGCCGACCAGCAGGTGCGACGGGAACGATTGCAGCACGCCAATGCCGATCAAGTCAATGCCATCAGTGAATTGGTGATGAACACCTTGAAAGGGAATGTACCCGTCTCGCCTCGACTCTTGGATCAGTTGCGTCCGCACAAGCAGGCTTTGCGCGACATAGCGCGTCGCAAGCATTCCATAAAACGGCGACGGCAGGTCATGATGAGTCAAACCGGGGCGGGCGTGTGGCACGCCTTGGATCGCGTGTGTCGTCATTGCCTGTCAGGATGAGTCACGGGCCGTACCAGAAAAAATACCTGGTGTCCCCGGCGGACATGGAGCGGTTGGTGGACCATTACAAAGGGACGTTGATGGAGAATTCGCGGTTGAACCATGCCGCGCGGATGGCGGCCAAACAACACGTCTTGCTGGCCTCCCCCGAGATCCCGCCGGCTACCAAGAAGATCCGCCTCAAGGCCCTGGGACCCGAGGTGCGTCGAGCCACCAAACGCGTGCGAGTCATGTCGTTGCCGGGGGCCGGAGGGGCCGCGGCGGGGGCCGACGACGGCGACGAGTTTGCTCAAGGACCCATGGAGACCTTCTTGAAAACGCTTATAAAAAGCAGCACGCCCAAGGCCACCCCCAAAGGCAAGCCGAAACTCCCACCCAAGCCGACGTTCTTGACCAAAACACCCAAGACGCCCATCTCGGTGCCGTTACCGGACGACGATTGGGAAGCGGAATTGGCCGTGCCCATTCCCAGCACGTCCAAGAGCAAGACCACGCCGACCTTGAGCAAAGGCAAGTCGCCTCAGGCAGGACCCTCCAAAGGGCAGACACCTCTCACCACCAAGAAACCGCGCTTTCGCTTTAGTCAGGCGGCCAAAGAGGGCAAGAAACTGGCCAAGGAAGTACTGAAGTTGAAACGACAACCCGGCTGGAGCGAGTGGGGAGAAAAGGTGC